GAATAAGCCGTAGAAAATGGATGGATGTATAGCGATAGACTGATATGAAAAAATAAATCATGATAAACTTTCTCCTATATCGCCCAGCCCTACCCTCAGTACATGATACTACTAAGGATATGCTTTGGACCATCTGCTCACACAGTCTCTCACTGAGACTCGGCCACACTGGAGTGCCCTCTGCATGCACAGTCATGATGCTGACCTGTTACTCCAAGTGTTTTCTTTTTTTAACATTACACAAGTTTTTCTGTGTTTTTCAACAAGATGCTACCGTCAAATCTGAATTGAGGACATATTTTCTAAGCTTTAACTTATTAAATCAAGTTCTGGTTTCTAAATGAAGAGGTCACATTGTGCCTCTGAGGTTGTTTTCTCTTTTCTGTGTGTAAATGCAGGAGGCAGAGCTGGAATCTGATCTGAAGTTGACTTTTTTAATCCTGTTCTTGTCCTGATGCCTCAAGAGTGCAAAAACAATCCGCCACAAATCAAACAAATACCATCCACCTAAGTTTCCACTCCACTGCCACACCACCAAAACACCACATCTCCTGCATCCAAATCACAGCCTGATGAACCGCAGCAGTCACAGCGGCAGCATGAGTGTCTGAAATGGAGACCTGAACTTGTGGCACTTGGAAAAACAGCACTTTTCCCTCCTCTCAGCTTCAACACTGAGCCGGTTCGGTTCGTCCTCACAGCAGAGACCGACCAGCAGCGACACCAACACCCACACAGCAGCAGCCAGAGCCCGGGCACAGCCGCCGAGCTCAGCGGAGAGATCCAAGAACTCACCCTCCGATAACTCCAGCTCCAGCTCGGCCAGTTTGGCCCGCACCTCCGCAGGAAGCGGCACCGGGTCCCGGTCCGCCATTCCGCCTTTAAACCCCGACTTAAATCTCTGTTTTCCTCCGTTTCCCCCTTTTTCTCTCTCCTGTCTTCTTCTAAGACTCCAAAATATCCAAAGTCAGTCAGACAGTATCCGTGTGTGTCGCACTGTGCGCGGCAGCGGCGCTGTTAGCTCTCCGCACACCAGCGTCAAGAGCACGGAAATCAACTCCGACCCTTTCCGGTGTTTCGGTTTACAAAATAAAAGCACATATTCCCACCGCAGAAGGATCGTGTTTCCGCTTATGTATTCAGAAAAAGTCAAGGTGTCCAACACATGAAAGATGATAGAAACTTAACGGAAACCACCTAACCAAACAACTGACAAGTCAGTCTATGTCGAATTTCAAATGAGTAAAGATGATCTGACTGTAACATTGACCTTTACTTTAAAGGGATAACATATTCTGAGATTTACAATGTGTTTTAACTAAATAGGACCTAAACAAGTTATTTTTAACAGTGCAAACTCATCCTACAGTCAACTTTGGCGCCTAGGAAAGGTACCTGTTAGCTAGTTAGCAGCCTGTTCACTAAGCTAGCACACCCTCATGGGGTCTCTCAAATTCAATGAAAGTTTCAAACATACTCGGAGCAGATCTGGGTTAAAATATTACAAAGGACAGAAGTTTCATAGACTCGCTGGGTTTTTCAGTGACTGTCAAAGTAATTTCTTGTTGGTTCACTTCTGTATACGTAAGTGGAAATGATGCTAGATACAGTATTTTCAAATTATGTATTACTTTTGTCAGGGGCACAACTGTAGCTTGGATTACATGTACTTGTTTTTTCTCCTTTCTACCTTTTTTTCTCTTAATCCTCTGCTTGTTATCTTGCCATGATACATAAAAAATGTAAAACAAAAGTGTAATCTAAAAAAACTGTTCACTGTTTGTGAATATCTGGCCTCTGGGGTTCAAAGTGTCCTAATCTTGACATCAAATGACAAGTTTTTGATGCAGTTTTACTAAAGAATCCAAGTATGAAGAAAAAAAAACAACTAAACTAGCTGAGGAAATACCTTTTATCCTGTTAGTGGGCGATTTATTTCATGCTTTTATTTTGAAGGTAAAGTCAACGTTCTTCCTGAGCAATGCATATTGAATGTTGCTGACTTGACACAACTATCAGGTGGAATAGAGAGTAGGTGACTGGGGTGAAAAACATCTCTGAACATGGAGGGGGAAATATATTTTGACGTTTGACATCCATTTAAAATAGTGTTTCTTTTTTTGTTGTTTGTTTTGGGGGTGAAACTGAAAAATGTGACAGATTTTTATCACACTGATTAAATGTCTCAACATCAGATGGCGCCAAATATCTATCTATCTATCTATCTATCTATCTAGTGCAAATAAAAGTCTACATGTGAATAGAAATACTGATGAACTTTGAAAATTTGACATTTCATCTGCTGAACTTCAGGTGATGTTTGATGATGTTATTTTGAGGTAAAACTTTAATATCAAGAGTTTTCATCTCCACTCCGATCATATTTTACCCTACAGTATTTTAATGAGTTTCAGCATTTCTCTCTCTGCTTTGTTTTACACCCTGGAATAATGACAAAATAAAGACAACAAATGTGTTTTCAATAGACAGTTATTTTAATAAAGACCTCCAATTAATTCACATGCCATACACAATTCACCTTATACATACAGTCGATTTCAAAAATGTGATTGCATATTTTTTACCGTGTGGCTTTAGACTCAGAATCCTGGTTTTGGCCTCAGATTTCAGAGAAACAAAAATCAGACTTTAACAAAAAATGTCAGTGATCCTAAATTTGTTTTAATGAACGTCTCCTTTTTTCCTCACTATCATCTAATTTAAGCTGTGTTACGATGCTTCATTCAGGGCTCAAAGAAAAGATCGTCAACAACAAAAATCATTCAGCCAAACAAGTTTCTCTTGATTTAGATTTTCTACAAATGTGTAAGGCTCAGGAAACATAAGGAGACAACAGCATAACAATGACAAAAATGCAATAAATCAACAAATGTTCAAAGTAGAGAGAAGTTTCTGTTAATATTCAGAGAAATGTTAATTCACGTCATCTTTAAATCTTTAATTCTAGCCATAAACTTCAGTGGTTTAAATAAAAATTAAAAAAAAACTGTAGAATTGTCCACCAGAGGGCGCCGTTTCTACACAAAACTGCCCTGCTACAAAGAAAGAGTATTAATCCACCTCATTTAACATAAGAAGCCATAAACCAGCACATTTTATAACTCTTAATCAATGTATTTATGGATAATTCAATAAATCATGACACCTTAATATCTGACAGAAACATACTTGTAGAATAAAACTGTGACATGTTATTTTTAAAGCAGTTAGTGGACTTTATCTACTGTCAGCCTACAGTTTTGTAGTAAAAACGAAGTGCAAACAGATCTTAAGCCCTGTTACCATGGATATCACCAACGCATTTAACAAAAGAGCGAATGGGGTAAATGGACGTAAGGTTTAAAGACTTAAAAAAATAAATTTAAGACCTACAATGTAAATATGCTTGTATTTAAGACTTTTTAAGGCCTTACATTTGGTTTATCAAATTTTAGACTTTTTAAGACTGCGGAAACCCTGACATAGCTGCGCTTGAGCTAAGCTAGTTTATCTTACCCGATTGTTTCAGAAAGATAAAACTAGTTTTTGTAGATTTAATCACACTGGCATTAAATATGACACACTGTCACAATTCTTACAACGCTAAAACAATATTAACTCACCAAATACAGAATAACGACAGGCGCTTGCAGACCGCTGGAGACGACGCGTTGATTGCCACTTGTGTGCAGAACGTTTACGAGCAGTCGGAAAAAAGACTTAAACTGGGTACAAAGGAACGTTCAGCGTTGAACACAATTAATATGCTTTTATATGAACTTTATTTCACTCTTGGGAATGTGCAGGAACAGTCACACAATGTGTGGCAGTTTTTTTTTTTTGTGAGAAACAAGAATTCATTTCCCAGGTAGAAACAGGAGAATATGTGAGTAGAGGGTTTCTGCAGAGCAGGAAAGCCAAGCAGATCCACAACCATGACAGATCCACAACCCTCTTTTTTACTGCTGTTCCACATCTGTTTTTTTGTGCCCAGAAATTTAATTTAATAAACAAGTTAATAAATAAATAAGTAAATAGTCACATTTTATTATCTTAACAAAGTAAAAAGTCTTTGAAATGTGTGAAGACAGTGGTCAGTTCTTTGGACTCGGCCGACTTCTTTTCAAGGATTTGACATTTATTTTAAAAATAAACAAGTGCCCACAGTCACATATTTAGATCTTTATCTAGATTTCATTCATTTTACAATTTTGTACTTACAAGTTAATATTTTCGTAGAATAAATCTGAAATATTATACATAGACAGACAATACATAAAAAGATATTATCTAAATATCATGGGGATTGGCCTCGCTTTTATACTCTTCATTCATTGGCGATGACTTTGACCCCCTGAATCCAACAGTATGTGTCTGCAGAGCCGGATGAATGAGATATTTTGTGGGTTTTTCTCGTACAATTTCATGAATTTCTTGAATGCTAGTAGCCTACAGGTCAAATAGCACATTCCCGACTTCCGACAAGCTAATGTTAGCATTAGCTTGACTGAGATTCGATGTGTTGGACAGGGAAAAATGTCATAAACGGAGCCGGTCACATTGACGTTTATTTCAATTTTAAGACAAAAGTTTAACTAATGACTAAAAAATTATGTGATTAATGTTTGATACTCGATCACGGCGTCGCTAAATTCGAGTCGAGAACTTTCGAGAAAGAAGTAGCGGTTAAAGTGAGGGTCATAGATCTGTCTCGGTCGTGGATATGTCTCGGTTGTGGATATGTCTCGGTTGTGGATCTGCTCGGCTTTCTGGCTCTGCAGACATTTATTGGACTTTGCTGAAAAAAACATTAACGAAACGGGACACTGGTTTCTTAAAGTCAGGGACTCTTCCTTTCAGACTCGTTCGGGACAGAAAACTCGAAGGTTCCGTCTCCACGTGCACGTGCGGTTAGCATGGTTTTGGAGACCAAACCAACTCTAAACTGAGTAAAGAGTGGATTATTTCTACCATGACATGAAAAGAGTACAAGTGTCTTTGTGTGTTTGAGCTTCGGTTTTCTAACCAGGCCACAGAGAGACCTGTTAGAGTCGACCTGCTCAGATTTAATCTGTTCAGTTATTGTTCGATTATTGTTCGTCGTCGCTGATTTAAAGACGACGAAGCAGCACAGACACACTGTTAGTGACAGCCGGGCTGTTCACGAAAACTGAACTCAACAGAGCGTCCCTCCGAGCTTTTTTAACAAACCAACGCCGTTCCCAGCTCCTCTCGTCTGTGCTGAAAGCCAGAGGGTGAAAAAACAGCCAACTTTGACGAGAGATTACTTAAATTAGGGTTAGAAGTACACTCTGTCGAGGGGAGAGGTTTCCGGGGTTTTTATAGGAAACAAGAACCGTAAACTCGGGAAAGAAGGCGACTACCAAAATTTACCGTAACTGTAACTGATAGACACGCAGGCATATTATTACCAGGAATTTATCCACCCCCAGCCTACACACACAATGTACAGTGTGTAAAAATTCAATATATATATTCAAATATTTTTCTGCTTAAAAACCACTGACTGCCTGCTTCATATAGAGGCCTGTTAACCCTCAGAATATTTTCAAATAAAGGACCTGGTCTTTATTCCATAAATTTTTTAGTAACTCAGAAAAAAATCAAAAAAGGAAACACAGGATCTTGTTGATACATTTATTTCCTCCATGTTAGCACATAGAATATATTTATATACATATTGCTAGCTAAAGCGTCAAAAAAAAGAAAAGAAAAATGTCAGGAGCATAGAAAATGTTAAGCCACAATGATGACTAGTTTACATATGAACAGAACAGAAGATGACACTGGTTTTATTTCAGGTACATGATCACATATTGACTCAGTGTTACATCCTCAAAAACTGGTCATGGGTCTCAATCTGACCCATGAACTCGCTGTTCTGAGCTGAAAACAGCCTCGACTGAAGTTCCAGAAAAATAAACGCATCATTGTCATATTGCATTACTCTGAGGGAGTGCAAATATGTCCTTTCTTTACATGAGCAGAATTTAGAAACCAAAAAGAAAAGGAGGCGAGATACACACACCTTTACTCATGCAGATAAAAACCAGAGGTACAAACGGGAATGACATCCAAAAGTTTTTCACGGAAAAAAAAATTAACTCTTCACACTGAAACCTGAACAGCTGGATGGACGAATATAAAACCAGTTCAACAAAAAAGCAAGTTACACGTGTGTAAGACATAAAAACATCGTTAGAAGTGTGTCCGTCTGAGAGGATATTTCACACTGAAATGAATAGACTCACTGAAATGCGCTGTGAAGTTCTCGCTGAGGTTAGAATAATACATACAAAAAAAAATGCCGAAATGACAAAAACTCAGAGCGGTAACAACAGGCTGATATGAAAATGGTTGTACACTGTACAAAATGAGAACTAACAGTCATCAGGTTCGCTGTAAGCACAGAGAAAACAAAACCGGCTGAAGTATCTGTGAATTAATATACACTGTAAATACAATATGAGGGAGGAGATAATGAGAACATGGCCTTTTATTTACATGTAGTGCATCGATGGTAAAAGAGAATAAGATGGTTGAGCTTGAAGCTGGAAAAAGAGAACTTTTTCCAGAATCTGTTATTAGAAAAAAAAGGCAGAAGAAAAAGTGAGAACAGAAGCTGAACTGTACAGTAACATTATGAGAGTGATACAGAGTTCAAAAGCAAAAAATCAGAAATAAAAGGCTCAACATTTGAAGTCTGGAAAGTCTAGTAAAAGTTACCGTAAAATCCCTAATAGTGGGCTCTTTTTAAGTGTCAAAATCTGGAACGTCAATTACTGTAAAATCTCTAATAGTGGGACTTTTAGAGCTCCTGAAGTCTAGAAAAAGTCACCATAGATCTTCTAATTGTCTTACTTTTTGTGTTTTGACAGTCTAGAACAACCGGTACAGTAAAATCCCTAATAGTGGGCCTTTTTGAGGTCTTAAAAAGTCTAGAAAAATAGTGACTGTAAAATTCCCAATAGTCTGCTTTTTAAAATTTGAAAGAGTAAAATATCAGGTACCCTAAAATCGGTAATATCTGACCTTTTTAAGATCTTGAAATTCTTGAAAAATAGTTACTGTAAAATATCTGATCATGTGCCCTTTAATTGGGTTGAAAGTCCAGAACAGGTACCGTAAAGTCTCTAATAGTGGGACCTTTTGAGGTCTTAAAAGTCTGGAATAACAGTTACCGTATATTATTAATTTTTTTTAAACTATACATCACGAATCAGATTTAGTAGGATTGGAGGAACGGGAAGTAGGAAAGAAATTATTTAAAGGTTTTATTCGAAGACTTCATCCAAGAAAATTTTGACTCAATTCTCGTAATATTGCGACGTTTTGACAAAAATATGAATTTCTGACAGTATTTTTATAAAATCGCTTATTCTTAAAAAAATCATTTTTGTTAATCTATGACTAAGTTCTCGTAATTTACAATTTTATTCTTGTCAAATTTTAGACTTAATTTAAATAACTGATCAACTTAAAGAAGTAAATTTCCAAATTTTAGTCTCCTAAAATGATCCAACTTTATTCTTGTTATATTGCAGTTATGCTCAAAACATTAAGCTAGTGTGCAGAACATTAAAAATTTTAAGTGACTTTTTTAATTGTGAAAAAAAAATCTTCAGCAAAAAAAAAAGGCATCAGGACATTTGATTAAACTATAAATAAGTTCCTGGTCCTCTCTGAACTAGAGGTGAACAAAAGTTTCTGCCCACTACAAGAGAATTTACGGTATTTTATTTGTCACATGTTCACAGATACATAAACTGATTAACAGTAACCTGTGTATAAAATAAAAAAGCGATGTTTCTATACAGAGTAACTGGATTATCTTCCTCTGTTCAGTTAATCTTCATAACTGAGGAAACAGTCAAAAAGTTTGTAAGTTTCACTCCCCCAAAAAAGAAAATAAAATCGGCAATCTCATTGCCTCTGAAAAAATCACATAAAGGATTCCAAGCACCAAATTTATACATCACAGACACTCGACATCCAGCGCAGGAGAAACTCTAGAAAAGGTTAATTTGATCATTCACATTTGCATAATGTTTTATATTGGTCCATCCGTCATCACTGTTAATCAGACACCAGAGAGCTCCTGGTTTCCTCGATCGTCTTTTTTTTGTTTGTTTGTTTTTACCGTAATGAACGTAGAAAAGACAAACTATGAATCTATCCACATGCATGAAGTGAGGAGGAGAGGATGAGAAAAAGAAAAAAAAACAGAAACAGGCACTGACCACCAACTACAGCATAAGCAGTGAAAGAGTCTCAAAGCTAGTCACTTCAGGATAAAAAAAGAACGTGTTTTTTTTTTCGTTTTTTAGTGTACATCACTATAAAAAAAATGACACTGACGACGCTCGGAAAAATATACATCACTTTTTCAGCTTTAGGAGGGCGATGAGGGAGGGAGAAGTTACCAGATCTTCTCAAGCGGAATCATAGACTGTGTGTAAGAAATTGACGTAGCCGATATGTCTTCAACCTGCAGTTCTTCTAACTGCCACCAGGGGGCCACAATACGAAAAAAGCATGATTGTATTAAACTCTTTGAAAATGAACCTGCTCATCACTTGATAATTAACTCTGAATTTTTTTATTTGATGCGTTGATAGTAAGATTTCCTAGTTTTACGTTTCGAGAAGGGAATCAAAAACTTTTTAGATTCTGCAAAATTTTTCGATAAATAAATTTGAGAAGTTGTAAATTTCCTCAATTTAGGTCGTGACCTGTTGCGAATCAGTGCTTTAGACCAAGGTTTTGATTCCCATCCCTCGTCACATATCAATTAACTCGGCATGATTTCAGATCGGTATTTTATTATAGCAACATCTTACAAAAGTCGGCAACTTTCTTCAAACATGGTCACAGCTCGACCCCAAAAACAGCAGCAAAAAGTGCCAAAACTGAGGCTTCAGAACTGTTTTTAACGAATTAATGTGTGACGCTAAGAAGAAGAACAGAAGAAGAACAACTTTATTCATCCCCGAAGGCAAATTCAGTAAAATGCTAGCATTGCTGCGTCAACTTTTAACATACAGTCTATTATCCGTTCCACCAAAACGTCTGATTTTTGGCAATATTACAAGCATTTAGGAAGATGAAGTGTGCAAAAATGTGAACGGTCGTGGAACTTCCCTCAGATCCAGCTCGGCCACAATTGCGATACCAATCAAAAAGGTATATTTTTGTATCTGAATCGTAAAATTTTTCGTCTTTTTAAAGTACAAGACCCCCCAAAAAATGTGCATAATAACATTAATTTTTAATAAAAACAATAAAATTACATGGAAGATTTATCTAGTCGACGTTTTTTAAGGCCGACCTCTGGCATGACCCTGTTCCCAATAAGTGACGTGAAGACGATAAGATTTTAGGTAGAAATGATCGAAGGTGCCATCCACCCCAATAGATTTATGAAAACAACATAATATATTAACGTCTGTGAGCCATATTGCCTATCAACAACTTTTTGTCATACTGAAATTTTCAGTGAAAGCAGAGCCGGTTAAACGCTGCGATGGTTATTACGATGAGTTTTCATTTTCTCTCTAAGTTCGTTGGTGAGTTTTTGTGTCATATACAGTAAGAAAAGTGATTTTTCTCTAAAAATTCAGGTAATAAAACGCTCATCAGTATTAATGCTCATCTGATACTAAACACTTAAATAACATCCTCCGACACGAGCTCAAAATTAGCACTTCAGTAAAGAATAAAAAGAAAGAAAATTTATAGCATTTCGAGCCGTGCTCTCAAACAATCTGTCCACAATTCAGAGAAAAAGAAAAAAAGAAAAATCAATTCATGGTTACATTAAATAATAGAAATAAAACCATAAGAGGAACAAACTGCTCTTTTCACGCAGAGAACATCGGGTCCACAAAGTGTTCAGGAAGGCAAGTAGAGAAGCAGGAGGGACAGGTGTGTGTAGGTGTGTGTGTGTTTGTGGGGGAGGGGGTTGTAGACACTGACTGAAAGGAGGAGGAAGAGGACGAAGGGTGGGCAAGAGCCAATGGCGCACTGTGTTCGGTGAGAAGGGGCGGGGCTTGTTCATCTCTTCCTGCGGCAGGTCCGTTTGTGATCGGCGTGCCAGTGCTCCTGCTGACACTTGATGGAGCAGTACGAGGTGTTCCAGCAGCAGTGGTACATCGCCTCCTCCTCGCAGTTATAACACTGGAAACAAAGACGGAGAATTACCCGCTGTCACAGATTTACACGTAAACGGCGTTCGTCCTGGATTCGGATCCAGGAGTCGCATTTTGCTAGGGTTGTAATCCGAACTTTCGGCTAATGATCTTGACTTGGCAACTCAAGGATTTGCGCAGTTCTTTTCAGAGGAGGCCTCATGGTTAGGAGACAGGGTTACACTCCTGACCAACCACACAAGAAAAAGTGACGCAGTGACTCGGACTATTACGGAGCACACTAGCATGATCCCAAAGTGAGCGTCATAAACCCACTTCACTAAAAACTTCTTTAATCTCTGCATCCCTGAGTCTGATTAAAGATAAAAGATCTTCCCTCCAGAAGTTTCTGAGATTTACTTTTATTAAAAATAGGACGGAGACGTCTGTAATCTGATTTGTAATCTGGTCCAGGACTTACCCACTGCTTCTTCTTAGTCTGGGAGATGAGCTGTTTGTGTTGAGCCACCAGCTTCTTCACCTCCTCCACCAGCTCCTCTTTACACTTCTCCTTCACCTGCTTACACTTCCTCTCCATCTCCGCCTGAGCTCCGGCCACCGCCTTACTCACGGCCTGGCGCTTCTCCTCCTCCATCTCCGCTCGAAGCTAAACAGAGAAACGAAAAGCAGACGTGTTTTGAGTACGATCAAACTCTCAGAGATACAGATCTTCGAGCAATCGTCACACGAACCTTCTCCAGGGCTTCTCTGACGACCCGCTCCGTCTCCCGCTTGTTGTCGGCCTTCATCATCTCCTTCACGTCGTTGAAGACCTTCGTGTATTTCTCGTGGCACATGTTCTGGCAGGCGCCATCGCTGTTGGTTTGGGTGCCGCGGTGCAGCGTGCGAGGCGACCCTCCGTTTGCCTTCTTCGTCTGCGTGGACACCGACAGCTTCTCGGGCTGCTGCGGCGCCGAGGACACCGGGATCTCCTGGCTGGAGCTGACCGCCTCCATCTCTGGCTCTGGGTCCTGAATGACGAGGGAGATAGAGGGCGGACATTTTGATATAATTAAGGAGACTAAAGAACAAACAAAAGTGACAAAGATCTGAAACTTTGGGTTTCTGAGTTCTGACGACTTACACTGGCTTCTTCTTTGGGCTCGACCATTTGAGATCGACGGCTTTTCTTCGCCTTGGGCTCTTGGCTGCCTTTGAGCTGCGGAGAGGAAAAAACACATTCTTATAAAAATATCTTTGTCTGTCTTTCTGTGTCAGATCTGTGCTGAGGAGGGACAAATTAGAGAAAGGACTAGACAGGGTATGAACGCTTCATGAGAAATTTTAGTTCTGAAGTATCTTCACATCCTTGAAATCCTAAAAACCGTATAAGTTGTTTAAAGTTTTGCTTTTGCTGTTTTAATTGTGTTTGTACTTTTTAAAGCTGACACCCCACTGGTAGGTAGCGTCATCCAGCCACTAGATGTCGCCACCTACCAAATTTACCTCTGCAGTTATTCTCTGAATCTCCACATGGTTTTTCTTTGAGGTGGATGAATGAAGGTAGAAATATTCAGAGTGAGTTTGAACATCTACATCTTCAAAGTCCAATTAACAATGATAAATTAATAAAAAATGACTGTGTGTAAATCTAGAAACCATCAACATCCTTTCCCGTCACATTAACAGCCCTCAGTTCTAAACCAGCGTCCCTGATGGTCTGAGGATCATCTGAGTCCATGTCACGGGTATCTTCCACATCTGTGACGCTCCATTCATGCTGGAACGATTGTTACAGTACCCTACGATTTCATCATCGCAGCCGTTTAATATCCCATATCGCGATTAAATCGTATATCGGCACATCCCTGATCAAAATCGAACACTTCTGAAAAGGGCAACTGGACTTTCAACATAGAACTGGAAATCACAGATGCTGCATCCTCAGTTTTAAAGAGTAGAGGGACCACCTGGACTGGAAATTCCGCTCCCGTGTCATGCTCTATTACTCACATGTCGGACCTGCTCGTTGCTGGTGGAGGAGATGCTGGACTCGGCTTCGTCCGTCCTCTCCAGCCTCTCCGTCCTCCCGTTGCCCTCCTGTTGCTGCTGCTGCTGTTGCTGCTGCGGCCGCTGGCTCTGGCTCTGGCTCTGTTGGCTCTGTTGGCTCTGCTGGTGGTGCTGCATGGTGCTCTCCTCCATCTTCGTTTTCCAGAAGCGGCCCTCTCTGAGGAAGCGCTGGTAGACCTCCAGCTCCTCGCACGCCTTCTTCCAGCCGTTGCTGCGCTTCACCTGCAGCTGCTGGACGCTCACCTTGATGTCCTGGATGTTGTCTGAGGGGATCCACGCTCTAAGGGGAGGGAAAATACGAGATTTTCAGGCTTCAGGCGATAAACTGAACATTTACAGATACTGAAATTTACGACAATAACCAACGTCATTTTGCCAGTATCGGTGTATTTGATGTCAAAAAATAAATAAAAGTTGGTTTTGAATGTGTGTAGATAGGCTAAGGTCTCGTGTCCCTTTAAGACGCTGGAACGGCGGCTGAAGTGATATTGATTTGAGGCCATATCGCCCAGCCCTACCTTGTTTTGAACAATATGATTATCGAGATATTTTGTGGGTGTCTCGACTGAGCCTCTGTGCTGCTCACCTCTGGTGTTGGTGGCCAAAGAAGCGTACGTCCACCTGATTGTCCTCCCTCTGAAGGACCTTGGCTGGCCAGTAACCAAACCCTTTCATTTTGGCCCAAACCAGGTCATGACTGGGACTCTGCAGAAAACACAAACACACATAAAGAGACATGATGATCGTCATGGATTTAAGCTCAGCTCCAGCAAACACCAAGTCTAATTCTACTCTTTTATTGTGTTAGGTTTGGTTGTACTCACACATGGGTAACAGAACCAGTTGTCCGGCCGGGCGTTGGACAGGTAGAAACAGTTCTTACACAACAACAACTCGTTTAACTGGAAGAGAGAAGATTTTAAAAGAGATGAGTTAAAAACGGTCAAACCCGCACCAGCTGAACGTTACAACTTTAGAGATGTTCAACCTCGTGACACGTGTCGCTGAAGAGCAGCCGTGCGATCTCTGCCTGATCGCTGTGAACTGTAACAAACAAACGTTAGAGTATAAGATGTTGAAATTAAAATCTAGAGAAATAAGATGAAGCAAATATCCGATAAATCAAGAATAACTCAGAGAAACATGTTTGAATGAATGTCTTTGACTCACCGCCGTACAGGATGGCTGTGTTGTGAACGATGAGCTGTGCGTCTGCTTTAAACTCCTCGAAGCTTTTATATTTTCCTTCAGACAGGTTCTGCAGAAACACAATTTTTTCAACATTTAACAAACATTTAATCATTCTGAACTTTGATTTAAATTTAAACTCAAATTTATTCCTGAAACTTTTACGCTGATTAAAGTTCAATCAGGCTGAAAAGTTTGGGAACGAGGACAAAGACGTTTTTTCACATGCTGGGTTTGTGTGTGGTGACCGACATGAGAGGTCCAGGACAGGGCGGTGTACTTATTAACACTGACACACACACACACACACACACACACACACACACACACACACACACACACACACACACACACACAGGAACACACACACACAGGAACACACACACACACACACTGAGGTCTGGGCAGCGCTCCAAAGACCGGCTGAGTTCTGGTGTGATGCACCGCTGACCAAAGAGTCCTGCCCGACCTCTCTCTTTCTCTCTCACACACACACACACACACACACACACACACACACACAGACAGTATCACACTAAATCTACGCCTGCCAAACTCACTGGTTTGTATATTAACAGCAGAAAGTGTCCAGATAAGCTCAGGGTCAAGTGCAGTAAAGGGAGAGTGAACAAAGAGCCGCTTCTTTAGGCAAAGTTAAAGTAACACAGAGTCATGTGTGACTTTAACATGCGAAGGTGGTGCTAGCTCTGCTAATGGTAGCCACACTTTATACATTAGCTACAAATAATCAGAATAAATTCCCGATCAGAATAAAAATGCGTCATGTAAACGTGTCGATCGGAAGATTCTGATCCAATTCGTCTCAATCGGGAAGAAATTGTATTCCGATAGAGAAGGGTGGTTTATGCCGATCGTTATTCCGAAACACGTCCATGTGAACACTTATTCCCATCGTGACTCGGTCTTCACTCTTTAGCCTTTGGTTTATTTATGAAGGTCAGTCCAGGAGGTTTCGTGCCGTGTCCGCTCCTCCGGTAACATAACAAGGCCTTTACAGCGTAATGATGTCACATCTACACGCACAGCGTAATCTTTGGGCGCCACCTAGTGGCAAAATTTAACAGAGGGGAAAATCCTGAATTGGATGGCGTGAGCAACGATTGCGTTTGTTGGTTTGTTGACAGCACAGGCGTCAAAACTACTCTTCTTCTTCTGCGGTTGTTTTAATAAAATCAGAACACTGCGCGTGTCCAAACGCTTCCAACGTGAACGGAACTTGGTATATATCTACGCACGCCATGATCGGATTATTTGATTTTAAGAATAAGAAGAACAATATTAATCTCCAAAGGGAAATTCAATTGTCTGTTGTCTCACATAATATGTCTCTAAAAGTTATCTACTATTTACACATGAGTTATTTTTGCACCCATAATATCCGATCCTTCAAATTTTTGATGGGATTAAGAAATGTTGCCCATGGAAACGTAGCTAGTGACAGGGTTATCGTTCAGTAAGAGTGAAGGACAAAGGAAAAACTTCTGGACCATTATAGAATAATGAGGTGAATAAAAACAGGCAGTAAAAAAAGGTTTATGGCAGCGAGAGGTCGTCATCAGGAAGGATGATTACCTCTTGGATGTTTGTGACGTCCAGCGCGGTGTGGATCAGCCGTTTGTACATGGGGTGTTTAGTGTCTTTGCCTTTCTTGTTCAGGTCCACGGCCTGCAGAGCAGAGGAGGGATAATGATTTAATACTACTTTATACAGAGGAAGGAGAGAGAGAGGGAGAGAGAGAGAGGGAGTGATGTAGGGAGGACACTTGAGAGGCAGCATGGAGGATAAATAATGAGATTCGATGGGGAGTGGCTGGATGATGGAGGGATGCAGAGAGAGGTGGAGGAGAAGTAATGAGATTTAAAACAAGCTTTCCACACAGAGAGGTGGTTAGAGAGCGAGGGAGGAGAGAGGAGAAGTTAAAGAATGGATGGAGGAAATGAGCAGACAGAGGTGTAATGGATGGGAAAGAGGAAGGGCGGTGTAATAAGAGGAGGAGTGAGAAGGCTGTTTTTATTCTTGCTAAGAGGAGGAGGAGGAGTGAAGTTTGAGCTGCTGGTGGTTAAAACTGTAGAAAATGTGAAGAGGCCAAAACGCCACGTAACAGATTCAGCTAATGGAGAACTAAGACTTTCAGTACCAACCATAACATTCAGTATTTGAAACGGCGAGAACGTTTCCTCTTACCCTCTCCTTCATCCGCTGCACGATGAAGCGCAGATATTTACTCATCTCCTGTTTGTTCAGGTTCTTCTTTTTACTTCCCTGCAGGAGGACGGATGACGTGGAGAAAGAGGACAAAGAAAGAGAGAGTTTTTCAATCACAGCAGGATCTGCTTTGACCCTTTAACCCTGGTGTTTTCCCAAACAGACACAACTATAACAAATAAAATCACGATCAAATAAAAAGATACGAGAAGAAAAGAGAAGTCGGCAGAGAGAGAAAAAGTTACAAGAGGTCAAATATGAGCGAGTGTTTTCTTCTGTTATCAGACTTAAAAATGATCAGCTAGCACAACAAAGCTAACACCGTTTTTCTTTACCACTTAAATGAAGTAAATGTGTCTTTTGGATTCCAGTCTGAACGTCAAAGTTTAAATCTGTTCCATAAAATAATATAAATAATAATAATAATACATCTTTCTGTATGCACACAGAGAACACACACTGATCAAGCCGACCTTTTTGCGCTCTGTGCATCCAGATGGTTAGCTAGCAAAACATAGTCTAACGGCTAAATTCCACAGGATACGCAACGGCTGCGCTGCGCTCCGGAATGGCAGCTTGGTCGAATATGCAGGCATTATAATCAATGTACGTGATCACACACAATCCGTCCACTGTGGATCTGCTCCGGCAGTCAGTTTAGATACGCACGGCTTCTATTTTTGCCGGACGCCACAGCACAGTGCATCAATCCAGCGCAGCATGAGCAGCAGCGGAAGTTGTATGGAGCTACAGAGTAAAATATCCAGTTAATTTTCAAAATAAAATAAAGTCGATACGTTGAACTGTTCTTCAGTTAATGAGAGGGCCCAGGGTTGTGGGATGTTGGTGTTTATATACACCGCCGTACTAATTCAATGTCTTACGGTGAAACATGCAAGATCTCATGAGATCTCATCCAGTCTCGCAAGAAATATCGGTAATATCGCGATCAGATCCGGTGGGCGCTGTTTGCTTGTGTTTTTGATCCGCCTGCCGTTCCAGAGCAGATCTGTACGCATTGAAATCCCAGCGTAACACGACATTACAGGAAAATAGTAAAAGTACACAAACGCATACGTGCAAATACTTACCCTGCAGACAACACACTGCCAGTGGGACCCTCCGTCTCTTGGCTTGAACTCCTCTGACAGACACTTGAGATGATAAACCCGGAAGCAGTTGTCGCAGGTGAGGACGTCACCCGGTAAATGACACTCGAAACAGTACCAGTCGTGACTCTCTGTCTCCCACTCCTGCGGGAAAGACACAGCAGAGCACAAGTTTGGGTGACCCCCCCCTCCAACCCGCCAACCACAGCAGGGGAGGAAACGGCTTTCTAAATCCTCCGTCTGGGATTAAAGCTAGCTCTCAGGTTTGTGAATTCAAAAGGAGTTTAGAAACTTCTGGCAAAGAGCAGAAGCTGTGTGATTAAAACAGAAATCTCAGAGTTGTTACAGATCCTGGTTGGTTCGACACTTGCTGAAAATACTCCTCGACTATTTAATCTGTATTTTCACACACATGCTGTAGTAATATTGTCTTATTCTCATTCAGGGGTTCATGTTGAGGGCACAGTGACAGGAAGTATGGACCGCTAACTACTCATCAACCTGTCAAGAGTCCAACTCCCCCCACTCACAGTCTGGACCGACTCTGCAGGAAAGAGTCGTGACTGAGTGCCGCTCAATAAAAGCTAAAAAAAACCAACAACTTCAGCCTGATTCTTCATCCTTTCTCCGTGTGTTTTTATGCTGTTTGTTGAGTAAAATAAAACAAACTACTTCTTCATTTGCTTCCAAAACTTGACAGATTTTTTCCATGTCACTTGGAGCACACAATGCCAAGACCTCTGATTTTAACGACGGAGTTTCAAGATCCTCCAAGGATTCGCAACTTGAGGCCGTAAACGTGCGAATATCCTCCGCAAACCCATCCACGGATTCCTCGAAGGACGTCTACTTTAAAAGGAGCGTTAGAGGACTCTTCACCCCCACAAACACTTGGCGAAACAGAAATGGTGCTCCAGTTCTGGCGGATGTCAACAGGCACTTCACTATTGTTGGGAGTCTCTGATGAAAGACGAGTGGCCGACTTCAAAAGGCTGCAGCTCTCTGAGCCAAGGACACAGCGTCTGCCGTTCCAGCAAAGTGAGACTCAACAGGAGCACGGACGGAATAAAGGCCCATGAATGGAAACTACGACAACAACAGCACAACTTTGAGTTCAGTAACTCAAGAGCTGCACTGAGAGAGATTTCCTAGACCTGGTACCAAACACAGATTAGCATAACAAGACTGCGGCAAGGTGGAATACAGATTTTTGTCGAGGTGGACTTTGCTGTCCTCAAAACCTTTTTATTTTCCACCCAGTAGGGCTGGGTGGTAAACCGAAAATTTGCCAGTACCGAAATTTACGACAATAACCGACGTCATTTTGCCCATATCGGTATATTCGGCGTCAAACAAATAAATAAATCAAAGTTGGTTTTGGATGTGTGTAGGTAGGATATGGTCTCAGAGACGTGACTCCACCCCATCCAGTCCGTAACAAAGAGGGAAAGACAGGTGAGGAGATGGAGGACGGTTCAAAAGTTGTAGCGGTTGAAGTAGAAGGAGTTAATGTGGGAGGGGGTGAGCAGCTTGTGGAGTAGTTATCATCCATTTGTTGTTATTGAGGTGAACTGATCAATATATTGTGATATTGATTTGAGGCAAGATCGCCCAGCCCTACCACCATCTGCTTAATTAAAATGCTTAGCTAACTGGGTTACAAATGGGTCTAAACAGGCGCTGAACGGAGAATCGGTTTACTGCCGATGATTTAGAGTTTATCATGACCACCAAAACCACATAATCTCCACACCAGGATAAACCAAGGCTCTGACTCTGAGCTGCTGACAGAAATAACGGCAAAAGATGTCAAACGTAAAACTTACTTTGGTTGTATCACAGATGCTGAATGTCTGACACTGCCTCATCATTTTCTTAACAAAAACAAAACATGTATTCGTCAGTGTTTTTCGGACGTATCTTGATTAAATCACTGACTCCATTTCAACGTAGAGGAACAGGGTTGACTGCACTGTGTTGACTGTAAGGCCTGTCGGAGTCAGGTTAAAGCAACATCCCTTCTGCAGTATGTTGTGGTGCTCTTTCACTTCCAGAAGGTGATCCTAAATTTTTGACGGTGCTCCTTGTTTTTTGAGGTTGGAAGCACCGTTGCTACCTTGTAATTCAAACCCATTAAACTAATGGGCTTATAAAATGTCACGATTGGTAGTTAAGGTTATTTAATAGCACTGCACACATTTAAAAATGTTAAAACAAAGTAAGATCATTGAGGAGGAAGGAGAGACACCTGAAGAAAGGAAGATCCATTTAAAATAACGTGTTAGTCATTAAAATGAAATAATGTGTATTTGTGCTTTTTTTTTTTTTTTTGACTCAATCATTATTCTTTAAGTGCATCAACACATCATATCATGTTTGTTATCATGCATCACGGGTGCACGGATTGACATTAGTTAAACCACCAAACTTTCACACGATCAACAAAGCATCGAACATTTTTCATACTGTTTTTTAATGGGAAAATTACCCTTAAATGAGCTAAAACTCAGAGCAGGTACTCGCAGATAACCTGGACTTAATCCATTTAAACAATAGGCGGTGCACTTTTAACTAATTTTCAAGATTTGGACTTTAACTTTGAAAAGAATATGATCAGTTAAGTAGTCTTTGGTGATCTGAGGCCGTGACTGTATGTAGAAGTGGTTGAAGCGATAGAATCCAATATTTGTTTTTTAGCTGATATCGGACCGATACCTGATATTGGATCGGGGCACCCCTATAATGTACGACACGATACAGGTTAGGTCTAGCTGCTTTTCACTTCAGCTTATCATTATTGTATCACACAGATAAGGATGATGATATATTGTCATGTCGGTATTTCGTCTCACCTCCACTTTAAATGGGACATTCTAACTTTCCAACTTTACATTAACATCATATTTAGCAGTAGACTGATTATCAACCTTGACGGATTATCTGTATCGGTCTTTCATTTAAAAGATGGCCGACAGAATCAACTGTTTAAAAGGTGAGCTACTTTGACTTTTCTTCTGAGTCTGTTTCCTTGTACCAGGTTGTCTTACCTAACGCCCCGCCAACAACACAATATGATTGGCTACATGTCCCAGAGTTCCATCAACTCTTGTGTAAGATGCTCAACATTTAGATCTGATTTAACATTTGAGACGGCTTTTAAGTAGAAGTTTGTCAACACATATCATTTCCATATATTGGTTATCGGTCTCATGAACTACTAATAATTGGTTTTGTATCAGCCCCAAATATCAGTCAACTCTCAACCATATTAAATTTAAGAGGACTTTAAACTCATGACTGACTCGATGAGATTGTTTGCTGAAGGAGTTCTACAAGTTGTAATTGTGATTATTTCCTTTAGGACTTCTTCCAATTAATCAGATTTTGATTTGTAACCATTGCAGTTGTTCCCTTCTAGAGTTTCAGGCCATTTCTCTGGCTTTTCTTTAATAATTAATGGGCTATATAACCACCTCCTACACACAGTCATCAGTCCGAGAAGTCAATTTTCTGAGGTCAAAATAAACACACAGCACACACCAGCTGAATTTAATCCAGGTACCTGCAGAGACGAGACTGTCTCCACTTACAAACTGCTTTACTGTGGTTCTCATTTTCAAACTCTAACCCTAAACCTGAAAGAACCAGTCAGCTGGGTTACTAGCATAAAACCCCAAAATAGCATAACTAACCCCCTCCTCTCCATCACTATATCCAACTCCACCCTGCTTCATCATCAGTCAATGGAGGAGAAAAAGAAAATAAGCATGCCAGACAGAAGTTAAGATCACAGCAGAACACACCCCTGTAAGGAGAACTACAACTACCAAGACCAAAAAACTACAAACGCACAGATGCTTGCTACCAACCTGCGGCTATGCTAGCATTGCTTGTCATTTTATGTTTGTGTAAAGATTCATTTGAACTTACAATAATCACAGCTTGAGCTGAATTTCTCACTTGACACATGAGTGTATCTGGCAGCTTTGAGCTGCGCTGAGTGAGAGTTTGTGTTTGAACAATAATCAAGCAACAGCACATCTGTAGATGAGTAGCGAGCAACAGATTTCATCAAGATCACTGATCACTTCCGCAAGAAATTTGGCCACGTCGACACAGCGCTGCAGCGGACTTTCATGAAGCTTTTTTACGGTGGAACTGAATGACAGCAAGTAGCTTCTGGTCGTGTGTTTCACTCTGGACTTAATGGCAAAATGTGGGGCAATTCCCAACAGGAAATCAGCCTCCACCTTGTGTAAGAATTTCAAAGTAAAGGTGCAGCAATTAGACTCTATCGGGAGCTTTACAAAGACTTCATCAAATGCACCAACCAGAACTTACTGTGTGCTGCTTATGTTTTTGTTTTTAGTCGACCTGCGTTAAAAGATTCAGTCGAATCCCTGACCGCACTGCATGTGGCAGACCTGATTTCTCACAGAATGATGTTAGTCGAGGTGGGGAAGGGGGGATGAAGTGATCAAATGAAGAACAAACCCTGAAATTTGGAATATAACAATGCAGCCCTTACCTTGCTTCCCTCCGCTTTGGGATCCTGTGATTGCAAGTGATTCAGAGAGTAGTGTTTTAAAAGTCCTGCTGCCAAAATCCACCTGAGCTCCTCTGGCCAACAGTGTCAAGTCTTGAGAGTTTTACAGGATATTTTTTATTCTTAAACATTTCAACATTTCTGTGCAGACAGCCCCTTACACACCAGCATTCCCCAGTTAGACATGGTTCTCACTATTGTACCCTACAAGTCTACCCAGGGCTTTAAAAATGTGAATTTCTCTCACATTGATGGTTCTCAACCTTGGGTTCCTGAGTGGTCTTAACTGATGCTGTCAGCACCAGATTTACAAGTTGGGTGAAGAAAATATCAACCTGTTCGACACCAACATGCAAAGAGGCCTGAACTTGCTCGCGAGTTAGCCACACTCTGCATACCAGTTTGACACGTTTTACCTGCTGATTCTGACATCCGTGTGCTGTGTGGAACACGAGGTGCTCAGTTTTCACAGCTTTCTGGGTGTTTTACAAAAACTAGGATTTGTCAGTTAGGTGGAATTTAAATTTTCATTTCCTCAAATAAGTCACTTACGAGCAATAAACTACTTCCCACCTCAACAGGGATCTTAAACTACTTTCCTGGGGTCCCAGAAAAAAGTGATTATTTTTATCTTTAGGTGCAACAAGAGTTTGTGAAGAACGACAAAGAGAGGAAGACAGGAGGAGAGAAAAGAAGAGAAAGACAGGGAGATCACAGAACTATAATCTGATATTCTACTTTGTGCCTACATATGTTTTAAACACACTAAAAATATCAGCTCTGGTTCTTTCTCTGTTTTTCTGTCCTGCTGATTGTGATTCCTGTCTGCACATTTCTGTAACAAAAGGAGAGGAAGCAAACATTTATTTTTTCAACGATGGAAAGCAGGAAGGTTTGGGCACGAAACCAAGTGACTTGTTGTATCAATCAGTCTCCACTCTGTCTTCGGAGTCCAAAAGGTTGAGAACCACTTCTGTGTATGACCTGATGCTGGTTAAAACCACTGTTTTTAGACTACTACTTCATGTTAAAGGTCTTCCTTCAGGTTGTCAAAGAAATCTGTCTCTTTATACCTGCATGTGTCTCGCTCAAAACAGATTGATAATGCTCTCCTAGTTTTATTGTGTATAAAGCAGAACAGCTATAGCAGAGGTGTTGGTACCCTGCAGAAGAAGCACCAGGATTAAAGTAGCCACCAGATACATGTTAATGCCACTTGTGCAGTAATCCATTAAGTGCTCTTTGAATAACAAATAGGCAAAGACGTGTGGATTCTCCCCAGGTAGTGCAGACACAGGGAAACGACACACTCAGTGCAACACTACCGTAGGAAAAAATCCAAACACTGCTACTCTGTGCACTGATCCTCACGACTAACAGGGGAAATAAGGGGAAATGAAAAGACTTGGAATGAGAAACATATTAATCTCATAATGAAGCCCAGCAGAGGGTTGCATAAGCACGTCAGAAGAAAGCTGTCTGCAGAAAGAACACCCGAACCTCTGCAGCGTGGCTCTTATTCCTCAAACTTAAAACTTCTGGCTCATGAGTTTTATTCGCTCCATGATGTGTCTGCGTACTGAGACTCGGTTAACACTGTGTTCACACTGTGAGCAAACCCGGCAGATGGGCAGATGTATCTGGTCTTAGTCTGTGCGGAGGTCAGCGATACAGCTCCTGAGGTAATAACTTCATTAACACAGATTTTACCGACTTTCAGAGAGCCGTTATTAGACTGGAGGTGACTGTCCAGAGTAAAATCATCAACGACAAACTCATCATAATACTGTGAGACTGACGACAATGTGAAATCTTTTATAAATCAATTTCCATGGGTTTGAGCTGACCCAGTAACTTATTTTTTCTGCTTCTTACAAGGGCTTTTCCTAACTGTTTTATAACATCAGGATTTCTTGAGAAAATTGCAGCAGATAAATAATGAAATAAAAATGAAATTCATTTTGCAATTGCATGTTGAAAAACATTAAACAAATACATTATTATCTCATTGGTCAGTAGGATCTGGCGTAAGCTGTAAGACGATATTCAGCTTCTCCAAAACAAGAACGTTGCTCACAGAATGAACACATATGTAACAGGTCGTACTTTAGGAAACACAGATGGAACAGAACAGGACTGACTTTGTTTGACACAGGAAACTGTTTTTGTACTTACCATCTCATCCCCCGGCAGCCAGTACCCCTCCTGCTCGATACCGGCTTTGGAGCCCTTGCAGCCCACAGTCAGGGTCTCCACCACCAGGCCGTCCTTCACAGCCAAGCTCAGCTGTCTGGCGGTCTCTTTAGGGTGCATGCCAAAAATACGGCTCAGGTACCTGGACAGGTGGAAGTAAAAACATGGATGTGTGATGATGTGCAATGGCATCACAACATCAATGGGCGAAGATTCTAGAACTGACATCAATGAAGATTCTAAAACTGATAACAATGGCGTAAGATTCTAGAACTGACATCAATGAAGATTCTAAAACTGACATCAAAGAAGATTCTAAAACTGACATCAAAGAAGATTCTAGAACTGACATCAAAGAAGATTCTAAAACTGACATCAAAGAAGATTCTAGAACTGACATCAATGAAGGTTCTAGAAATGACATCAATTAAAGTTCTACAGCTGACATCAATGAAGATTCTAAAACTGACATCAAAGAAGATTCTAGAACAGACATCAATGGCGTAAGATTCTAAAACTGACATCAATGAAGATTCTAAAACTGACATCAATTAGAAATGACATCAATTAAAGTTCTACAGCTGACATCAATGAAGATTCTAAAACTGACATCAAAGAAGATTCTAAAACTGACATCAATGGGGTACGATTCTAGAACAGAACATGATATTATGCACTGTTGATTCTGACATTCCGGAATGGCTCACACAGTCTCTGAATATAAACAAAATCAGCTGTGAGATCTTCTCCCAGAATTTATTTTAGAATCACACCACATTTTAAGTGCTTTGTTGTTCCTGTTCTCATATTTTTAAAATCTGTTGCTGGTATAAAATTTTAAGAACGTATACTTTTGTTACACAATGAAACTGTTGATTTGTTGTCTTAGGCTGTAAATGAAACGTTAATCATCAAAATTAAAATATTTCTCTCGGCTTTAGCTCTTTTGGAATTAGGTTTGTACATGTTGAGAGTAAAATCTTAATTTAAAAATCTCACTGAGAAAAACAGAAACCCGAGTCCAAATTTCCATAAATTTCACAGGTGGTTAGACTTATCCCTGATTATTCACAGCGTTTAGGTGGATTGATGATTGAGTCGGTGGTTTGAAGCAGGTTGATGTATCGCTGTGATTCTGCCTTATTACAGTTCATTCAAAGAGAGGGATGGGCAGCTCATTATTCTTCCCTCTGGGTGAAATTAAAATACAGAAGGGCTTGAAGGGGAAGGGGGGGGCTGCTTGTGCAGGAGAGCTGGGGCTTTCCTCTGCTTGCACGTATGCCGCCGCTGCTTACTGTTGCTATGACGACAGCCTCTCGCCGCCTGTACTCATTTGGCAGACAGCCAGCTCCAAGGTGCTCGCCAACCTGCCGTATAAGATGTGTTGAGTGTTTCGTTTGGTGTCTGCGTCTGCTAATCATAGAGGGCTGACGCGAGAGAGACGTTAACAATTTACATGTTTGAGCAACATGAGCTTCCCTCTAAAGAATCATATCCCTCATATGCGGATAAGTCTTTATCTGAGGGGTTGAACTGTAAATTAACTTCACAGTGTGTGAAAAGCAGCTGACAAACATCTGAACTCTGACAGCTGTCTGTCTCACTATTGGCTGCTGTCTGGTGTGGCATTCAGTGTAAACACAACTCAACAGATCACCTTGTATTAACACAATGAGGACTATGCCCAACAATAAAAGCACATTGCTCCACTTGGCAGCAGCAAAATGAGGTGTAATTTAATCTTCCAGGGCAGTGTGCCCAGTTAAAATCTGTCAAGGCTTATTAATAGTGTCTGACATTTCTATAAGTAGAGCTACTGCAGAAATACAGTGTAAAGTCAAATACTTGATTCCGAAAACCCCATAATAACGTGGATGGAAGTTAATGCACATTACATCTCTGCCTATCAACTCAGTGGCAAAACTGGCAAGCCTCCATCTCAGGCTGTCATAGAAAGCTGTCAAGATGTCAACATCAAAACTTTAGAGACTGAGGGAAAATCTCACAGTATATCCTGCATAATCTCTGCTGTGTGGTTTGTTCTTGGGACGATTTTTATCTAGTGAACACACAGATATACCACAAAGGATTTACTTTATAGGATTTTCTTATCTGCGGTTTACTTACTTGGAGATCCTGTCCATGTTGGCGATCTGTTTCTGGTTGCGAATGACCTCGATGGCTGCCCACACATACTGGACCACCTTTGGGTCCGCCTGCCTCTTCTTCACCACGCGTGACATGATTTCTTTATTCATCGCGACTGCAGGAAACAAAGGGAAACGACAAATTAGCAGATGAAATTACTTTTAGTTATGTGTACATATTTACAACCAAGAAACAGCAGAACTTAAACTCCAAGGACAGGAGTGCAGCAGCTTTAATACAATGTTAAATTCAAAGGTATCATCTCTCATGTTACTCTGAGGTGGTTTGGATTTGCATGAGTGACTGTGGTTGACTCCTTCCCCCTGTAATTTTAGTTACAAAACCATTTCTGTGTCAATATGAAAGATACTTTTGGAAATTGAGGTTGAAGAAAGAACCTTCCAACTATTAACATGAAAAACTGACCCCAGGGCTCAAAGGTGCAGTCTGTAGAGTGAAGTTATTTAGCAATGCCAGAGGGTAAGATTCTAGAACTGACATCAATGAAGTTTCTAGAACTGACATCATTGGGTAAAGATTCAAGTACAGAACACTTCCTTACCAACCTCTGTTGTCACTGAGGCATCAGTGGCCTTCAATGAGCAAAAGAGATGTATGATAAAGTGGCGTCATCCCCATAGACACAGGTAATTCAACTGTTTCAAAGGATGAGGTGGTGAAGTTTTTAGTTATTTTTTCTAAATAAATATAGTTAATTTCTCAGTTTGAAGATATCTATTCAGAGTTTTACATTGTCAATGAAGCCAACTTCCTCACAAAAGAGTATTATGGACACAAAAATTAAGATCTCCTCAATTAAGATTTTTCAGTCATTTTCCTACAAGAATAAAGTTGTAATTTTTACTGCCAATGCATATCAGTCTCATGAATTAACAATAACTATAATCTACATTTAAGAACCAATATCAGTCGACGCAGGTTCTAACTTCTCTAATGCAGAAATTTGATCTTTTTCTGTCACTTTGTAAATAAAGTATTTGGGTTTTTCTTTAAGCTGCTGTGATTAGTTTTTTTTTTTTTTGACAAGTCACAGACAAATTTCTGCAAACTAGACAATAAATGAATTTAAATCGGCAGATTAAGAAATGAAAAAAATACATACACCTGTTTGGAGCAGCTCAATTCAGGTGCCTAATATAAGGATTAAATTCAGAACCAGGCTCAAATTCTTTGTTCTCTCTGGGCGCAAGTTATTGAAAATCCATATATTGGCACCACATTTTGCTTGGGAACCACTGATAACATATAAACAAATGATATCAAAATCATGTCATGCTGCCATTAAGGAGAACAGTTTTTATGCCTCGGATCATTTCTCTCCCTGCTGTGCTTGGATCAAAAGAAAAACAAGTAAATGTCAGAGACAATTTGACATGCGAAACTCTCGCAGACCTTCAAAGGGTCTGAAAAATACGAGTTTTCCCCTCTCCTCTGCTGCACAGGCCTGTCCTTCCTCAAATATCTTGAGAAATCCAAATCCAATTTTATGCGTTCCTCTTCCTAACCATCCGTGAAACCTAAGATGTCACTTTCATAAATCGTGGCCAGAAGCTAAGTATGATAATGCTCAGAGCATTTTTATAGGAAGCAAGACTCTTGGCTTCGCTGCATGTTGTGGTCGACGAGGAGGCTGAGACAGATGTTGAAAGAGGATGTTCATCATCGCACTTATCTCTCAGGGGCATGAACTGAGGTTTAGTTTGAAAAGAGCATGAAAGAAAGAGAAAATGTAGGTTGTTTTGATGGTGAATCACCTGAAAATATATGTAAATGTAGCTCAAATCAACACACAGCATGCGGCCAGCTAAAAACAAGCAAAGGGAAATGTTGTGGTTCACTTTCTGGTCACGGTTAGAGCGAGGGCGTCTTAGGTCGGCGTGTGATGTAATCATCCCCTCAAGCTGGGTCTATTTACATTTCAATCCTGAGCTCAAGTTCACAAATACAAAGTCATGTCTAGATCTCAATGAACAACACCGAATAGCTCTATCCTCCAGGTTCAACAGATTTAGAAAACTCTGTAAAAGACATCCAGTACTTGAAATTTTTACAAGTGACATTTTTGTGTCTCTTCAAAGAGCAGAGGTTTTACCGTTCATTTGATATTGATGGAACAATTATTTGAAAGCTAAATGGGGTTTCCATCTCACCAGGCAATCTAGTGGATGTTTCAATTCCTCATCTTAGCTGGAGGGACACACAGGTAAAATGATAGGGGCTGTGACATTTTAATTTTAATCTGACAGATTATCAAATACAGCCAGGCAACAATGACTCAATGGGGCAATGATACATCTACGACATACATGATATGTGATTGTTACTATTTTTAAATGACTGCTCAAGATAGGGCCGAGCAAAATTGCATAAATCGCAATGACAAAACTGGACACAGATCAGTACAAAACTGCATCAAAATAACTTATTTGATCATGCAAGTCTGAAGAAGATCCTCTAGAAACGAAAGAAACTAGAGCACATAGTTTGGTCAACTGTTTTTGTTAAATCACAATTATGGTCCGACTGAATATGATGCCAGTAACACAGGAAATTATGTAGACAGGGTCAATGTAACACTAAACAACGTCATGCTGAGCAAACACGTTAACATTTGACCAAATTATCCTTCAGAATAAAATTACAAAGAATTTAAAGAACATTTCATCATCAGAGCAATTAATCAGTAAGGCTGATTAATCAGAAAGAGAATTAGAAACAGAAATCTCTATTTCATCCAAAGGAAATTAAGTCATGACACTTGCTCTTGAAAATACATATGTTAATAAAAAGGAAATGGAAGCGTAAATAAAATTACCATATTTTTCCCACTATAAGCGCACCTGATTATAAGGCGCACCATCAATGAACGCGTCTATTTGCATCTATTTTCATACATTAGGCGCACCGGATTATAAAGCGCATTAAGCCAAATAAAACAGTCAGATAAGTCAAACTTCATGTAACTCATTCAATAACTCTGCAAGGCTACGGTAGCTGCAGTGCTCCGACAAGCAAAAAGGATTTTAAGTGCGCCTTATGGTGCGAAAAATACGGTAGTATAATTAAAAAACTACAATACTTCGTACAAAGTGCAGATTAGTAGAAATAAAGCGGTTTAAGAAATAGGCTACGTACAAGCTCAGAGTGTAGTAAGTCATGTATAGAAAACCAGTTTGCAGCACTGAATTGTAGGATATTGCACAATATACCAAACAGTATGATAATACAATACTTGTACAGCATAACAGAAAAGTACTGTATTATGATACTGTCTATTCTGCAAAATAATTAGGTTGATTAATGGCATTCTGAACCACCTAGGCTTGTGAGGACGTTTTAAAAAATGAACTGCTCTCTACACGTATTACAACTGTATGGCTCGGTAGTAGAAGAGTCCAGCATGTCACCCATGAAAAGCGTGAGAGACCCCAAAGTGTGGAGCTGGTCACCTATTTTGAATGTTTTATAAAATAATCTAAACCTGCTTTGTTAACATTTTTAAAAACCTCCAAACTCCTCTGGAATTGAGGTTGTAAATATTGTACTTTGAATCAGAGCTGACAGAGAGTCAAAAGTTGGGATGTGTCCAGTGGCTTTTACTGATGGATTGTGTTTGATGTTTACTGGTAGAATGTTCATATCCAAAATTACAATATAGTGACAGGCTTCCAGATCGAGTCCTGCTCTGTTACGATAATGATAGAATAATCTATGACAGACACACAGGATAGATGGAGACAGTGCTGTCAAAGATTTAACACCCTATCCACAGTTAGCTGTCCAACAGCATCCTTATCAACACAGACATGAGTTTAATGGACCGTTCCGGGACGGGGGAGCTAGAATACCACACTGATAATACAAAATAATAACAAAAAAAATCACAATTTCCTGTCGCTTTACAAACATTTTGCACATTTTACAACAAAGAGGTAGGCCACGCCACTGCCAACCAAGAAGCAGAACTTAGCTAACGTTACTAGCGTCAAAACCACCGGCTATCGGGACAAAAATACAGATTTAACTACATCTAATTGATCTTTGTGAACATCTTAATATTTCGAAATGAAACAATCGCGTTAAAGTTTTGTGGTAGCAGGTCAGGAGGCTGCGTTAAGTTAATTTGGTTAGCAATGCTAATAAACTGATACGTAGCTAACGCGGGTGACTGTCAAACACGAGCGAGTCAACTTGTCAACCTTCCCAAGAAAGAAAAACAAACAAGGCAACTCACTTGTAGTAATTCGTCTGCAACTAAGGCTCTTTAGGAAGACGCCAAACAGTTAGCAAACTAGCTACCAACTGGTTTGTTTTGGAGGGCGCCATGTTGACAATCCTCCATCACGGGATAGGAAAGGCAGCTAAGGCTAAGCTAACGTTGCTATGCGCAGTGTTAACACAGAGCGCGGGGATTAAAAGACCGAACCCACCTTTACTACGGTGTCACTAACACACAGCAATGCAGGGAATCCGTAGAGGATTGAAAGCCAGGCCGCTTACATCGGTATTTTTCGGGCGAGATGGCGCTGTTGGATGGCGGTGTGTGTCCAGCTGGCCGCAGTACAGCAGCGCTGGGCTGGGAGGTAAACACAGACAGACAGCGCTAACAAGAGCCGAGCCGAGTCGAGCCGAGTGGAACCGAGCAGCACCGAGACTTCCGAACGAGAGGGGGAACTCTAGTGGTGGAATCCGACCAACTACATCTTCCAACTTGCACTCAATAAACTCGATATAACAGCGCAGTTAGTGAAAAATTGAAGGGTTAGATAGACATATTTTTTGTTTGTCGCCAGTATAACTATATACCAGTATTTACTTCTCTGTGAGAGACTGCATGAGCACAATTTAACAATTTTAAATCAATTTAAAAATGTTCATACATGATATTTACTCTTGCAGGTAAACTGCTGGTAAATATCTGAATCCTGGTCTGCAGGTTAATCAGGATCTGCGGTGAAAGCAGAGCAAAAACAAGACTGTACACGGAGTCGGATGCCTGTGAAGTAAATAGAAAGCAGGAAACTTTTGATGCAAACGGGTGTTATTAATCATTTGAAAATGGATCATCTGTGGCTGCTCAACTTTTTAGCCAATTCAGCTGCAGCCAGATACTTCCCCTCTCAAACCGCACCTCTTCCTGGGATGAGTCAGAGCTTGATAACCCCTCCCTCCTCTTCCTGCTCTCAAACGCTGCCATCTCCACAGATCTCTAGTTTGACAATGGGCATAACCGGCATGGAGTGAAGTGCAGGAGCTGGTAGATCCTGTTCCCTGTGCTGACATAGTGTAATGTAGATCAGAGCTCGAACTAGCTTCTGATTTTTTTAAGGAAGTGAAATTCTGCAAGTCATTATTTCTGTGAGGAAGAATGGAGCAGAAAGGAGTTCAGCTGGACCGAGATATGATGTCTTGTTCAATCTGTCTGGATCTGCTGAAGGATCCGGTGACTGTCCCGTGTGGACACAGCTTCTGTACGATCTGTCTGAAAACCCACTGGGATAGGGAGTCGAGATTCTACAGCTGTCCTCAGTGTAGACAGACCTTCAGACCGAGGCCTGTCCTAGGGAAAAACACTGTGTTAGCACATTTAGTGGAGGAGCTGAAGAAGACTGGACTCAAAGCTGCTCCTGCTGATCACTGCTATGCTGGTCCTGAAGATGTGGCCTGTGATATCTGCACTGGGAGGAAACTGAAAGCCTGCACGTCCTGTCGGCAATGTTTGGCGTCTTACTGTGAGGACCATCTCCAGCCTCATTTTGAATTGCCTGTCTTTAAGAAACACAAGCTGGTGGAGCCGTCCAAGAACCTCCAGGAGAACATCTGCTCTCGTCATGATGAGGTGATGAAGATGTTCTGCCGTACCGATCAGCAGTCTATCTGCTACCTTTGCCCTGTGGACGAGCATAAAGGTCACGACACGGTCTCAGCTGCAGCAGAAAGAGCTGAGAGGGAGAAAGATCTGGAGGAGAGTCGAGAAAACATCCAGAAGAGAGTCCAGGACAGAGAGAGAGACATGAAGCTGCTTCAACAGGAGGTGGACGTTATCAATCGCTCTGCTGATGAAGCTGTGGGCGACAGTGAGAAGATGTTGACTGAAATGATCCAAAAAGTGAAGCAGCAGGTCAGATCCCAGCAGAAAACTGAACTGAGTCGAGTCAAAGACCTAAAGGAGAAACTGGAGCAGGAGATCACTGAGCTGAAGAGGAAAGACGCTAAATTGGAGAAGCTCTCACACACAGAAGACCACAACCAGTTTCTACACGACTTCCTCTCACTGTCAGGACTCAGTGAATCTACACAGTCACCCATCATCGGTACCCGTCCTCTGAGGTACTTTGAGGATGTGACGGCAGCCGTGTCAGATGTCAGAGAGAAACTGGAAGCTGTTCTTCAAGAAAAATGGACAAACATCTCACAACCAGAACCAGAACCCAAGACCAGAGAAGACTTCTTAAAATATGCTCGTGACATCACTATGGATCCAAACACAGTGCACGATCACTTGTCATTATCCAAAGGGAACAAAGAGATAACATTTGGAGATTCGGAGACTTCTTATCCGAGTCACCCTGACAGATTCACAGATGTATGGCAGGTCCTGAGTACAGAGAGTCTGACTGGACGTTGTTACTGGGAGGTGGAGTGGATAGGGGAAGAAATTTATATCGCAGTTGCGTACAAGAGCATTAGCAGAGTAGAAGAATATGGATTTGGATGCGACGACAAATCTTGGGCATTATTTTGTTACCGTACCTACAGCTATACATTCATGCACAACGACATAGAAACTCCCATTTCAGCTGTCGGATCCTCAAGAATAGGAGTGTACCTGGATCACAGCGCAGGTATCCTGTCCTTCTACAGCGTCTCTGACACCATGACCCTCCTCCACAGAGAGCAGACCACATTCACTGAGCCTCTACACGCTGGACTACGAGTTGCATTTTCTTATACATACACAGCTGAGTTCTGTTAACTGAAATAGACAGAAGTCATTCGAAGAGCAGTGGGTTTAATTTTGTGACATCTTTCAAGAGCTTAATGTTTTCTGTCAGCTTCTTTCTACACACAATCGAACAATATGGGTGGTACTCTTATTTTTGAGTGTCATATTTATCACAGATTCCATTAGCAGCATGACAATGTTAACTCCTTGCTGTCCTTGACTATTTGGACCATTTCTATCGACACGTGTAAATGTTGTTGAGGCTCTTCAAATGCATCTGTCCTGAGAGAGACTACAACTTATCTTTAATTATTACATTTAGTTGATTAACTTCTGTTGAGAATGTTTTTGAGAGTGCTACACCAAAGCTGATATTTTGGGTGTAACATGCGCGACCTCTGCTGGACAAAGTCAAGGGGTGCAGTCCAGTGTTGCATTCATTTGTAATAGTCAAGTCAATGTTTATTTATAAAGCACCTTTAAAAGACAGCAGTCAAACAAAGTGCTGTACATGGGATAAATAAAAGGAGTAAATAAATAGAACAATAAAAATACAATTAAAAACAGTAGAATAAAATACAGACAGTAAAAGAATAAAAGCTACAGTGGCTATGATTTATGTGTGCTCATTTATTAAAAGCAAGGGAGAAAAGGTGGGTCTTTAAAGATGATTTAAAAGACTCTAAGGTCTGAGAGGCTCTAATATGGCCAGGTAAACTGTTCCAGAGTCTAGGGGTAACCGCTGAAAAGGCCGTGTCACCTCTAGACTTGAGTCTTGTTTTTGGGACGCTCAACAGTAGCTGGCCAGAGGACCTTGAGAGGTGATACATTTGAAGGTGGTTGGTGGATGACGTGTCCAAGCCTGCATATAAGGAGTTGCAGTAATCTATACATGAAGTTATAAAGGCATGAATAGTTTTCTCATGATCAGCCTTTAAGAAATAATTTTTAGTCTTTGCTAAAAGATGGAACTGGAAAAAGCTTGTTTTAACGACAGCACTGATCTGCTTATCAAGTTTGAGCTGGTTGTCAAAAATAAAGCCAAGATTCTTTACAGTTGACTATACATTGGAACTCAGAAGGCCCAGGACATCAGGAAAATTTCCACCTCAGACTCATGAAGGTTTAGAAGGTTCACACTCATCCATGACTTAACTTCGCTAAGGCAACTGAGGAAAGTCTGGACAGTGTCCTTGCCGAGTGCCCTTAGCGGCATGTAAATTTGGACATCAACGGAAAGACATATGTTTCCGAAAGACAGCCTCAAGTGGCAACATATACAAAAGAAAGAGAATAGGACCCAGGATGGAGCCTTGAGGGACTCCACAGGTCAGTAATAGCTGTGTAAAATATATTAACCTTGTATTTCTCGCTGAAAGATAATAATAATAAAAAAAAGTCAAGATTGTTGTTCTGTATTTAAGTGAAGTGACAATTTGTAACAAAAAAAAAAAAAAAGACCGTTAGCTGTGCAATTGTGGTGCATTCAAGGGCGCTGGGAAAATTCAACACTCATTAGCTATCGCGTTACTGGTAAGATCTGGAAGTTTCGATTAAGTATAAAAGTATGTCTTTGAAGAAGGATCAGTAAACCCCTGATATATTAACCTGAGTTAAAAACCAATTTTTACTTTGAAATTTGAGGCCAATAATTAAAAAAAGAGCCAAACAAAAACGAGGATTCACATTTTAATGATTCTTTTTAACAGACAAGCTTTTCATAAAAACAAAACCGCTCGGCTTGCAGGGCATGCGTGAAGATATGTACATGTATATTTAAGATCTGAGCTCTTACAGCAGCTTCTCAGAGCACTTTTCACATTTTAATGCTGCAGATTTAAAACACTTCACACGATTTAAGAAGCAAATTCTTATTATGCATCTTTGGGCGATGAAATCAGGACTTGACACTGTAAAATTGAAATACTGTTTGGTACAAAACACAGTCCGCAAGCTCAATACTGGCCTCAGATAACCCCTTTTTTCCTTCATGCAGAGTCATAGAGCTTATTTTTTTACATCGACTTCAAATCAGAGCATGTGAGAATTACAAAAACAAATAAAAAAGTAAACAAGGATGTAAAAATAAGACTTCAACATTAAGTAGAGGAAATACAGTTTTTTGTTGTTGTACAATGTGTCACTGCCGCTCTTAAATCATGATCTAATCACAGATTCAACGTGTCATATTCATTCAACTTTATTCACACGCTCATCTCGAAGCCTCTGAGACGACCTGGTGCAAACATTTCCATGAGTAAAGATTCTCACAGTCCCAGAGGTCCTCCCAACGATACAACCAAAAAAATATATGTGAAGCTGCGACAGCTTTTTAGCAGCGCTGTGAGTTCGGGTGTTCATGCAGAGGTCTGATAACACAAACTGAGGTGCACTCGCAGGCCTGAGTGAACAAAAAGGTCTCTGAGACGAAATAAAATCTAAAAGAGCAGAATGTGTAAGGCAGACTTTTCCCTCAGTGCTGTGGTTGGAGCAGAAGACCTTCACATTCAGCAGAGAAGGTCCTGTCAGAGACACAAACAGAAAAACACACTCAGTGGTCCCATCTTTATCAGAACTATAGGAACACCTAAAGGAACGTGATTTTAAATGATGGTACCTGTTAAGTCACCTGCTGGATGAGCCCTTTTTCTGGATCATGTTTATCATCCAGTTCCTCGTCAGAGTCTGAACACGACACAGAAATGAAACAGAAAATTCAAACACAGGAAGATGAGTATCAAGAAATAAAAACAAAGAAATAACTGACCTGCTACAGACTCTGGCGGGGAGTAAAACTGTCCATCAGATAGAGGACCAGGACCCATGAGAGGAGCTCGCTCTGTGGCGCCCATGATGGACAGATATCCTGTAAAACAAAAACAGAGCCACGACCGTCACAGCAGGACGAAAATAAAACAAACAGCTACAGATGAGCTGATGATCTTCATTATTAGATTGTAGCTTCAAGAGGATGGATGGGGTTGCTCCTTGTTTGCTGCCCCGTCAAAATAAAAGACTCAAAATATCACCAATCATACAAAGGTTTAATCTGAAAAGTACTGAAGGAATGACAACATCTCAGGGTTTGTATCAGGTCTGAACCTCGGAGGCTATGATCTCATTGGAAGTGGGATTTAATTTATAAATTATGTATATATTTTTATTGTTTTATCCCTACATCCTCAGGTTTGACCCTGGATCAGTTTCCTCAAGTACGATCTTGAACAGAAAAAGTGCAAATTCTGTTTTTTTTTTAATTTTTTTTAACTCACTGTTTTCATCTTCAGCCTCCTGAGGCAAAACCTTAAAGTCGAGCAGCCAGGTTTCAATCCAGGCCAGCACGAAGGAGATGATGGGCAGCAGGTACCCGAAGGCCCCACCCTGAGACAGAAGCTACACACAAACAAACAAACGAACAAACAAACAAACAGAAACATCGTTAGTTTTACATCTTTTAGTTTACCAACCTAAAGAAGGTGAAAATGAAGCTGGAAATGAACTCCAATCTCAGAGACTCCCATGATATCCAACACTACAAATCTATAATATTTAGAAAAATAACCACCGCACTTACAATCACAAGGGATGGAAGCAGGAAAATACGGTACAACAATAAAAAAAAAAGGGATAAACATACATTAAACTCCTGTTGATAAGAAATAATCTCTAATGTAACACAAAACTTTTATTTAGGGAAATTCATCATCACAGTCATGTCGTATCAAGATGGTCAAATAAGGTCAGGGAAGCTGGTTTAAGTCGTTTAATGTTCTACTGTAATTCTGATAGTGAGCAGCAGGGGGCGGCGTTGACTCAGCATTGAGTCTGCTGAAGGAACTGAGAGTCGTGATGTTAGAGTCAGAGATGAACAGATCAGAGTCTCTTACCTTCGATAAAATGACTTTAGCGATCAGGAAAGCACAGCTGGCTGCCGTGGTGATCTGAGCGAAGACAAAAACACTCATCAGAGACACTCAAGAACTCTGATTTACCTCACCGTCTCAACCTTCTTCCTGTGTTAACTTTTACTACACAACCACCATGTTAAGGGTCGGTTTTGACCCATGTCTTAAATCAGCTGTAAATTACACTCAAAACAATTCTCTATCATCCAGTTTGGTTCTCATCCCTAGGTTACCTTGTTCGGCTTCATTATCTCCTTAACTTTTGAGCGTCGTCAAGTCAAAACGTACAAAAACTCTGACTCTGAGTGCGCCTACATTAAGATTGAGGGGTACTTTTGCCTAACAGCGCCCTCTACTGTTTAAATAAAGAACTTAAATGTATCAAACTTACTGCAATAGCCCACCAGTGACGGAGTTTACAGACCGCGTACGCCAGGATGAGAGAGGCAAACCTGAAAACAGCCAGGAGCTGTGAGGGGAGAGAGAAAAGATTTAAATGAAGTGGGATAAGGAGAGAAATGAGTGTCTTTATTCATGATATATAGAAGGAAAGAGAAAAGTGAGACTTACAAAAATGTCAAAGAAGGAGGCGCGGTAGTCATAGTGGAGGACTTCGATATCGAGCTGCTTCTGAATGCCACCGTTCACCTGCCGGACACAAACAAGTGACGAACACAGATCATGGTTTTAATTTGACTCTTCAGCTGCTTTCAGGAGGAGAGAGGAGAGCAGGGAGAGGAGCAGGAGGAGGAAAAGGTGTTTGAAATCGTTAGCGTCTGAAAAGCCAAGGGACGGAGTTGTCGCTGGCTCGCCTTATTTAACAACCAAATGTATCATTTCTGCCGCATTTAAGGAAGTCAGGGAATCTGAACGCCGCTTGGATTTTAGCAAAAGACTTTAATACAAATTTCTCACTTCGGTGTAAATGATTGATCCAGATTATAATTATCGGTTTACAGAAATAAACCGTTATCAAACTGCTGTTGGGGTCTTTGTGCGGCTGCTTTTGCTCACTGTTGTTACTGCTGCTGGTCACTCAGTACATTTACATGACACTCGAGAAAACCGAATTATCGTCTTATTCCGATTGAGACCGGACAACTAAAGTGCATGTAAACACCTTAGTCCGACTATAATAGGAGTTGGAGAACTCTGATTAAGACACCCAGATAATGCGATTGGAATTCGATTTTCTCGACCATGCAACCAGCGTAGTCAGAGTATGATCGGACAACACCAGAGAAGAGGAGTAGCGTGCGTCTCATCGGCAGAAAAAGTAGCGTGTCCATCACGTAGGACAAAAACAACGCTGTACGATGCTCCGTCTTCTCACTCCAAAAAGGTGAACAGCAGTCGTAGACACTTCTGACGTCTAACCTGCTGTTGTCGTTGACGGTTGTATGGGGTCGGAAACAGCGCAGCTGAAAAGACCCATATCGCCCCCTAGTTTTGGACACGTTCATGTCAATAATTCAGTTTTCTCAGCTGCGTGTATATGCGGACTATTCGGCAAGAAAACCAAATTATGATCTTCGTCCGATTAAGCTGTGCATGTAAACGCACTGAGTTTTCCTTGGACTACAAGCTGAAACCAGAAAACGTTTTCTCAGGAGAGTCTGGGGCCTACAGGTTCTACGTTTTCAGACTGGATCTGGATCATGAATCATCTACTGCTGAACTATAAACATGTTTCTAAATCAGTCAGATAAAGGAGATAAAAATAAAACCAACAATAGAGAGATTTGAGGAAAAAGGAAGGGAAACATTTGAGATCCAGTCTAGCAGGACTTTCAGTGGCAGGAAGAACCGAAACTTCTTCTCTACAGATGATCTGATTCTCTGTTTGACTTGTGAAACTGGAATTCCTGTTTAAAGACAATCATGTAGAAAGTATTTGAGTTATTTCTCAGGGTTGACTTTTCTGAAACTGGAGCAGTTAGACATCATGTGCCGCAGTAAGAGTGACTTCCTTATTGGAGACACAAACTTTCACACCTGACTGACCTAGATTCACTTCAGCAGCGGTGTCACCTGCTTCAGTTTTCAGTTTTCATCACCTTTTAACCACCATAAAGACATGACAGCAGAGTCACAGTCGCTTTAGTTACGTAAGAGGGTTTATGAGCTCCTATAAAGACACAAATACGGTAACTTGTGATGAAAGGTCAGCTGACACACGCCGCAGAAAAGGTTGACGGAGCAGCAGTGGTGTTAAAAATGTAGAAGTCTATTTTCTGAACACAGATTGTTGTTTTGTGGAAATTCAAGACCTCCTCGCCTCAACAACTCAAACACTCGTGTCTTACATTGAGCTCTATGATCCACAGCAAGGTGATGAACAAGAGGTCAAAGGTGACGAAGAGGCAGAAGGTCCTTCTCACATCCGAGATGCACTTCTTGTCTCCGGATTCGTATGACTCCACCCTCACGCAGGTGGGCGTGGACACTATAGACCCCACCCCCCGGCCGGTCAGCCGAGAGTCGGCGCTGCTACATCGGCTCTCCATACTCGGACACCCTGCCCGCCCCCAGCTGGGCTAGCCCCGCCCACTGGTCAAAAGAAGGGGGACTGAGGCGAAATCAGAAGAGGGGGGTCATCGGAGCAGAAGGTCGGGCGAGTTCAGGGGAAGTGCACTCGCTCTGAGGAGGAACGGGTCTTCAGTGCATCTGTAGAGGAGACGGAGCAGAAAGTCTGAGTGTTCGTCTTCAAACCTGATCAAATTTATCAGAACCTTCACTGTGATGGAAAATATCAGGCGAGATGAAACAGGTGATCAGTTTCACATTATCAACAATTAAGAAAATCACAGATTGTGACTTTAATAAAAACCTGCTGCGCTGAGAAAAAGTCCGACTGCTCATCTCTTTCCTTCTTCTGTAAACACATTAACCTTTTGCCCTGAGACTTAAAAATGATTTATAGGAAGTGAAACTCAATAATTTCCTGCACTAACCGACAGTGAACAATTCAAGTTCCTGGGTGGGAAATGTGTCTCATTTCATCACAGAATACATCTGCTGTTAGCCTCACATGGACAGACAGTCGCTGCAAAACCACCACGAGCTGCAGGAAGAAAAAATAAACTCAACAATTACTTTGGTGCTTTTCACAGAATCACTCTGGAGGAACTTCTTTAAACGATGAAACAACCGACACATCGGCTTAATTGCTCAACGTCACTTTGGAGATACCCGAACCACCACCACAAAACCGACGTTGAATAACTTTTCTTCTCAACAATAACATCTTCTGAGGAGGACTCAAAGTCACGGCTGACATCTATTTTGCTGCCCTCAGCTCCACGTTCGGTTATTCTGTTTATTTCTCCTGTAACTTACAGAAGTGGGCAGGAAAAGCTCGACTCTGATTGGCTGTTGTCACGTACAATTCCGCCATGTTTGATCGAGTAAATATGCTCACAGCTGATCACCGAGATCGAACTGAAAACATGTGGTTAAGTATCTTATTTGACGACTCCGACTGGTGTTCTCAATTCAAAATAAGTCAAAAATATAAATTGGAATTATAATATTTCTTACCGGGACTTTTATTGTTATTGTAAATCTTATCGTGATAAGTTTTTTAGTCTACATCGCCCATCCCTGGTGTTGTAGCTTCTTTAAACCGGAGCTAAAATAAGAGAAATCAGAAATGAAACTGTAAACTCCCAGAGGTCTGGTCATGTACTCTCATTTCCTCGATTCTTCACCACAGCTATCCAACACCGAGAGTCAAACGTTGCTCTTTTTTTTATTCTTTCTCAGAGTCTCTATTCGTCTTTTTGTTGTTGCTGTTTTTGACTTTATCGTTCAGATTCCTTTCAGGCTGCTCTCTTGACTTAAATCGTAGCCGACTGCTGGTCACAGGATTTCTTGGGATTAGTGGATGCCAGAGAAGAAATAATGAAACTGTTCCCCTGGTATCATTTTCCTGCTGCGGTCATGAACAAATGAGGCATAAACCATATTTGTGACCACCATTTCCTCAGCATGGCGAGGTAAAATCAGCTGATTCCTCATAAAAAGGACATTGACGAGGGAGAGGCTGCAGTAATCATGAACGAGCACTAATGAGTCAGCAACTGTGGGGAGAGACATCGTTATGAATCTTATAACATACGCCAAAGCAGGGCTGGGCGATATGGGAAAAAGTTTATCACAATATATTTTTTTCACATCAGCCCATACTGGTCTACATCACGATATAGAAAATAAAATTTAACAGTGTTTATTGGTAGCATGTCTTTGCAACACAATAATCTACTGCATCCGTGAGGTCTTTGTGTCTCTAAGACGTTTTGTCGTAAGGCGTTGCTCTAGAGAAAGCGGACTGAATAGCACAGGCGCCATGGGCTCTTTGCTCCGCTCAGGATTTGTAACCTGCGTGCTCTGCGGCGTGGCGCTGCTTCAGGCGGTGAAAAAGATTTGAGGTATTCCCCGACACATTAGTCGTTGTTACCCCCACTCTCTTGCCGCTCCAGGAGCTACGCTGTTACATTCACGTTATGTTACCCGTGCTACTCACTATATAGACCGTGTATAAGTTTAAACGTTACCTTTCACATTAGTGGAAGAGGGTCTGACAAGATTTGATGCGCTTGATGATAACGTTTTGTGTTGTTGTGCTCACACAGAGCGAGTAGAAATCATTAGTGCGCATTGATATTAATGATCATATGAAATTTCAGTAGTGATAAAAACTAATTTTTTTAGGTGTGGCTGTTTTTATTTAGCCGTGGCGGTGCGCCACGATCAACTGCATGTAGGGGAAACCTTGTAATGAGGGAAATTAATTCTCGATATGTATTGTTGTCGTTTTATCGCCCAGCCCTACGCCCAAGTCATGATGTTCAAAGAGCTCAAATTCTTCAGTTTTAAGGCACAGTTTAAAAGTTAATATTCTAATAATCTGGGATTTCTTGTTTTAATGAACTATGAGCTTTAATTGTCAAATTCAAAGATGTTTGACTTTGATTATTTCTCGTTACATGCTAGAATAGGCTTGTCTTGAGTCTAAACAAACACACAATACTCAGACCACCTGATAACTTTGTGATCATGTAAAGTGCAGGTCAACAACCCAACCAGAGACCCCTCTGACCCACTGCCCTAAATTTAAACATGTTCACAGCTGTGACTACTCCTCAGTGAACATGAAATCCCCCTCACTGCTCTCTGCTTGTGTTCCTGTCTGATATAAGGCCTTTAATGCAGGTTTAATGATGATAAAACACAGCTGTCTTTGGGACCATCAGCCTCTCAAATGTTCATGCTCCTGTCTGCTGGAGTTAGCTGTCAGTATAAGCTGCTGTGAATGAGGCCCGTTTTCTCCCCTGCAACACTTTCGCAACAGCAATAGAGCCCATCATCACAAACTGTGGCAGAAACACAAAGTGCAAGACAAACAGAAACTGAGCCAAACTGGAGGGAGGAGGAGGAAAACCTCAACATTAGCGGCTGTTTGCTTTGTTAGCACACACCAACTGCTGCTAACGGCGTCCGGACAAATAAAACAACGACATTTAAACGGATTTAAAACGAGATAAACACACAAGATGCAGCTTAGATGCTGCACATTGGTGCCAGAATGAAGGATGACCGTATAACTGTTTAATTTAACAGCTAGCTGGTTCGTTAGGTTAAAGACAGGCGTCAAAAAAGGGTTTTAAATGTCACCATCGTGGTTCTTACCTTCCAAACTCGCTCCTTCGTTGGAGTAAAGGTTCAAATTAAAGACTAGAAACGGTTCAGTCGGTGAATTTCGACCCTAAAAGCAGCTGCCGAGTCACCTGTTTCACCTCGGTCTGCAGACAGGATGGTGCAGGCGTCCAGAATATGACAACGCGAAGGATTCTGGGATTTGAAGTCTGAGACTGCCTGACGTTTAGGCTCCGTTCATTTGGGTCTACTGCTCCCCCTGGCGGCCGCGATGTTATTGTCGTCAGGTATATTTAATTTTAACACAAAATTTTCACCTAATACTGTAAAAAAAAACATTGAATTTGGCATCAAACTTGATTTTAAAAAACTATAAATATATGTATAATTTTTTAAACTATTTTATAAAACATCAAGAATGTTCTCCTATTGATGTTAGACAAAACTTACTTCTTGGAACAAAAATCAAATCAAATCAAATCAAATCAAATCAAATCAAATTAAATAAAATTTAATAAAATTTAATAAAATTTAATTAAATTTAAAAATGCGCCAACAGCCTGGTCATTTCACAAAGTTGGATTATACATACTCAACAACAACAATGATTATAATAATAATAATAATAATAATGGTAACATCAATAATAATAATAATAATTATTATTATTATTATTATTATAGAAATAATAGTAACAGTAATAATAATAATAATAATAATAGAAATAATAGTAACAATACTACTTCTACAAATAATAATAATAAAAAAAATGATCTTAACAACAACAACAATAATAATAATAGTAGTTATAATAATAATAATAATAATAATAATAATAAAAAATAAAAATAAATACATAAATAAATAAATAAATAATATCTACCTTTAAAGCAGGGTGCAGTATTTTTTTCTCTACACCATTTAAAGTCATAATATCGTCAGAATTAAGTCATAGTTTCTGTTAGACGGTCTTAGATATTTTTGTTTTCCATTGTTGTCCTCAAAGTGGAAAACTGACACCATTTAAGGGATCCACACGTGACAAATAACCAAATATATTCTGGGAAAGCTCAGTTAATGTTGAACAATATGTACGGCTTTTAGCCAATAATTTAATGTGAACTTTGTGAGCGACGCCAACTTGCTGTAAGAGACGATACAGTATCAAATCAAAATAAACACTGGAGCCAGATGACTTTTTGTAATACTGTTTTATTATTTTTCACATTTTTATTGACAGAAGTCAAGTATCCAAGGCATTTGTAAACAGTGCGTCCACAAATCTACATGTTGCCTCTCACCAGTGTAGCCTTTCAGTCAGTCATAACACTGTCTATTTAAAATAAATACAATACTGATTTATTTCTTTTTTTAAAAAGGAGGAGGAGATGAATAAAGTAAACTCAGATATTCTACCTAACAACTGCCTGAAGGAGCTCATACTGATCCAGAATCAGTCTCTGTCTGTAGTCTGGAGACGACCCCACGTCACTACATAAAAAAAAAAAAAGACAGGTGGAGGTAAACCGCTCCTCCATCCTGAAGAGGAGGTGAGAGGAGTGAGGGTTTGAAACACCAGTGACAGTGAAATCCTGGACTTCAGCCCAGGAGAATCAGTAGACTCAGACAAAATCAACAGCATGAGGATGAAATACTGACACCACCTGCTGTTTGGGAGCGTAAGGAAAGCAGGTTTCAGATCTCTTCTTCTTCTGCACATTAATAATTCAGACACTTTAGGTCTGTGGTGAGAAATCCTTCAAAATACATGAAACAAAGTTGGTTTTTCTTGGATGTTTACACCTGGTAAAAAAAATGGATTTTTCGAGCCTGATCTTCTACTAAATTACATCCGATGAAATTAACTGAAGAGGTGAAAGTCTGAACTTTGACTTTGACTTTGAACACACTAAGTATGGAGAGGTGGTGTCAGTATTCCGTCATTTGTGGCCCCAGCTGAGCAGAAGCACCACAAACACAAAGAAAAACAGCATTTTCACGGTAATGTAGGCACAAAAATACAGAAGTGGTGGATGAGTTTCTCGGAGATTCGTTACACAGACCCATACTGGACATTTGTTGTTCTGTCAAAGAAGAGTGCGTCTCTAATCTACCGTCTCGAACATGTTCAGGACTGAAAACACGCCTCAAGTTTTCTTCTTCTTCACTGTTTTTTGGCAGGGGAAGGATGAGCACAGATTCCTACTTTTCGTTACTGTGTCGCTCATTTTTAGCTCATTTAAATGTAAAAAACTGGACAGGTTATTTGTCGAAACTCTGCAGATCCTAAAACATTTTTCTGAAAACAATGGAAACACACAAGTTGTCCCTGCATGCAGTTCCATTTCTGACCAGAAGGTGTCCTCAGAGGAGAGAGCAGAGAGGGAAAGTCAAACATGATGTATGCAGAGGTGATTCATGCTGCTGCTGCTACTCTTCCTGTTCTGATCATTACTGCTTTAATTAATTGATTCTAATTATTTGTGCCGTGTGATTCTGGTTCTTGAAGCTCTGGAAAACCTCGTCTGAGTTTCAACCCTCCAACTACAGCTGCTTTTTGAAACGTATTTAAATATATCACTCACTTTACTGTGATGATTATTATTATTATGATTGAGGAACATCTTCGCCTCTTAAAAGATCCAGACTTCCCCAAGAGAAACTCCAAAATATCACAACATGGTGGAGTGACGATGGACGTAATCTGATCGAATCCAGTCCAGTGTAAAACATAATTTAACCAAAGTGAATAAAACCTTAAAACCATTCGAGTCACTGTTCTCTCTGTAAGGCAGCAGTCTCGCGTCTTGTCCGACTTCTTTTTGGTTACGACTGTTTTTAGAAAAGAGTAGATAGTTTCGAAGACGATGTTTATAGGTTGTTATTTTCCTTTAAATCTGCGGTTTAAAAACAGAATGTAACTTTGGGGCTGCTTTCACACCTGTAGCTGGATTTATTCACTGATATGATGTTGAATCGTTGTACTTTTCCCTTGAATGTCTCCTCGAGCGCGGATATTTGTCAATTATTGTGACACCGCACACTAAAATACAGATATTTACAAACTGTGATGTTGCTACACCAAGAACCTGCTCTTCTGCTAACGTTGAACTGAGACTTCAGGTGCTTTCGTACAGGAGGTAAAGTGGAGATATTAACACAGGAGCAAACAGGGCGGAACAGCTCTGTGTGTGTGACCAGGTCTGACTGGTCTAGCGTTTGACCTCGTTAGAGAGTAGTTACTTTGTTTACATTCAAGGTTGGAAACGCCCCGACCTCTAACAACGTCTATACGGTACAGGTGTGAAAGCGCCCTCAGGTGTTCCGAGGCTTTAAATCAGATCACATGATCGACACCAGACGTTTTGCCCAGCTGTCATTAAAAAGCACAAGTTCGCACCTGTAATTTTTCCTGAGCTTTAATTGGATGGCTTTTTTCTCTCTGGTGAGGATCATGCTGAGTGACTAAAACCTCCACGAGTGGTCCTCAGTGGACTCTGGTTTCTAAGCGGAAGAATCCCAGTGAGCATTAACTCACAAGTTAACGAGTTATAACGATGAAAACAGGATTTTATGTAAAGAGCTGGTTTTAAACTACGTCAGCAGACCAACGGCGAAGTATCTCTAATACATTAGAGTCTTAAATTTTGATGATTTGTTACTTGAAGTGTTGGAGGATGAAGGTTTAATTTTTAGCGATTTATGGGCTGTGTGATATTCGCTAACCCCCAATTTCCACCGCATCCGGAACGGCTACGAAAGGCCATACCTGCCTCCGATCGCAGCTGATCATAACCATTCAAGTTGACGTGTTGGTTTCCACCGGCTTCTTTCCGTTCCACCACGGATCACCGGACTCCACAGCTGATCGTAACAGTTCTATTTTTTCTGGACGCCGGAGCATGGCGGATAAATTCAGCGCAGATTAACGGGTGTGGACGAACAAGTAAAGATGTCTTAGTTTATTGACGTAAGATTATAGACGTCATTTCACCCCAATGACACCATGGATGAGGAGATGCTGATTCTAGAAGTCTAGAAGTAGATTTCCTCCTCTGGAAGGACACAATCTACTGTTAGCCTATGTGGCTTCAGACAACTTGTTATCGCGCGATTGCACATGAATCCGTGAGTTCTTCTGATTCCTATGGCGTACGGTAAAAATCGCCGCCATTCCGGATCGGAACCGTCCCGGTGGATGCGGTGGAAATCCTGGGTTAAAGAGTCATTGTGAAGAGAGCGCTTTAAATGTCAGCAATCTAAAACTTTGTGTTAATATATGATCAAATAATTTCTGGAAAAACTTTCACTCATAAATCAACATTTGACTTTTTTTTGACGGCGAAATGCTCACTGGGATAAACTCTTATTTTCAGCAAAGATGGATGACGTCAACATCTGCAGGTCACAGAAAGCTAGGCTAACTCCGCCCGCCGAGACGAGGACAAAATGTCACTGAAAGCTCCAGAACAGCTGAGAACGTATTCCTAGGTTAGAGGTTAGCATTTATCTGAATACAAAATAAATTGCTTTTACATCTTCGCCCTGGTGGATTTATTTTTTTTTTACCTAAGAAAGCGACTTTTTCTGAGTCCCGAATGCGACCGATGACAGCTAACAGTATCAGTTTTTTTCGTTAGAGTGGCTGCGTGTTGAAATGGCTCAAACAAAAGCAGAGGTGGGCACAGTTGACGAAAAACTTAACTCCGTTAACCGTTAATCCGCTAACAAAGACGATTTTACGTTAGCATCAAAGCTAATGTTATAACCTGTTAAAAGTCCAGCTGTCTATGCCTGATCCTGCTGCGACAGAAACCATCCTCACAGTCCAAGTCCAGGTAAGATTTAATCTAAATGACCTAGCTCAAGTTGTCTGTGATCCGTCTTACTGACTGTGGACAAACACAGTATTCCTTCAGTGTTGCAACAACTATCGCAATACGCGATCCACATCGTCCACAAACTCTCTCCTCCCAATTTTCAGGTGCTACAAAAATGACACTGTTAGAGAAAACTAAACTAAATCAATGTTAACGGCTTCAACATTGTTATTTGAGTTAACGGTCAAAAGTTAACGGAAAATATAACGCTGATAATTAGCGATTAACGGACATGTGCCCAGCTCTGATCGGAAGTTATTCTGCATGTTAACTACTTCATCTATCAGCTTTATATTATATCAGGGACTGATCTATACTCAATCATTTAGCAGTGAATCAACTGTAAGATATAAAATCAGTTTTTTTCATTTGTTTATGACCAAATATTTATAAATGCCGACTTCTTAAAGCTCCTGTGAGGATTTTTAGTAAATATGTAACAGACTGAAATGGAGTGATGATCATCAACGTAAAAACTGGGTAAGATTTGAATTAACATGTACAGGACAAAGAAGTCAGAGGTATCAATGTGGCCACAGGGGGCGCCAAAGTCACTCACACTGAAATATCCTCACAGGAGCTTTAAAGTTGAGAAAACGCTGCTTTTCTTTCAGAGTAAATTTGGATTTTTGGTCAAATAAATGAAAATATTTGAAGCTCTACCTACAGGCTCATGGAGGGCGACTTTTTTCTTATTTCTTTTTAGATAAAAACTTGATTTTTTTAAAGAAGAATAATCAGCAAAAATACTAGAGAAATAAAACAATCAGGAGCTGCAGCTCGACAGGGTTCAACTAAAAGTGATTCTACTAGACCCCTACAGTTTTGCACGGCCTGGACTTTTCCGTCTTAATTTGAAAACTTGAGATGTTCAGTAAAAAAAACTGCTAATCCTATTTTCAGCAAGAGCTACCCATAAATCATTGGGACTACTTTTTTTTTTTTTTTTTTTTTTACAATTAACCATCTGAAGCAGAGAAGGAAACTGACTTTCTTTCAGGATCCAGCTTAGATTTTCAATTCCTGGAGCCGACGAAGGACAGACAACTACATTAAGACCTCTACGTGATGGTCGACTACAAATCCGCCAACATGGTCGGTACAAACATCGTGTTTTTGTCGGTTCATGATGGGCTGTAACTCTCGCTTCGAAAAAAGTACTTCCTCAGCCTGACCTCCAAACTTCTCCGTCAAAGTTCCTCCTTTCAGTATTCTTCCAGACGTGTGAAGGTGACTCGTCCGAACAGGAATGCGGTCAGGAGGAAAATGCCAATCCTGTTCTTTTTTTTCACGTTAAACCGGTAATCAGGTTGCCCAGTCAGGAGGGGAACAGCTCCGATGTATGGATGCATTGTATAGAGCTGGTAAAAGCCAAACAATCCGACTTCCAGCGGTAATACTACGTGTCATTGTGCCGTGGGGAGCAACAAAAGGCCTTGCATGGGACAGGAATGCATTCTGTGTGTGCCAAGCTGCTTAGCCCAGTGACCTGCTGTCCGGTCGGGTTCTTTTCAAGAGTTTTAACCCCTAAAGAACGAACAAAAAGAACAAAAAAATGGACATAAAACATCGTTTTTCACATAGCACCATGCCATCGGTTTCCAGTTCTGAACACTTGTGTCAGTGTGTCACATTTCCAAAGGGTTTTTTTTTTGTTCTGAGTGATATGTGGTGTCCAGAGAACAAAAAAAAAAACAATCATGATGAAGACTTAAAAACACCAACGAAGAAGAAGAAGAAGCACGCAGACGTGAGGTGATGGGAAGCGGGAGGATTGGTGAAGCTGAGGTATCTGATCAGGTGACGTTTTTTTTCCTACAGGGTGACGGCGGTCTGTCCGAGGGACGTCCACTCTGCGTGTGTGCGAGTGTTTGTGTAAATGGACATGTGAGGGTGACAGAAGGCACATGTTGCCATGGTGAGAAGGAGAAAAAGGGGGGAGGCGGGGTTTATGAGCGATGATGAACTCTCCTCCATCCAAAGTGGGGAACTTCTGTCCGCTCGCGATGCCGGCCGGCGGTTCTGAAAGATCCGGACACTCTCAACGTTCGTACAACAGCAGATTTGTCATGTCAGGGTTTCTTTGTCTGACTCAGGACCCAAAGAGGCCACCGGTGCGGACAAAACCTGAAACCTGAAAGCTTTTACGAGCGTCTAACCAGCCGACAAGAGTTCTAGGACGAGAGCAGGACCCCCGTGTGATGAGCGGTGCTTGTGACAGCGGCTAAAATCCAGCCGAGTGGATTTCAGAATAAAAGTCCTGTGCGGGACTGACTTCAGAGCCCATCCCCGCCGAAAACTCAGACCCGGACTGAAACCTGCTCCAGCGACTGGGCCGGCGCCGGGGTAGGAGAGGCTGTAGACGACGGTGTAGCTGGAGGAGGAGGAGTTATTGCTTTAAGCTCGTTGCCGGGGCAACTCTGAGTGCTGATGCCGCGGTTGAGGGCGCCAGCGCGCGGTGGACCGTTAGCGGGCAGCGCGTTGGGATCGGTTCTGGGGATGTTGACGGGGCAGGAGCGGGTGCGAGCGTGGCCCTTGTGGCCGCCCGGGTGGCAGACGAGGCTGCCCACAGTGTCGACGGGCGACAGGTGGCGCTTGAGCCAGCGCTCCACCCGCTCCTCTTTGTACTTGATGGAGTACCAGGTGAGGAAGATGAAGAGGAAGCCCAGGAACTTGAGGCTGGCGGCGAGGCCGAAGTAGACGAATCTCAGGGAGGTGACGTCGTACTCCCAGCAGGAGCCGTGGACGCCGCAGTCCTGCTGCCACAACATGCAGGTGGTGTCGATGACGGCGCCGAAGTAGATGGGTGTCGGGATGTAGGCTGGAGTGAAAGAGAGAGAGAGAGGAAGGTCATACATCAGAGAGGAAGAGGAGAAGAGGAAGACAAAGAAAACAGCAACGATCAGAGAAAAGATAGAACAGAAAATAAATAAAAGGAAAGAGGTCGAGAGAAGGAAGACAGGAACAAGAGAAGAGACAAAAGAAGAGAGTCAAAGGAAGAGATGAAAGGAGAGAAGAGAAGAGAAGAGAAGAAATTAGAAAAGAAAGTATAGAAGAGAAGAAAAAAGTAGAGGAGAGAAGATAACAAAACAGAGAGAAAGTGAAAGAAAGAAGGAAACTCATAAACAGATGACCAACTGGGAACTTAGAGAATCTGAATCTCAACCCTGACAAAGTTTCAGACTAAGAGATCAAACTCTATCCTGGAAAAGTTTTCTGGCTTGTTTCGAGAACTTGGCCTGAACATGACATCAGGTACTGCCGTCCAATTAAAACAATGTTGGAGGACACGCCCACATGACAGCCCCTTCCTCCCATCCTGTTCTGTGGTTCCTGTTTTCAGTTGGACTTTGTGGACGTGTTCCCCATCTTTGCCTCTTGCTCTAGAATCTTATTTTAATAATAATAATAATAATAATAATTTTATTTATATAGCACCTTTAAAAACAGAAGTTTACAAAGTGCTTAGACAACAGTTGTAAGCACAGAGCATCAGCACATTGAAAATAAAAACACATAAAAACAAAAGCTCAGTTAAAAAACAGGCATCTGAATTGTAGGCCTGTTTCACTTTTCGTAAGAAACCCAGGCAATACAAGAACCCTACAAAATAAATGGGACCATGAGGACCAAAATAAAAGCAAAAAAAAGAAATAGAAAAAGAGGGAAGAAAACAGGCTAGTAAGTATAAAAGAGGATATTAATAATAATAATAATAAAATCATAATAAAATAAAATGATGGTAATATAAATGATAAAGTGGAATTAAATATATATATATAAAATAAAGGAAAATGAAAATTATTTAGAAAATTATTTTAGCCAGTATGAGCTGGATTTGCGTCTCAACTGTTACTGAAACCTCAGGGCTGTTCGCCCATAAAGACCTTTGATGGCCTCCGATTTTGCTTCTTTTTCGACTTGGTGACTGAAACGCTGGTAACTCGGGTGTGACGTCATTTTCAACTCCGACATCTGACTTCGTAGCTAACTCAAACGCAGCATCAGTCTGAGGCAAATAAGGAGTTTTTTGAGGGACAAATCACACCCACACTCTATAAGAGCTTGATACTTTTCCCATAATGCAAAGCCCCTCGTCCTCCTTCCCCCTGCCTGGTGAATGCAGGCGTCTTGTTTATCCTGATTCACACTGACAGCGTCTCACTGATGGTCTCATTCATCAGAGCCACTTCTCCTTCGTCCTCCTTATTCAGAGGAACAGTAATGAAGTTAAACGGACTGAAGCTCGTTTCCTGACGCTAAATCAGCTGGTGGGTCAGCAGTTACTGAACCTGCAGCGCAGCTACAACCCCGGCATTTCGCTGACGCTCGCATCCTGATACAGCTTCTAATGGATTGGCAGTGATGTCCTCAGATAACTCTGCTGATTTCTCTCTCTACAGTAAAATGGTTACACGTGAAAAACGGCCAATGACGACTGTCGGTTTTGATATTTTTACATGTTTTTATTCAACTCACCGAGAGTCCTGAGGAGAACAAACTGCATTCCCAGAGCAAACGGACGCTCCTGCTCTGCTACAGACCTGCAGAGAATAAAACTCAACTTTAAAGACTGAGTTCAACCAAATCAACCCTTGAAGGGGTTTTAAAGTGAGGTGGAGGAAACACGAGTGACTCGTTTGTGTCGTACCTGAGCGTGACGATGATGGCGGAGGGCTGGGCGCAGGCAGTGATGAGCGTGACGATGAAGAGGAATATAAGGAAGGGGATGAGGGTGCTGCAGGTGCGGTCGCACTTCCCCGACACGGCGTAACCGTTCTCGTTCAGGTACGTCTTGACGATGACGAGCTGAAGCTGGTTGCTGCCCTGACCGCTGGACGACGGCGTGATGACCTGCCGGCTCTGGACGCAGGCGCAGTCGGAGTAGTTACGGACCTGGAAGATAAACGTGTGAGGAGAGAGAGAGATCATCATACATGGAACGAAGCCTGAGAGCTAGTTCAGGCAGGCCAGGATCAGGACTGGTATCAACAGCTGATACATGACTAACGTCCAGGTCATCCTTAGACACTCACCCCTGTGCTGTCGTTGACCACGCTGCTGCAGCCCGCCAGGCAAGGGTTAAAGTACGTGATGCCGTCGGAGCCGCAGACCGGAGCGTACTCGTGGATTTTACAGCCACAGTTGACGTTACAACCCCCAGTGAGGTTCCTCTGGGTCATGGTGAGAGTAGGTCTGGAAGAGAAAACACAAAACAGTCCTTTAAAAATACAGTTTTATTAAGATTACCGCTCTTAAAAAAGATACTGTCAGTTACACTCAGGGTTTTGTGTAAACGATAACCAGCAGTGTTTTGTTTTGTTGTGTAAAAAGCGCTGCACAAATGTAGTTTGATTGATTGATTGATTGAGAAAAAGAGGAAGACAGAAATGGAAATAATTAAAGGGACTGAGCTGAGGATAAAGAGCACACGAGGGCGAGACAGACAGACAGACAGACTGTTGGAGGGATATTAAAAAGACAAGAAGGAACACAAAAGAGGCAAAAAACGAGGGACATCAGCCAAAGATCCTCTCCTCCAAGCTGTCCTTGGATATTTTCCATCGTTGCCATGTAATCGCCATCGGGGACACTGCGTCCAAAAGAAAACGCCTCCGTTTACTGGCTCTCTGTCTGTTATCCTGCACTCATCTGATCGCTCGCTCCCCCACCCTCCGACATGGGCCACAGATGGGGCGATAAAAACCGCCACTGACTCTGTCACTCTGGGAAATGATTTCATACAAGAAAAGGCCAAACTGCAGTCAGCAGACGGCTGCCTCTGATAAACGTGAGAGCTCTCAGAGACCCCGTTTGCTCCAGGAAGTCCTCTGAGGTGGAGACGCAAGGGTTAGAGACGGAAGTCTGAGTACTACTGATCAAGATTATGATGATTAATACGCATTCAGCGTGACTTGTACAATACGATTCAATACGAGATCTTATAATACAACACCATTCCATACCATAAAACACAATTTGATGCTATATAAAATGATCCAACACAAAATGACACAACATGACATCATACCACACATTACGGTACAAATCATCACAACACCACACCATGCCAAGTGGAACTATATGGTCCATTGTGATAAAATACGATACACTACGATATAACAATGCAATATGATTTGATATCACTTATCAAATGATGTTACCATCATTATATGGTACTATGAGAAATGATGCAATATGACACAATATGACACAACACCATGCTATGCCATACCATACAACAGGATACGATTCGATACGATCAATATAATTCCATACGCTCGATACGACACGATTCGATACGATCGATACGATACCATCGATACGATATGGCACCATTCAATGTGACAGGATTAGAGATGACATCATTCAATACGACATGATTTAATACGACACCATTCAATATGACATCATTCGATATGACATCATTCAATATGACATCATTCGATATGACATCATTCAATATGACATCATTCAATATGACATCATTCGATATGACATCATTCAATATGACATCATTTGCTATAACCCAATACAATACAGCCCGATTAAATATGATATCATTCTATATGACATCATTCAATATGACAGCATTCGATGTGACATCATTAAATATGACATCATTTGCTATAACCCAATACAATATGGCCCAATTAAATATGACATCATCCTATATGACATCATTCATTATGACATCATTCGATACAACCTAATTCTTTATGACACGATACATTATGACATCATTCGATACAACACAATCCGATATGATGCGATTGATGATGCAATGACACCATTTATTATGACCTATTTAGACATGACATCATTCGATACATCCAGATTCAATATGACATCATTCAATATGACATCATTCGATATGATATGATTTGATACAACACGATTCAATATGACATCATTCGATATGACATCATTCAATGTGACATCATTCGATACAACCCGATACGATACAGCACGATTCAATACGACATGATTTGATATGACATTATTCAATGTGACATTATTTGATACAACCTGATTTGATACGACACGATTCAATATAACGATTCGGTACAACACGATTCGATATGATCGTTATGATACAACTCAATTTTTTTTATACCTTATTCATCTGTTCATAGTTTGTTTACAACCTGGCTTTCTAACAACACATTTAAGCTTCCCTTCATACAAATTTTGGTGCATGTGCTGTACGCTTAGACAACTTTCAGTCCGACTAATGTAAAGACAAAAATCGCTCTTCACTATCAAGAAACGTTAGTTTAGTTTTTAAGATTTCAGTTGAGTGCTGTGATAGTCAGACTTACATGTTAACGTGTTTTAATTAGTCTAGTTTCAGACAGACTAACACAATAAATTGATTTATTGAACTCCTCGTAAATTTGCTGAGTCAGATAAATAAGTCACAGTAACAGCAAATTCAAGGACTATCCTCTACCTTCCTCAACTTCCTTTCTTTTTCTTTTTTTGTTGTTTCCCCCTCAAAATTCACACCAACAACTGGACACCCAGAGGAAACTTCAGCCCCGATGAAAACGCAACACCGACAGCTTTGAAACTTCACCAACAGGGTTTTTCTTTGTCAGCAATGGTTCATGACAGCAGAGTACTTCAAAATTCACCCTCCCGGTTGCCCTCGCTCACCCGGTGGTGTATGGGATGTTGATTCCTCCCAGGTTGATGCTCTCGCAGCCCACGATGAACAGCGTTGAAAAGCAGAGCAGCGAGACTCCGCTGCAGATCATGGCCAGCTTAGCCGACTCGCGGGCTCCCAGCTTCAGCTTCTTAATGATGTACCCGCCCAGGACGATGCCCACGCCGGCGCTTGGCACAATAATCACACCTGAGAGAGGAAGGGAGAAAAACACGATACAAATTCAGACTGTTTATCCATGCACTGATTTGTGATTGTACATTTTTATTATTCAAATCATCCGACAAACTAAAACTCCTGAAGATGCAGCTTCTACATTTACCAGGGATCACTGGACATTTGTGAGTAAACATCAAAATGTTCTTCAAATAACTGCATAAACTCTCTTATAATGTTGACACCGAACAAAAATCCTCAGACTTTCTCTGGTCCTGACGCAGGCTCTCATTGAATACTTTGTTTTCACCCTCCACAGACTGGCCTAATGTAAAAATATGTGCAGTATGAGTGGCAGTTTTTATCACAGGCTTCCCGGCCCACTCCTCCTACAGCTGAGACAGTTATGCAACTCAACACTGGAACATTTCTGACAACAAAAGTCCTGAAAGATGGGATTTCTTTGGGGAGAACGTGTGCAGAAGGTTTTACTGCTGTAATACCAGAATATTTGGAGTTTGTTTGTTCAGCCTTTAAATTTCCAGCCATCAATAATAGAAGTTTCTGTTTGGAAAGTTCAGATGACTCATGGTACCTGCCGGTGTGACTAATGATGGGCTGCCACCTGAAGCCAGCCAGCAGTGGGAAAGGTTAGACTTTTATTTTTGTTATTCAACTCATGACAACAGCATTATGCCGCCCTTTCACCAAACCACACATGGAAAATGTCAGCGCTGACGACAAATTCAAACTGTCAAAGTGAAATCGCTAGAGTTTAACCGTAGGTGTTTGGCTTCGGTCGGGCTGTAAGAGCTTTTGATCGACACATTTCAGCTTTGAGTCAAAAGAAACGCGCAACTTTGTGTGAAACAGATTCATAAACGTTTGAGCTTCAACTTATGAGCTAAAGGAGCGCTGATTTTAGAGCAGGAGAATCACACAAGGGTTCTGGTTCAGATCTAAGGGGCAACGTCTGGTTACCCCAAACTTCCATCAAATCCGGAACGGTTACGAAAAGGCTGTATCCGCTGATCGTAACCATTCAAGTTAATGTGTCAATTTCTAGCGGCCTTTTTCTGTTCCGATGCAGATCGCTGGACTCCGCAGCTGATCGCAAGAGTTCTATTTTTCCGCCAGCACAGATTAGCCTATGCTGGAAAGGAAGTTGGGCACAGACACAAAATAAAACCGTGTTTAAGGCGGGTCGTATTTCACACCATGCAAAGTGGCGGAGACGAACAAGTGAAAGGTTTATAGACGTCATTTCACCCAGATGACACCATGGATGGGGAGATGCTGATTCTAGAAGTCTAGAAGTAGATTTCCTCCTCTGGAAAGACACAATCTACTGCTTATATGGTTAGCCTCTGTGTCTAACAGACAACTTGTTGTTGCGCGATTGCATGTGAATCCGTGGGTTCTTGCGATTACTGTTGTCCGTAATCCACCATGAAATTCATCTTATAAACAGATCCAGTAGGAATTGGCGTTTGGCGGTGGAAATCCCGGTTAAGTTTGCTATGATTGCTCTTGTCATACTTCCACCGAGGACAACAGTCTCACACGTACAGGACCTGCATGTACGAAACACTCAAAAGATTTAGAAGATGAATCTATTTTATCGTGTTCCTCAGACTAAAACTAGACCGGGCACCAAGTCCAATTCCTCAACGTCCAACCAACATACCAAAAAATGCAGTTATGGATCAAGCTTTTCGCCGATGATCCACAGGTTACAGTTTGGGATTTGATCAAGGAGCCGGGTAGTAAACAAACCTTCTACAGAAAGAGAAGAAGAGATGTTTGTAGATTGTTTTGGGACGTGACACAGAAGATCAACCAGGAAACAGTCAAGAAGTCACTCCTCGTAAAGGGGGTTTATCACCATCTAAAGTGGACATCCTTTCATTAATAAATCGATTCTTGCCCAGCACTTATTGGAACAAGGACAGTTTTCCAGTTGAATGATCTAATCGAGGTCTATCATCAGCTCATCCTAAAGTTCTGAGAGACAGCGACCAAACTGGAACTCCTGAAGAGCGCAAACGCTGTTGAAATTAACCAAGGATCACGAATGGCAAGTGACTTTTTACAACGATCTTGGAATAACCGCACACTGATTGGACACAGAACAACACGACATCTCGAAGTAACAATATTATCAGTATTTGTTAATAACTGGATGATTGATAAACCACAAAAAAGTCAAATCATCTCTATCAACTCATCTGATTAAGTGGAGAATATGAAACGCCATAAAAAAGTAAATGTTATTGCAGATTATTGTTGGCATTACCCCAAGGAGTAATAAAGTAATTAAACTATCGATTACAATGATGTTGTCAGGTCTACATATTCTGAAAGGAGGGTGGGCGGGTTCAATATTCAGGACTGTACACTGCAGAGGTAAAAAGCCTCTGTGTGTGTCTGAGAAAACATCGATACAACCTACAGAGAGAAAGTTCCCATGGAGAAACACTCGAGTTATCAGCAGCTCCAGAAAACCAAAATAGACGCTGTGGCTCCAAGAGGTCATCAGCTTTTCCTCTCAGCTTCTTGTTTTATCAGCTCCAGCAGAGGGACGGCTCTGAGTGGCTCTTTATCTCTGAGACACACACCGACCAACAGACCGAGGGGCTTCTTCTTCAACAATATTTAAGTGTATGATACGAAGACGAGTGGCTCTCCTACGGATCTCTGCATAAACACCAGAGAGTTATAGTTTGTTCGGTAACCTTTATTACACATGACATGGTCTCTGTCAATTATGCCTCTTTAATAAGACTGTCATCATACCTTGCATTGCAGAGAAAAGCTGGTGCATTTAGAGACCATCCAAATCGTTTTTGACTCAAATCCTGTTGCCAAGACATGCCCAGAACCGGCCCGGCTGGAAGAGTCTCAGGAGTCATTACTGAGCCTCTCCACTAACCAAAACATTCAATTACCGGCTCAGTAAAACACCAAAGACCTCTCAGGGGGGTTTGAAGCAGACACTCATGGTTGGATAAACTTCAGTGATTGCTCTGCTGGTGTTTGTGATGTTTTCTTCTTCTCTACAGACCAGAAGGTTCAGTAGGTAATCTTTTTAACATGAAAAAACTAGTTTGAACCAATCTTCATAAGCTTAAAGCAGCATAACAACCGAAATAAAGCCAAATAGATAATTATATTTCGATTTTAGGGTTTGGCCCATGCTCACTTTGCAAACATAGAGGCTTTATGACCTATTCTGCAACCAGTCAGTAGGGGGAGCTCCTAAGTGGAACTCCTAAAGGGTGCAAATGCAGTCACAATAACGAGGGATCACTGGACATGAGCTGTCAAAATGAAATGTCTGTTTGTGAAATTTTAGACATGAGTTCAATTGAAACTAGTGATAATAAATGATCGACCAATATGTTTTTTTAGGGCTGCTACTGATATATATTAGTATATAGAAGCTTGAGTGTTGATTGGCTGTTTGTGGGGACTGTAGGCGGGACATTGTTACACAGCCAAGAGTGGAGACTTCAGGCAGAGAGAGGCGGCTGTATAAGAGCTGAGTCAGCGCTTTTTAAAATAAATAAATTTTATCGGCTATCGATGGAAAAAACAGCTGATGCCGATAATTGTAAGAATGCTGAATATCGGCTGATATTTTCCACTAAGCCGATTATTGTAAAAATGCTGAATATCGTCCGATATTATCTGCCATGCTGATTATAAGAAAAATGCTGAATCAGCGCTTTTTAAAATAAATAAATTTTATTGGCTATCGATGGAAAAAACAGCCAGTGCCGATAATTGTAAAAACGCTGAATATCAGCGTATATTACTCACCAAGACGATTATTGTAAATTGGCCGATATTATCTGCCGTGCCGATTATTGGTCGAGCCTTATTCATATTTTTTTTAAAAATGTTTCCAACAACTCTCATAAAATTAAAAAAGATCTTATGTTAAATATTTTTAATCAAATAAAGAATTTTAAAAATGCTTTTATTCAGAAACATCCGCAAAATTAACTTTAAATATAAAGAAAACAGACAACATCTAGGAAAAATGTTCTATATTCTTTTAGAGATAGATAGATAGATAGATAGATAGATAGATAGATAGATAGATAGATAGATAGATAGATAGATAGATAGATAGATAGATAGATAGATAGTGTTAAATCCTATAGTGATAAGGTGAAGTGGTGAACCCAGAGTCACGGTTCATGTCCCATCATGACTCGTGGGTGTTGTTACATCCTCGCTGTTTAACCATGTATGTGTAACCTTCATGAAACTCTGTGTCGAGTCCATTTCTGCTCGTGTTCCTGAATGTGTGAGTGTGTTTGATGCACTCAGCGCTCCGGCTCTGCTCCCAGGTGACCCTTTTATTTGAAGACGAGCAGTTTCTTCATTATTAATGTGTGCCGGCTTGCAGCGGTGGGCCGGCGGACTCTCCTGCTCTGCTCTAAGATGAACACAGCAGTGCTGAACTGGCAGATATTAAAGTCCTGGTGGTGTATGAATAATCTGGTCTGTCTGCCTCTCGTCTGCGCCTGAGCTGCTTTTACAGACTCTACAAAGATGGAACAGCTTTGAGTCTGCAGTTCTCAGAATCCTGCCAAATTCAGGAGTGTGATCTGAAGTACATCATATTATAAGGAGAGAGACGGGCTTTGGAGGAGTGGATCTGAAACTAGATGATGTCATTGAGCTCACCGGTGTAGATACTGGCGCTGGAGGCTGGGATGCCGAACTGAGACTCGATGAACTTTGGGATGAAGGTGATGAAGGCGGTGACGATGGCGCTCTCTGCGGTGTAGGACAGGCTGACGAAGAGGAAGGTCACGTTACTGAGGATCCTCACAGCTGCTTTAGGCAGGTCTGGAAAAAAGGAAGTTGGACATTTTACAACATGAGCTGGAGGAGAGTGAATATTCTCTATAACATCACAGTGGGATCTTAAAAATCCGTGTGTCCATGTCAAGGCTTTACACTGCCTTTCTGACTCTTCTACCGCAGATGTATTTGATTTACAGTGACGGTATGTCCTGTTGTGATCACCTGACTTCATAAAATTAACATATTTAGCTGGAAAATACCAAACTCGCTCTTCGAATCAGCCTCATATTTGTACTCACTCAGTCAAAAATCTGCTCTACAATCCCAGTTTTTATGGCCAGAGTATTTTTAAAGGGTTATTTCTCTCAAAATTAACTTAATTATGAGGCAGACTCACTCTGGTCTGCAGGAAACTGTAGCCTAGTTTGCATGCCGGATCTCTTCTTAGCTTCTTATTAAAGGGGCAGAGCTGACTGGCATCCATTGTGGCTAATACACTCACGAGTAATATTCAACTGATACAACCTCACTTGAAAAGCTCTGAAATATCCCTTTAAATGATCATATTTTTGACCCCGGTGATTGGTGGCGTTAGAGAGTTAATGTCAACAAACCGATACCTAACTCGTTCATCATTATGTTCAAGTTTAAGACCCAAAACCTCAACCTCTGAGATCCCCTCTGAAGTCATCGCCGACACCAACAAGCGTTTTCTCGAACCTTTTATGTCCTTGCCGAAGCCCATGGACGAGGTGACCGTCTGGGTCTTGTTGTTGTTGCTCTTCTCCTTAAGGACGTCGTCGTCGCTGGACAGGTCGTCCAGGCTCAGCTTTTTCCTCCTCTTCTTCTTCTTGTGTCGGGGCGGCAGCTTCTTGGGGAAGGTGAACATGGGGAAGATGACCAGCAGCATGGCCACGGCGCAGAGGAGGAACCCGCTCCACCTGGACGGGGACGGGAAATCGAAGACTCATTCTCAATTTGGATTTACATAAATGAATGTAAAGCAGAAAAATCTCTGAACACTCGTGCTCTCGTCCTCTCCCTGCCATCACCACCTAGAACTCATGTGGGAAGCCTGTGGCTGGTGACTCACTGGTTGTGCTGTCAGTTAGAGGATGGCATCACTGAGAGCTGTAAATAGATGACTAACCGCTTCTCATAAATCCTCACCGATCTACAGATGGATGGAGGACTCGCACAGAAACGTGACCGAGGAGCAGGAATGAATCTCAGGTAGAGCTGTCGGTGTGACCGCGAGAATGAACAACTGAAATATTAATGAGGAAACCCCAGAGAAAGGTGGATTACACCTGCAGGGAACCTCACCTGACCTCACTTCCTGTTCAGACCGAAACAAACCAGAGCAGGTTGAAGCTGCTGCCTCCAGCTCAAGTTGAGGGATCATGCTTAAGTTGTTTGTGATCCGTCTTAGATTGGAAGAGCAGGGTTCGGATCCATCATTCTTAGTGATGGTAATTCTAGCTCGTTTTAGAGATCTAGAACATTTAGCTCTGATTGGTCGACTGGATTTTTTTCCACGTCAATTTACAGTCAATGGTTTATTTCATCAGGAGGAACGTACCAAATGCTAATGGGGATGTTTTCAGAGGACCCCAGTTTCACAGGTAACAGCCTGTCTCAGAACACCCCCCTTTGTTTTCACCATTTTGGATTCGCCCAACCAACTGGAGACCAGCTGGAGACCGGAAGATTGAAGAGTGTCAACGTTAATCAACGTTTGGTTTGCTGAATAGAATATCTGCGTTTAATTGCCTCCTTGTGCTGATATCAGTAGGGGCGGCAGCAGCTCAGGAGGTAGAGCGGTTGGCCAATGTCTGGAAGGTTGGTGGTTCGAATCCCGCCCTATCCCTAGTATGTCTGTTGTGTCCTTGGGCAAGACACTCAATCCACCTTGCTCCCAGTGTGTGTCCTCTACTAGTGTACGATTGTGAATGTTGTGTTGTGTGGTGGTGCCAAGCCCGACTTGGCGGCATTCGTTACCCTGGTAACGCAAAGTAATGTAAAACTGACCTGTGCAATAATACTGCAGAATTGGACCAGCCTGGATCAGCCCTGATCTTGGGGGTTCATTGGGGACTACCTCGGTTTATTGGACTTATTGGACCAGGTGTGATTTCAAATGTGTCCAACTTTTGTTTTGACTTTTTTAACGTCTGTTTCAATTCTGTGACGTTTTAATGCTGGTTTCAGATGCTCTGAAGAGACCAATTTCCGAGTAATTTATGCAAACAATTGGATGCCGACTAACGAAAGGAAAATCTAAATTTGTCTTTTTTTTTTAAATCACACGTCTAAACATCTGATTACAGAGTCTGCGAGTAAATGATGGGAAATTGGTTTGCTGATGCCTCTTGATACAGTCTAATATTTCAGTAAATTAAGTATTTTCTCCTCTTATGGGAAAATAAATGTTCTTGTTTGTGCTGCACTTGAGATTTTCATCACTTTAACTAAGACGACGCCTCATGAAAACGGTTTACATTAACCTGAAAAAGTTCAAAAATGAATCTAAAACTAGTTTCAACTTCAAAAACCTCTCAGCGAAACGGTGTCAACCAAACCTTTTAAGCTTTTTATGCAATCACATCACATCCAACAAACTGGCGAGGAGCTCGTGTTCATCTGAGGAATCCTGGTCCCGAGGCGAGCCGAGCTAAGCCTGAACTAACCAGCAGGTCATTGAACTGGAACTGGAGTTAATCTAGACGAAATCCCTCTGAACGCGGTGACATGGACTAAGCTGAGCGCACCTCCTGATAATGTTTGAACCCTGACATGATTTTTAGCCTTTCAACATTTCTCGCTGAGTTTCTGTTCCCGTGATTAGAGGAAAAACAGACTCCTGATGTAAAACTGAGATTTATGAGTTTGACTCGGTTTCATTGGGGTAAATCACACAAAATCAGCCACATCGTTCTCACCAGTTTCCGATGAAGCGAGGGTCACTCTGATCGATGTTCACGACGGTCTTGGGGTCCACGTAGAAGCCGATCAGGACTCCTCCCAGCAGGTAACCAGCTGCCGGACCCAGTGCTCCCATCACATACATGATGGCTAAGGAAGAAGAAGAAGAAGAAGAAGAAGAAGAGAGGTATAACAGAGCTGAAATTTAAGGCAGGTTTTGGACTGTGAGAGGCAAAAAAACAATCACTTAAGTTTCATATATTACTGTTTTATAATGTTGGGAGAAGGTCGTTTCATTCCACATCCAGCAGACTCACTCAGACTACTTTTAGCTCTGTTTTGGGTCACCACCATCTCTTGTAGATTCATTAAACTACCTTTAAAAGGACAGTATTGACAATACTGACCATTTAGGTCAACCATCAACCATCAACTCATCAACCGTTCTTACAGATTCAGTTTTACCAACGAAAGTCACCTGCACAATGTGGCGGCACAAAAACGTAACTGAACTCAGACCAGTAAGTCATTAAAGTTCAAATCCAGAAGACTTTACCAATAATTAACACCCAATCAAAAATAAATTGGTTATTTTGTCAAATTCATGCAACGTCAAATGGGAATTTGGCTTAAAAAATGCCATTGGCTGTGAAAAACTGATATTGGTCGAGACTAGCTGTGACGGAAGGCAGGGCAGAGACACACAAACCAAATATGGTACTTCCTGTGGACGAGTTCATGAGTCCTCAAGAGTATAACGGCTGCAAAACTTTTAGACGAAAATGGTCTCCATAGAAAACGGAAAAGTGTCGTTTCGTTTTCAGTTTTTATGATGTGTTTACACAAAAACGCAATGTGGTTGAAAACGCTGTAATGTGCATGCCAGGTCGCTAGGTGGCGCATGTCGGCGTGACCGCGGTCCCATATAGACCAACAACGCATACATAGAACTTGAAGCGACTCGAATGTCTAGCATGGTTGTTGTTGTTATTTTCAAGGAAGCTGCGCATGGCTATGATGTCATAAGTGTGAGCCAGGACGTCACAGGTTTGACAGTTTTCAGCGTTTTTGTACTTTAGAAGAAAGCGAGACTAGCAGAGTGTTTACAACATTTCCACTCTGGAGGGGGTTTTCACTTTGTTACGTTTTCATCTCCTGAAAACGCAGTTGCCGTCTACATAGACCCCCTCAGTGGCCTGAGTCCCTCTTTCCTCTTTACATCTATATCGATCACTGCTACTCAACCCTCTCACTTTCAAACTCCCAAAGTAAAAGCATGAGATAATGTCTTTGGACAAGTCATTAAGTATTACGATCGTAGAAATCTGATTAAGTAGCAGTATTATTTTGATTGATAGAGATATTGCCGTTAACTTTGACATCAGAGTTCAAACTCTTTTTACACCTGACTCCTTCGCTGTTAGTGTCGAATAAACACGGTTACAGCAAAAAGGAGGTCTTTGTGCCAACTTCTGTGTCAAATTTGCTCAATTATCTAAACAAGATGCCTAACTTTAACCCTTATGCAACACCACAACTCAATCTAATCTCGCTTTCAGAGCCAGGTACAAAAGGCCGTGTGTGCGGGTCATGTGTGCGGATCATATGACCGTGTAATGAGGGTCCTGCTGGAGGCTGAGAATAAGATTTCTCCAATTAGAGGGAATTAACATCCTAAAGTCCTTGGCCGGGGTTGAAGGGAAAGACAAAAATCCAGTGGCGTGACTTAAAAACTCAAAGCTGGGCCAGGCACTGGAGCAGACTGGAGGTTATCTAACTGTCAGAGAGTCCTGGGAACTGACGGGGAGCTCTGGGTTCACGCTGAGAGGCGTCTGATGTGGAGTTTTAATCATCAGTTTGTTCTCTTTGAAATACAGTGACACTGGCCGACTGAGGAGAATAGATTCAACATGACTCCTAATTATTGGTTTGAAGCTCTCTGGGTTCATTTTTTTTTGAAATTTCGCACATTTACAGATTTTTCCATTTTTTAACTAATCAGCTTTTTTTAATGAGGCCTAGCATGATTACCTTGTTAATCACACTCAATGACCCGGTACTGTTTTATCATGATATTATTGAGCTCTACGGGGATCTTAATGTATTCTATCAAACTTTATCAGATGGTATGGTAAGGTACTGTATCGTTCTGTCTTGTATCATATTGTAGGCTTTTAGAATGTATCTTGTATCATTTTAGACCATATTGTATCGCCATCCTATCACACTGTATCATATTGCAACGATTTGTATCGTTTTCCATCATACTGCATTGTACTGTATCATGTCATATTGTATCTTAATTTATCATATTGTATCTTAGTGTAACATATCGTATTCCATTGTATCATATCATATCATCACACCACAAATCGTACGATATCTTATCCTACTGTATTGCAACATAATAAAAATAATTTTACATCAGATTTCATATAGATATTGGATACATCATTCATTCGCTCACACAGTCACACCTTGGTGGTGGTAAACTACCTTAGTAGTCACAGCAGGCTGACGAAAACTTGCGCCTACAGCCTCCTCGACCACCATCACACATCGCTCACAATCATACACCAGTGGAGGACACACACACTGGGAACAAGGTGTCTCGCTTAAGGACACAACAGACAGACTCAGGATAGAGGGGAATCGAACCACCAACCTTCCAGTTTTTGGACAACTGCTCTACCTCCTGAGCTACTGCCGCCCCATAACATATGGAGTTGGATCAGATGGGACCAAATTGCATCAATAAATCTTGTACTACAGGGTATTATAGAGTATCATATAAGATCATATTATACCACAGAGGGTCAGATCAAAGTGTAATGTTATGCCTTGTATTGTAGGAAATGATGTGATATGATATCTCATATATTGTTTAATATCATAATTGGATCATATCACATCGTCATGGTTACCAACTGTCTTATGGTAAATATTGTGCTGTGCTATTCTGATTCGTCACCCATGTCCTTCTAACCTTCTCAGACTCCATGAATTGATGCCCACCTCCTAAATATTTGGTCACATGATCAATTTCTTTGACCATTTCCAAGCAACAGGGGGTGGCTCAACTTACCCCACTCTATCTCTATCAATATTGCATCCTATTGTATTGTGTATACAGTATGTATACACAAGGATGCTAAATTAGACAGATTACATTAATGTTGAATAAAACGGTCATTCTGCCATTTTAACTGTGAACAATAATAATGAAAACTACCGACTGTTTTTATATCCGTAAACCTTCTCCTCGAGTCAGCTCTTGTTATAGAAATGATATATAACTGAGAGCTTATAGGTGCGTTTCAGAGCCTCTTTAGCTGCAGCATCAGTGTGAGCTCTGCAGTTACTCATCTTCTCAGAAAACATATTTCTGACCCTCCAACACATCCCTCCACTCCACTGTTACATCATCCGCCTGAGATAGCCAGAGCCCGGGATGATAAAGCATCGGGATGGGATTGAGGGCTTGGGCTTTCCAAGGGGACCCAGTCGCATCGTGGATAATCCCTTATCTAGTAGGAGGAGAGGGAAAACCCTCGGCTGGCGGGCTGCCGCGTTACGCAACACCGTGCAGACCATCAGCAGAGGGATAAACCACGACCGGGCCGCTGGTGGAGAGACAGACGACCGGGAGTGAAAGAAAATAAAGAGTATTTTACTGTTGGCTCAAATGAAGCAGTTAGAAGTTTCACCTGTTGCCTTTAAGACTCTGATCACTCTCATGTGAATGTGCTGGACCAACCTTAAGCGCCTCAACACCATCATAAAACAAACTGACGGCTGCTGTAAATTCAAAGTTTCTACGAGTCATTAAGTGTGAAATGTAATTTTGAAATTACTGCGTGTTTTTGTTTTAAAAGGTTTCAAGAGCCGGAGGAAAACATGGACTTCAGCGAACAAGCCAAACCTTGTAAGCTTTCAGTCAGAGACATAAATCAGGAGTGAAGTTTTATTTGAGGGTTCATTAAATCTTCGAAGGTTGACGGATGATTTTTTTCTTTTTAACCTCCACAAATCAGCAGAGAGAAGGCCGTGTCATGTGGAGGGACGGACAGACACAGACGAGGCCGGGGGCAGGCCAAACCGTGACGAGGATGAGGAGAGGGGAGACACAATGAAACGCTACGGCTGTGGCAGCGTCGTCATGGCGATCTGCTGACCCAGCACTGTCTCGCTACAACTTCCCAACGGGCTGCCACCGCCGACATCAGCCTCCGTGAAATCTGTGAGAAGGCGTCCTGATATATGTGTCAGACTGCAGCTGAACGCTCAAAGTCCTGAAACAGCTGAGCGATTAAAGGAAGTTTCAGAAACACAAAGCGGAGACATGAAAGTGATTGTGGAGAAGTTATCGAACAGTGTATATGCAGTACGTCTGCACCATGAGGGTAAAAGGAAATCGTTCTTGGACTGTTTTCTTTCCAAGCTCTACAGTTTGACTCAGTTTAATATTCCCAAAGAGACCATTAGTGGTACAACACAGAGAACCAACACATCAGACGAACAAACACACAGTTTCTTCTCTTTCACATGTGCAGCCCAGAAATGTCACTGATCCTGACAGACAGACCGGTTCATAAGCCTGTTTTGATCAGGCTAACATGCAGACATGTCTGAGTCCACTGTGAAACTAAATCCTGCCACATCTGACAGTTTAATCCTCCAATACCAGCCTCACATTAGTATCACAAAAAGAAAAAGCTTTGTCAGGTCAAATCTGTGCAGGAACTCCAGGTCCGAGGTGACACACGCAATAACATGACAAAGACAAGCCGGCGCTGTCAACCTCGACCACGACCGTATCGCGTCTCTGAGCTGGCACCATAAAATTTCAAGTGGCTGCAGAGTGGCCTGCTGCCTTGTTGCATTGGAGCCAAACAGAGCGTCTCTTATTGGGGTTACAAAGCAATATTGTGCTGAATTATTCTAATGGATGTCTGTCACGCCTTTGGGCATGATCTCATATCTAGGCTAAGGAGAAGCAGGGCAGGAATGCACCAGAATGTTTTTCCTGCAGCTGACGGCAGGGTGCTTCACCTTTACTGACATGGAGCTGTGAGGTAAAATGGGTCCAAAACCAGAAGGAGAGCCTGAACAGACCCAGGAGTGGAAGCAGATCAACGTCTTAGTGTTTAACTACTCAATCCAGAGTCGTGGCAGTTTGTGGAAAAATCAGAAAACCTGATCCTGAAAGTGATAAAATTATTCTTAAATTACAAGTTGTTATTTTTAAATTTGTGATTTATTAATTTATTTATATAATAATAATAATAATAATAATAACAATAAATTATTTTCCTAGTATTTTTGTTTAAAGTTTTAGTTTTTTTAATTTATGATTTATTCATTATTTATTTATATTTTTATATTAAAAAATAATAGTAATTATTAATAAATTTATTTTATTTTATTTTTTATTTTTCCAAGTATTTTTATAAAAAAAAAATTAAGTCATTCTTAAATTATTTTTTAGTTTATAATAATTAGTTTTATTAGTTTTTTTATTTATGGTTTATTATTTATTTATTTATTATTATTATTATTATTATTATTTTATTTATTTATTTATTTATTTTTTTACCCTAGTATTTTTATTAAATTATCACTATTCTTAAATTCTTAATATAAAATGAAAATGGATCTAAATTCTTAGGACTTGCAAAATTGCAGCCCAGTGCGACTCAAAAACTAAATGTTAAATGACCTTGACTGACAGGAAGAAGGTCATGGTGGGAACAGGATCATCCTGCTGCTGCTGATGAAAACCATCCAGCTTTAGGTTATCATCGAATTTCAGGAAACCTGCTTAATATCGAAAAACTATGTCAGCATGTGAGACGTGAGTTACACACCTTTAATTATGGATGTAAATGAGAGGCCAGAGTGTGTTAAATGTGTCCGAAAAGCCAAGGGACGGGAGAGAGGCTGCAAAGACAGGGAGGGTGAAAAAGTGCTCCTTAAGTTTTGAATCGATGCTTTCTGGTTTCTTTTAGTACAAGTACAAACTGTGATGTTGATTTTTTGCCATAATTAAACTGTAAAGTAAGTTTATTCTCTTCTGTACTGGAAAATTAAAATACATAAGGATGTTTTTTACATTATATTCAGTAAAACCGTTTCTGTTTTTTTGTGCCAATCAAGGATCAAATCCAACAGGCGTGTCCTCTAAGGGTGAGATTCCCACCCCTGAATGTGACTCTCTCCAAAATTACACAAAACCACACCACAGTCAGGTGTTCAAACCACAAAAAGCTACATCAAACACATCGAGTAACCTCAGCGATCAAAGATCTGTGTGAAACAGAGCTTTTTTCTTCAGCTGGATCCTCCGTCTTAAATCAAATTACAGGGAATAAACCCATCTTTGTCCTGCAGTGACGTCTCTTGTTCTGATTATTCAGGGCGGGTCCGCCGCGCTCAAACAGAATATGTTTCATTGTGTTGCTGCTTCGCTGGCTCTGATCCCAGAGGGCACGGCCATCCTTAAGATTCACGCGAAGTTTGACTCCCCCCCTCACAGCCGACACCTCTGATCTGACGGGGGATTACCAGACAAACTGTGCTGATTGATTTCGGTTCGGATCTAACGAGGGTGGTGGTGGTGGGGGGGCATGTGCTGGGAAACACCGCCCCGCTTTAGTAGCAGGTCGATCTATCTGTGTCTAGGAAGTGTCTGCAGCGGAAAAGCAGGCGGGCAAATGAAGAGTAGAGATCTATCTGCTGAGTTCAGAGTGCAGCTGCAGATTTCCTAAAGACATCATCCGTCTCTGCTCATGTTTCCGCTTTAACACGATCATCCGAGCTGCTTCTGAGCACGCCTTACACTCAACAAAACCAGACTCACTTCAGGCGTCAGGAAGAGAAAGAAAGAGGGAGTCGAACCTGCAAACAAACACGTCAAATCTCCCGCTGAGGTGTTTTTAAAAATATATAACAGTGGCCTAAAAATAACCCACAAACTAAGTATTTCGAAACTTTTAATACTTTTCTCTCCAGCAGGTTAATTGACTGCTTAACCCAATTCCACAACCGGGGTGCAGATACAGCAGCTCTATTTCATCAGGATCTAACCTAATTTTGAGGAAGCCGGCGGAGAAATGGGGAATAGATGAGCGTCTCCATCCTCTGTTGATACAGAAGAGCCTCTGTGACAGCTGCTGCTGCAGTGAGACGTTATTAAACTACTGTACAAGAGCAAAGTGTGTTAAAGGGAGAGAGTTAGAGAAGCATTTGAGCAGGTAATGCAGAAATTTAGCCATTAAGCTTATTATTTGTGCACCAAAGCTCTCCTTTTTTAGCACAATTTTTGCAACGTTTCAGGCTGCGAAAAGCCTCTTTTAGAAATAATAAAATATCGTGCTAAAAATTCTCACCTGGAGGCGAGTGAGTGAGGAGGTCGGATTACCTGATTAATTGTTAAAAAATCTTTGTCTATCACTTGATCTCGCTGGTTGAATTGGCAGGGATTACCGTTGACACGCGAATAAAGCGAGTACGTACTCTTCATTCGCGCGTCTAGATTCGCGCGAATTAAGCGAGTAGATGAATTTACTTGCGCTTGGTGTGAGCGCCCCATGAAAGATGATCAGGTACGTTTAAAAACTTTATTGCGAACCCAAAACAATAACGTGAGAGCTTGTGCCTCTATGAGTTACTAATCAACTCAATATTTATAGTTTTTGACTGTTTTTTTATCGTTCTGTGACCGATCAGAAGAAGCAGCAGACGAGGCTTACATTTTTCACTGTTCGGTTTTATGCGTGCCGCCCGTCCTCTAAACCTTCTTGTATTTAGTACAGATTTTATGCATGTGTGAAAATAAACCTAAAGCTTATCATTCTCTGCAGCAGAAGACAGTTGTTGGTGATTATGTAGATCCTGATGGGCAGATTGTCGCCTCATCCGAGTACGAAGGACGGTTACATGCCGTCCTTATAATCACTGTCTTTTTAGGATTTCGCTTCATTATTATAATAATAATAAAAAAATAATAATATTTTTTCCTAGTATTTTTGTTAAAAAAATAAAGTTATTCTTAAATTATTAAGTTTCTTAAATTTATGATTTATTCATTATTTATTTATATTTTTATTTTAAAAAATAATAGTAATTATTATGAAATTTATTTTTTTATTTTTCCTGGTATTTTTATTTTTAAAAAATAAAGTCATTCTTAAATAATTTTTTAGTTTTATAATAATTAGTATTATTAGTTTTTTTATTTATGGTTTATTATTTATTTATTTTTATAATAATAATGTTTATTATTATTAATATTATGTATTTATTTTTTACCCTAGTATTTGTATTAAACTATCACTATTCTCATGATGTAAATGTAGAGTCGATTAGTAACTCATGGAGGCACAGTCACTATCATTTCAGCCGACTTAAACCCACTTCACCAACTTGCTTCTGCCGATACTGACCTGACTATTGAAGTGTTTCCACTCGGCCGTCACAAAAGCAACCACATGCCAAACTGAACTGGTCAAGTGGGTCCCCCCGGACAAGCTCCCCCTCTCTTTGTGGGTCTTGCCAAAGAACCTGGTAGCGCTTGTGACTTTTGCAAATTTCTGCGGAATAAGAACTTTTGAAACGACCACATTTTTCTCAGCTAACTTCTTGCAGGTGAAACCGCACCACCGTACCCTCTTTGGTGGTTTCTGGAGAACTCAGACCTTACTCAAGCCTCTTTCACTCCGTCCCTCTGACGACAGGAATGCACATAAGACTTCCTTCCCCCTCTTTCATAACCTCGCTCCTATTTGTTGGTTTAATTAGGCTTTAACTTGTTTGAGTCCACTGAGGCGAGAATTTCTGGGGAAGAAAGTGAAAAGGGGGAAGCGAGAGAGGGGGAACGGAGGGGGTTTGCAGGTCAAACAGTTGATTTGGCCACGGAAGTATCTGGAACAAGTATTAGACATGTAGGGCAGCTCAGAGACCTCAGGAATTCAGCTGCCTGCTTATTGCTCTCTGTCTCTCTGCTGGTGTGCCTCTTAGCGAAGCACTGGGGCCTGCTCGGAGGCTTCGTATGACGGGTGAAGTGACAAATGCGGTGTTGAATGCTCGCCGCAGATGCGTCTTCAAAGCGCCGTGCTGCTGGAATGCACACAGCTGCTAAACGGCGAGAGTGTGAGCGTGCAGACATTGTGTACAGCTGCTGACCGGTGGATCTCTGGGCGCTACACAATGATGTTTCACACAATGGAGCGCTTCTAACTTTGCCTTTCCTGCTTGTCAGTGACGACTGTCCCCTACACAAAGCCAGCGCCATAAATAAAGGGCCGTGGTGGAGGTGAACTGAAACAGAGGAGGCATATCTCCTCAAGACTGAAACCTGCTACTGAAGACGTGTGTCCTGTTTACGTCTTCTGCCATGTCTTGTATGATGCTATAAAGCTACTTCTACCTGGATGTCAACAACCACAGATAACAGATGCCGACTCAAGGTGGTTTCAACAATATTTTGATATTAACACTCGGCCTGAGGCAGTGCTAGCTCTGCTATTGTTAGACGAAATCTACAACCTCATTTGACACTATCTAGCACTTGTTTTTGAGTTTCTTGTTTCTTTACACGCAGTCTAGCAGCTGGTTTCTCAACGACATCTTGTGCCAGAAACATTCCCATCAGAGTCCTCAGACTAGGGCTGGGCAATAAACCGAAAATTTACCGATACTGAAATTTACAACAATAACCAACGAGGAAAAGACAGGTGAGGAGATGGAGGAGGGTTCGAAAGTTGTAGCGGCTGAAGTAGACAAAGTTAATGTGGGAGGGGGTGAGCAGCTTGTGGAGTAGTTATCGTCCATTTATCGTTATCGAGGTGAACTGATCAATATATTGTGATATTGATTTGAGGACATATCACCCAGCCCTACAGCAGACTTGTTTTTTTTAAGACACCTGGGTCAAGATCTGTTGGTTGATACCTTACTTAGGCGCGCATTTACAGCAAAGTCAAAACTACTTGCAGCCATCCTTTCAAAATGAGAAAGTCAAGGTCAAACTGAAAACCAACTAACATCCTCAAGGTCAACAGGCTGCAGCTTCTGACTTTTCAACTAGCGGTCTGATAGTTTTTGGGGTTGTATATGCCGTTCAGAAGCGTGATGGCGTTGCTTACAGCCTCGCAGTTTATGCATGCGGTCCATGTACGAAGGTTGCGCCTTCAGCTCGTGGCTTATTTCCTACATTAGTCGACGTTTCTGTCCTCTCTGAAACAAGGCAACACAAGCCTCCTACTGAAATATACACTAATCTAAGAGGAGACCGGTGCTGTTGTTATTTCTTATTGGAGGAAGCATGAAGACGGTGTGCAGGAAAGGACAATATAGATGTGCTTTTTGTCCAAAATCTGATACTGACATTTAATGGTTAGATTTTTCACCCCTTCCAAAGGTCAAGTGACGGTGGCCTTTCCATCAATTTTTCACACAACAATCCCTCTCTTCTCCTGTTTCATCTTCCATTTGAGGCAATTTGCAAACGCCAAATGTGTTTGTCACTAGTTTGTCCATTCTGTGCTACTGTAGAAACGTGGAAGTGCAAGACAGACGTCTCTACTGTCGAGTAGCTGCTCCTAACTAAGTGCTTATAAGGTGATTCACTGATTTAAACACATGTATGAACATTATACCTCATTTACTCCAAGCATGTTCCACTGAATACCAGTACGTCTGGCCTACATAGACCAGAATGCATTGCTCTTACATGGCAGTACCCTCACTGTGCCGGATTTCTGCATTTTCTAAAAATACAGTTTAAAATCGGAGTCAGACAGGAACATGTTTCCTCATCTCTGAACACCTTCTGCATTCTTCCTTGGAACTCTGCCGTTTGTAATGCGGTTCAGAGATTGTCGACAAACCAAGACTGAAATATTCTTCCAGGACACAAAAGAGATGAAATGACGTCAGTGACGGCCAACAAACAGATTCTGTAACAGCAACAAGCTGCGGGCCAGAGACACAGACAGCACCTGCACTGACTGTTTCCACAGCCCTGAGTTATTACACTTATTACACATCAGTGACAATTCTGCAGTAATAAAAGAATCCATCTCATATTGTGTTTGGGGCTTGAAGGTACCAGCACACTCAGCTTAATTTAGCAGCTGGTTATCTGGAGTCAACAAACACGTTGATGAAATATCCCCTCCACCATGGTTTTGTTCTGGTTTAGGTTTCTGCAGACCAAATATCAGCATTAATGAGCTACAGTGAGCCTTAATCCTTCTGTTTAATCACTGAAATCTACATTCTGGTTCCCTTTTCTGGACTTTCACAGCGTAAACAAACAAATTTATCAGATTTCTAACCTGGATATTAGACTTTTTTACAGATGTATGATCATGCGCTGCAGTCTGCTGGATGTGAACGTCAACTTTTTGTAATAAAATGGAGCATAAATTCAACACCAAATATACAAGAGTCAAACTACGGAGGCCCTGAAGGTCAATGGCATGAATATTTCAAGAAGGCAATGAATTCATATTTTACAAAACACAAAAATGTTTCACTTAAAACATATTTTCAAAAAAAAACAAAACTTAAAATGAGAAATAAAGGTTTAAGAAACTTACATTTTAGAAGCACAAAAATACTTTGGAAACACAGATAAATTAAAAAATTTAAAAATATAGAAACCCAAATCATTTTTAAATTGTCAAAATATTTGGTAACAAAGCTCAACATCGCAAACACAGTATTATATAGTGTGCATTTTTTTTCAAACATAAAAATATTCTAGAAAATGGCATTTTTTTCTAAACAAAAATATTCTAGAAAATGCAAAATTTTTGAAAACAAAAATATTTTGGAATCACAAATTTACAGTAAAAAACAAAATATATTTTAGAAAGGTAAATATGAAAACACAAATAAACAAATAAAGACTTAAAATTATTTTCGAAAGACAAATAAATATAAAAGCAAAAATACATTTAAAAAACTAAAAAATTCTCGGAAGCATGAATTATTTTTAAATGTATTTGAAAGTGGCTGATTGTGATTGGTCCAAGCTTAAGTGCTTTTAGTGTATTTTTTTTCCAATAATATATCATCACACAAGTATCGATTTGAAGTTTGCTCTGGTGTATGCGGAAATTAGAAGCTTAGCAGTTTAATAGCTTAGTAGTCAAGAACTTTGTAGTTAAGTAGCGCCGTAGTTATCAGCTTCCTGAAATATTTGTGCCACTGACCTTCAGGGCCACCATACTTAAACACCTGCTTTTATATTTCAATCACAGCAGATGTCACTGATTGATACAAATTCAATACCATTGACCAATCTGTGGCACCAACTGCTACAGGGCTACTCTGATTGGCTCTTACCCAAATACAACGAAGCGTTCTCCTTCTTCACGTTGTCGTCCAGGTAGGTGGGGCCCAGTGTGTAGATGGGCGTGGATCCCATGCCCACCAGGATCTGGGCGATCACGAACAACGCCACGTACAGGTTGTGCTCGTTGCCCTCCTGGTCTCTGGGACAGGAAGTGATGTCGACGCGGTCCCTGCCGCTAGCATTGCTGTTCATACACAGACCCTCATTTCCAGAGGATGAGTTCACCTCCTGGATTTGGTAAGCCGGGGAGATAAAATGAGGTAAGGAGAAGAGGGCGGCACCAACAGCGATGAAAACCCCGCCCACTGCTAGCCAGCGTGGCCTCTGACCCCGCCCGCCAAAGTAGCTGATGAAGACGACCACTAGGAGGCTCCCGATGTCGAAACAGCTAACCAGGAGGCCTGATTCAGAGCTCCTGAGGCTGTATCTCTTCTCGATGGTGGTGATGACACTGCTGAGGTAACCGGACACCATGAGCGACTGGATGAACGTCAGGTAGCACATGCAGAACAGGAAGCATCGAGAGTCCTGTAAGATAAGGCCCAGGTACTTCCTACTGGGTAGACGAATCCGCGCTAACCTGGCTGCGAAAAACCCGGGCGGCTTCCTTCTCGCTAAGCTTTTACTCCTGCGTATCTCCGTGTTCTCCATGTACGAGCTCGGCCTGTTCAGCGCCGACTTCCCCGGCTTTGGCGAGAAGTTTGGTCTTGTCGGGGACTCAGCCTGGAAGGACTCAGTCTTTGCTGGCGGCTGGATAAACTCAGCGCTTTCCTCTGCCGTGATAGACATCCGTACAGAATTCTCCAGCAGGGTTTCCTCCTGAGGCTCCGCTTCAGTCAAAACAGGCAAACTTTTCGATTTACAGTCTGGTTCCTCTACCTCACTGGTCAAGCCTTCGTCCTTCTTCTGGAGGGACTCGGACAGCTCTGCTTCCTCGTGGTCCGCCATTATTTCCAGTTAAACCCACCTTTCTTTGGGGTTCAGAGACAAACCCTCCCAGTTCCTCGCCCTGGACTCACAGTTTAGGGGCTGCTGCCCATTACATTCATTATTAATAAGAACATCTACTCCCACAAACACAGTCTGAGGCCCAAAAAAGCAACAATGTCAACCAATGAGGAGAGCAGACTCACAGCTTCTGCTTATCTGCAGGCAGCCAGGACAGCCTCAGTCCGGGCAGTTTATCTTGTCATGCACACTCGCCTCCAGCAACCATTTAATCTGGAGGTGGACACCGCTCAGGCCTCCTCAGCTCGGCCGGCGGAGCTCCAGGGATCCCTGCGGATGAACAACATTTCCTCTCGACGGCCTCCCTCAGCGGGACGATGCTGCTCCGCGGCTGGCAGGGATGAAATGAACTTGCAGAGCATGCGCCGCATCCCTGACAGTCCTGCCAACGAAGACCACACAGTCACAATGTCAGTGCTTTCGGTCCATTAGATGACGGTGCCCCCCTTCTCCTCCAAACTCCTCCTCCCCGAGTCAAGGGCATCACCCCCCCGATGGTATCACCGCACCAGCTGTCCTCCCAGCGGGAGAGACAGACTGTCATTTAGCGATTATTTTTCCGTGAAACCCCCCGATAAACGTGAATAAAAGAGAAGCGATCGACGCAGAGTCTTCGTCGAAGAAAACGAGTGTAAAACGAGCCGAGTCCGAGGAGTCTGGTGTCGGGCTGCTCGGATAATACCGCAGTGCTCAGCTGCTCGCCGTCGCTGTTTTGAAAACAACGAGGGATGAGAAGTTCGCGAACGAGTCGGTTCTTTAAATCGACTCATTTCAGTGAACGTTTAGTCTACTGTTTAAGAGCAAATTTTTTTATTTCTATTCGTTTTTGTTTTGTTTTGTGGTGACATCTGTACCTAATTTTTGTGAAGTAAGAAAGAAAAAAGTTTTTGGACACTCCATGACCACTAAATATAATGACTTATGTGGTTTGCTTTTGTGTGACTATTTTTTCTTACTTTTTACAAATAAAATGAAATAAAAAAATCCAAAGAGATGTTTAATTCAATTTTTACTAAATAACATTGCAGAGTATCATGTTCCTCATATACAAAAGCCTGTTCTTATTTTATCTACACACTCTTTAATCAACATGACTAGATATTTAAATGTGTAGTAATAGAGGAATCTTACATATTTACCTCTCACAACAAATAAGAATGAAATCAGTAATCAACAAAATTCATGTTTGATGTTTTTGATCTACTGTCAGTGTAATAAATATCCTTTCAAGGCATTAAACCATAAATATGGAGAAGATTACGCCAAAAATATGAGTTTCAAGTACGAGTAAAAGAATCATTAAAAATTTCTCCTTAATTTGATTAAATTTGATCAATTTGGGAGGTGATACTTAACCAAGACATGTTTTGGAGTCAAAAAGAATACCTCATGCTGAATTGAGCCAAAAGTCTGACTCCTTAAAAAGAGACGAACGAATTATTTCGTCAAGCTCGACAGTTGTAAACGGAAGAACCGGGGCAGTGCTCTTCAAAGTAAGAGCCTACAAATAGGGTCACCATTATTCATTCTGCTTTCAAAGTATGACACGAAGAGAAAACTCCTGACTGGAATTAAGAAATGCACGTTCTCCATTTACTCATATTAATCTGACTGAATGTGATTCTCAAATGGTAACATGTCTTCATCACATACCATTAAGAAAACCATATGATGTAGGTCTATGTTCTCATGTAACAATGAAATAAATAAGTTACTGTATCGTGACAGAAAAACAAACAAAGAAAACAGCTTTAGCCAAATTATAAAAAAATGAGACTCTCCCCCTTATTTTTGTCAATATAGGTTATGATCAAATCTTAAGGAAAGTTAAGTTTATGAATCCAGACATGGAGCTTCGGTACCTGAGTTGTGTTTTAAAAATTAAAACTGAAAAATCTTAAATACTCTACACCTGAATTTACTTTTAACCCTCCTGTTGTCCTCAAATTAAATCTACATCCCATGTCTCAGGGGTCACAATGTCCCCAATGATTACACACACACACAAAATATTTTTATTTAATTATTTATTTTTAAGTACCAAATCATCTGTAGTTAAGATCTGAGGAAATGAGAGCAAATATCAGATTGACGAAGATATTCATTAATTCTTTGGGCTTGGTTTCCACTTACTGCTTGTCATCGTAGTTTCTCTTTTATTTATTTATATTCTATTTTGCCAATCAAGGAATAAAGAAATAAAGAATAAAAAAGGATAGAGAGTAATGGCTCCATATCACGACCATCTCTATGTTGGCTGTATAGGTGGCTGTGATATAGATGGTGTAAAAACTTCAGCCATCTTTGACTTCCTGCTTCATAACCCCCTCATTTTACAGGGATGTATAGAGTCCTCTATAGCCTAGTCTATTAGGCCACATTGGTCATCTATATTAGTACTACTGAAGAAGTAACGTGCAGAGAGGTAAACATTGATAACTGTGCTTTCTGTACATTATGTAAATTAAGTCCAGAACTCTCCGTCTGTCCTTGGAACTGTTCAAAAGTTGCAGTTTAGATTTTAGTGAATATCTGTTCAACATTTGAAGCCAGAGATCAGCAGCCCTGAAACCAGTTTTAGGAGTGAGGATGATCTCACAGTTACGTCTTACAGCCACTCGGAGGCGCCAGAGTCTCGTGTCTCTTTCGGTGCAGCTTCAGGAGTTGTTTCTCAGAGATTCACTCAGCAAATATTACAGCTATCACACACAATCACTGAATTAAAAGATAATCTGAGAATTTATCCATTTGTAATAAATAAATAAACACATAAAAATCATGGTATTTTGTTTGTTATTTGGATTTTTTATTGTAATATGTATGCCAGGCGAAAACTGAACCATGCGTTAACCTGGATAGACACACCATCTATCAGTCGTCCTCCTAAATGTTATTCAAACTGGCAAATTAATCTGATTAACAAATAATTCCAGTAACATGAAGCTGGAGTGAGGTGCAGGCGTACAGATACAGTACAGTCAGTCACTTCAGAGACGTGATATGATCCCTCTGTCTGTCAGGACAAAAAACACACAGCAGTAAATATTTAATCAGCGGTTTCTAATATTCATAAAATCTAATCACTTTAATCACAGCCTGATCGTTGTTTCACAGAGTAATGAGTATCCTCGTCAATCTACTCGAGTGTGACTTTACAGCACCGCTCTGAATGACAATAAAACAAACTGATCACACACACACACATAGAGAAACACACTTATGAACACAAGAGAGAGAACGAAAGAGAGCAGGTGTCAGAGTCAGAGTCAGAGTCAGAGTCAGAGAGGCTTTAAAGACTGAAAATAAACAGACGAGTGTGGATAGAAAGACGACGATCACCTCATTAGACACCAGTAATATTGTGAATATTAGCATGCATTAGAAACATGAAGCTATAAACAACTGTTGTATAGTGAGCATGTGGTTATGTGAGTTAAAATGCTATAAGGGTGAGCAGCATCCTTTAAAGGGATATTCCGGCGTAAAACTAATTTAGGGTCAAACACAGTTAGACCGAGTTACACAACCCTTCAGAGATGAATGTTGCCTCTAAACTATAAAATCAAGTGCCTTAAACATGCAGTCCTGCCAAGGTCAAGAGCCCACTTTGCTGTTTACAAAAGTATTAAATTCAGCCTCATAATAATCATCATTATTCTCTGATTGTTGATATTGTGGCTGAAATGATAGTGTGGATCTCAGGCTGGTTTGAGGAGCTGCTGGACCCAAACAATCCGTGATATAACAGAGATGGTCTAACAGCTGTAGCTGTGATGGCCGAGTGGTTAAGGCGTTGGACTCGAAATCCAATGGGATGTTCCCGCGCAGGTTCAAACCCTGCTCACAGCGATGCTAAACCCAAAATATGAGTGAGTCACTGACCAAGAACTTTGGTATAGATGTGAGGGTGGTTTGAGGAACCCTCTGGACCATGATGACCCCTGACTGGTCAACAGCAGAGATACAGAAACGATCTGTGATTTTTAGATAGATGTTAGAGGGATACTCCAGCGTGAAATTAAGTTAGGGTAAAACACACCATAACACTGAGTTAGACACCCTCTAGAGATGAATGTTGCCGACCGCTTGCTTCTCTAATTATGCCAACTTTAGTAATGACCACAGGATAGCAATACAGACAGTCTCTAATTTACGCTGGATAATCTCTTTAACGTCTATCTAAAACTCACAGCTGCTCCCACCATCTCTGTTGTTGACCAAGGTCATCATGGTCCAGAAGGTCTCAAACCACCTTCATATATCAAAGTTCTAGGTTTGTCTTCGCTGTGAGCAGGGTTTGAACCTGCGCGGGAACATCCCATTGGATTTCGAGTCCAACGCCTTAACCACTCGGCCATCACAGCTACATCTGCTGTTAAACCATCTCTGTTATATCAGCGATTGTTTGGGTCCAGCAGCTCCTCAAACCAGCCTGAGATCCACACTATCATTTCAGCCACAATAGCAACAATCAGAGAATAATGATGATAATTATGAGGCTGAATTTAATACTTTTGTAAACAGCAAAGTGGGCTCTTGACCTTGGCAGGACTGCATGTTTAAGGCACTTGATTTTACAGTTTAGAAGCAACTTTTTAAGAGACAAAATTCATGTATTATTTTTATCAATTTGTTAAAAAAATAAAAATAAAATCAGAAAATGGAAAAGCTGAGGAGACATAGAGAAAACAATAAATATGCTAATTGTGTTCTATGACACTTACGTCCAGATGACTCGACAAACAGTTTCATTTACCCGAACATGCAGCCAGATCCTCCTGGCCTGCAGGCTGCAGCTCCTCACAGTCAGACAGATCTAATGTACAGAATAATGTTGGGCCCCGAGCGTGCAGGGACGCCGCCGCTGTGTCCTATTTGCTGCGATGTTGAGCTCATTTCAGAGGGCCGCTCATTCCCCCCTGCCCTGTGGGACGTTAGCCACAGGCTGAGATACTCTACGATCTATCTGTTCCCCATCAGACGCAGTAACAGCCTCTCTGTTGTGTCTGCAGGATGATAAAGCCTCACATCCTCTGGAGCCTCGACGTCCTCAAAACAGCCGGGTCAGACGAGGAAGTGATTTTATTCTTGTGATAACTTTGTTCTGTTTGGTTTCAAACCCTGAATTTGAAGCCTGTAAAGTCCAGATCTGAGTTAGATTTATTACACCAATGGTTCTCAACTGGTCTTACTCTGGGACCCACATTTTTCCATGGTCCTTAAGTTGCAACCCACGTTTATAAAGATCGCCCAGGCGCTTCCAAGCCAGGCGAGAGATATAATCCCTCCACCTGGTCCTGGGCCGGCCTAAAGATAAAGTTTAAAAATAAAAATGGTAAAAAGAAAAACTAAAACCTGATGGATTAAAACAAGAAAATAATATTAAATGAACAGATAAGTAAGAGGTCTTTACCATGTAAAAGGGGTAAAAAAAGTAAAAACTTATGACAGGAACTAAGAAAAAAACTAAGAACAGAGATCATTTTATAAAGTGACATCAAATAAACATGAAGAACTTTGGTTAAAATGAACATTTGCAATAAAAAGGCACTTAGTGAAAAGCCTGGTTAAAAAGGTGAGTCAAAAACATCAACCTAATCTGACAACCTAATCTCCAGAACCATTAGACAGTCTTCGCTGGATTTGGTCAAAAGGGGTCAACAGGACCCAAAATCAGGCCTATCATCTCATAGTTTGAACCCCTTTAAAGTAAAGGAGACACACTGCATGCTGTCTTCACTTTATTCCTCCTCTCTCACGTGCCAGCAAACTGCATAATCATACAAGAGTGGAGCAGCAGCAGGAGCATCAGCAGGAGCATCAGCAGGAGCAGCAGCAGCGCTTTGGGAGTTATTCTGGAGAAAAAATGTCAGAAAAAGTAAATCCCAGAGGCTCAGCTGTATCAGAGTATCAGCACACTCCTGGAGATGAACAAAGAGGAAGAGCGTCGCTGTAATCCTCTGAAGAGGGAAACCTGCAAACCGAGGAGAGAGAGAGAGAGAAACGTGATCGTAGCCCCGATAAAACGAAGCTCAGGAGGAAAAAACAAAGGCAGTGATTTGGATCTGAGGCAGACGGAGGATCAGTTTGAGGGAAATGATTGGCAGAGATTAATCACCGGCTGTTAATTGGATGTAGTGGAGATTATGCAAAACAGGTATTATGATGTGAAAAATGTGACCTAATTGAGACCATTGTTACAGGGTTTTGACCAATCAGAATGAAGTATTTTACAGAGCTGTTGCTGTTCAATCTTTATTTTTTTAAACTCTTCCTTATTGATAAAGTTTGTAGTTAGAACTGGATCAGGTCTGGACCAGCTCTTACATTCAGACTGTAGGTCTGTAGGTTTTTTTCCTGAGCTCCATCAGGGCGTAGGTTCCTCTTGATCACTGCTGAAACTCCGTCTCCAGATGACTGTCTAACATGAGTCTGGTTCTGCCTTTATTTGCCCGTCTTTACGCTGAGTCTTTGTAAATAGAGTCTGGTCCAGATCAGCTTTTTTCTCGTTGTGAATTGATTGGTTCTGTATAAATAAAGATGAATTGATTGGATAGTTTTAAGATGTGTTGATCTGGACCAAAGTGGAGGACCCTCTGCTGCTCCAACATTTCCATCCATGTGGTTTTATCCCCTGAACGCTCGCTCTCTCCTCATGATGTCACAGCCTGAACAGCCGCCGCCTCCTAAAGCCGGCAGCAGGAGGGAGAAGTCAGTCACTGTGAAGAGGCTTCCTGCTGCAGAGCTGCTCTCTGAGTCCATCCTGAGCGCTCGGAGGACGAGGAGGAGCAGCTGAGGATAGATAGAAAAAAAAAATCACACCGGGGCTGTGAAGAGAGGAAGAAACCTCCTGGATGGCTCCAGTTCACGGGACGTGCAGCAGAAACACAGAGACGTCAGAGCGCGACATGAGGGGACCGACCAGGAGGAAGAGGAGGAGGAGGTGCAAAGGCAAAGGTCAGTAAAGAGGGCGTGCTTTTCTGGAGTTTGTTTGAGGGACTGAATGACTTTTAAGATACAAACGTGTGAAGATTTTAAAGTCACTTTTTAACATCTTTGATTTTTGTTCTAAAAAGTTCCTCTAATGTGTCTTCTGTCTCTTGAGTGGTTTTATTTTTGTACTTTAATCTCCATCATGTTTGTACATTCAGGACGAGTGCTGTTTCCATATTATCTATCATATAAATAAAGCTGTTGAACAGCTACATTAATCTGCAAAGAAGGATGAATTATATTACAGTCCATCTAAGGAAAGGTAGTCCAAACTTTATATAAAACGTCTGCAGTTCTCTTCTAGTGTTTATAGAAACTTACATGTCTGTAAGTTTATTTAACAGACGGTTTAAACGTCTCTTTCATTTGTGTTTTAATTCCATTGGCAAATTAATCCAGAATGACCAAAATCTTTATGAATTGTTCTGTTCACTTATTTTAAGACAAGAACTTTTTGTACCAATCTGAAGTCTTGATTTTCGTCACTTCTCGGACCACAAGAAATAAAAAACAAAAAAGACAGAAATCAGGCTGAGAGCTTAGATGTTACCAACAGTGGACCAGTGCGGCTTGCGTACATGGCCATGCTTTTAAGCTAACTGCTAAATTGCTATCATACATCAAAACAATCAAAATCAAAAGATAACGAGGTAATGCCTGCTGTGTCGTACAAACTAAAAGGTTCAGAGCAGGAAAGTTGTTTGTGTTTTCACTGTTTGACATACAACTCGTCAGACTCTAGACTCTGTGTTTGCCGATTGTTTTGGTATGTGACATAATGGGTCTACCAGGACGGGGCTCAATAGTGACAAACCGAAAGGGGGCATGTCGCCACCTAGGTGGGCATTCTGTCTCTTGGTGCTTATGTACTGGGACAAGGATGGCTGTCCAATTAAGTCACCCATTGGATTAGATGGTTAACCGTTGCTTGACTCTAGCTAGCTAGCTTACTACGCTTCCTTATTGTACTTTTTGACATCCATATTTAGTCAACCAAACAATCTAATATAATCACTCTCAGCACTAGAATTTTGAGATGTTTTGTGATATGTGTTATATTGTGATTTTAACATAAAGTAAAAAGTCGATTGTAATTTTGGATTTTGGGGTGGCCAATCAAATTTCAAGGAAGGCCATGGCCACCCCTGGATCTGCCCCTGGTGGCTCTACATACAGGCCAAGTATTTTACCCTTTATCACAGAAGAAAATCTCTTCACACTTAATATTCTTTGGTACCGTTTTAGTTTATTGATTATTTTGATTGGATAATGACGTCAGTGGTACTTCAACGAGTCTTTAATCCAGAGGTTGTTGGTTAATGTTCTTGATCATTGAACATTTTACCCAGAAAAATAAGAATAGAAGTAAAGATATGTATTGACAGCATCTCTGATAACTGCTTGGTAAAATGTCTCAAAGTGGAGGAAACCTCAGAGAGTAAATAAGAAGTTTAGAGACTCACCTGTTCACTACATCAACTCTGTATAAAATGTTTGTGCGTATATAAAATGTCTCATCATGGTGCGAGCTCTGTTTTATCATAATTACAGTCCTCTGGGCAACAGGTCAGCCTTTTAGGATTAATCTCGCATTGTTCTCCTCTTGCTAATCCTCCGTAAATGCTGCAGATTACTCTGTGATGGCTTTTGTATTAACTCCAATGGTTATTCAAAGAGCTCTAAGCCTATTCCACTCTCATTAATGACCCATCGGTCTTTTTTCGGTGCATCAGCGCTGCAAGAAAAAACGCCATTTGAGAAATAAATGCCCCCAGAAATTCATCGCTCAATGCCTCTCTGGAAATCCTGTCGTTTTAAGGCCAGAATGCTCTCGGTAATGCTTCCACCGTATCCAACAATGACATGTACTTCAGCACCAGCTGTCAGCGTGGAAACAGAAGGGTGTTTAAATGGAGTAGAGTCCACTGATGAACGGTCAGCAAAATGAACTAGAGGAAGACATTTACTGTGAAGGTATCTAAGCACTCCTGATTGTGCCTTCAAATAGCACCATCGTTCCTGGAGTGTTAGTGATCCTCCATATTCAGTCAGACCCAGGTCATCTTCCACTGTTGTTGGAAAAAAAGCCAAAAACATCCGTCACTTTAATGCTCGTAAAAATGCCCAAAGGATCTTCTCGCTGAGTCCACCCACTCAAACCATCATGCTGTTCGTTTGCTTTAAAAACATTCACAGGCATATGGTGAGGTCTGTTTGGTCTCAGAAGCTGGAAGTTTATTTGGTACAACATCTGGAATTCCAACTCAGAAACTCTGAGAAACTTTTACCTGTTACTACCACTCCCAAGGTCAATGGGATGCATCAATATTGCACTGATAGAGCTGAAGCAAACACACATTTAACCTCGAGATAGAACGACGAAGACTCTAAAGCAGCAGAACAGATTCTTGTGACAGGACAAAAATGAGCGTTTGCCTGTTAAATCCCCTTCTGCTGCTCCTCAGTCTCATGTTTCAAACCATCATTTGTTGGAAACTATTCGATTGTCCCGTTTTCATCGAGGATTATGATCCTCCAGCATGGAACAAACAGCTGCTCCCTGTGACGGCTCTGTCGGTGGTTTTGATGATGGCGTGTTTTTGGACATATCTGTAGATTGGATGCTTTTTGGATAAGTAAGCCGAGCAGTCAAAGTTAGTAGGGCATGCCAGTGTGTAATTTCACTGATGGATTCTGCAATCACCACACTTCTCTGGGGCTCTGGCTTCATGGAAACATTAGCAATATGGTTTGTGTGGCCATTTAGCTTAATTGCAGAGACGCTCAGCGGGTACAGTGTGGTACTAACTCTGAGGGAGTTTGGGAGTGCGAGGGATTGTGGAAGGGACTGCTGCTGACGGTGCTGGGGCTTGAATTTTAAACTCTAATTCAGCTGAAAGGCATGGAATGGGAAATAAGATTTTCTCTGAGAAACTTTCCTATGCCTTCAGTATTTTCTCTGTTAAACTCAAGTAGAAATACAAATATCAGCGCCTACAAATATATAAAACACTGAAACCACATTTTACTCGACAAAATTCACCATCAGACTCATGTCCAGTTGGGATAACAACAGACACCCTAATCTACTATGTACCTGTGCACTAATAAAACCACATCATTTTGAGATTGGATGAGAGGGGTCAGGGTGGGGTGGGATGGCATCAGGTTGTAAAAGGTGGTGAGGTATGAAAGGACAAGGTAGGGAAGGATGAGGTTGGTTAGGTGAGAAGGAAAAAAGGAGGAATAAGGTTATCGAAGGTTTGGGTGGTGTAGGGTGGACTAAGAGCTGGTTCAAGTAGCAACATAGACTGTATACACTACGGACAACTTGGTTCTGCCTTCCGCCTGTATATAGATTTGAAGCCAAAAGGCTCTCTGTCATTCCACATTTTTTCTCCATTTCCTGAAACCAATATTGCGCAGTAGTGTTGTACGCATTCCACCGCTTGCGCAGTAGCATTGTGCGCATTGGGCAGGAGAGTTGCCGAGAGTCGCTGTGATGACGCTCAGCTCATACAACGGGTGAGCTACGCAATCTTCGTACACCTGTAGGCAGAAAAGAGGGGACTTGAGCACAAACCAGTCTTACAGTAACTACATGTCAACATCGCAACCAGGGGGGAGAAATATTTATGTTCTGTGTAATAAATTTCTAAAGTTTGTCCACAGCTCCATTAGGATGGCTAGCGGAGGCGGGATTTATGACCTATACCCCAGCGTGTCACCAGGGTGTGCTATTCTTAGAGTGGCTTCACACAGTGAAGAGACAGAGGGCGTCCACTCTATGTACACTCTATGAGTAACAAGTAGACCTGCCTTATTCAACCACTGTCACAGCTGTGATGGCCGAGTGGTTAAGGCGTTGGACTCGAAATCCAATAGGGTCTCCCTGCGCAGGTTCAAACCCTGCTCACAGCGAGCTCGATGTTACGAGTTTAATGTTACTAAAAACTAAATGAGGGTTAAGGTATCTTATAAACTCTGACATCAGCAAGAGGCACTGTTATGTATTTGCAACAGATTCCTCTGACAGTCATATAGAGTAGAAAACATGAATAGAATAGAATGTCACGGAATGGAATAGAACAGATCAAAGCATGGAACTGAATCAAAGAATGGAATGGAATGACATCACTGGAATGGAACAGGTATTGAATAGACTGGCTTTATTGTTTTTATAGAGTCCTATGAAATAAAAGGAACCTCATTTAAAATTGTTCAAACTTTCAGGCGTCTTCAACTAAAACAGCATCCTCTTAGTTAATAAAAAATCAATAGACATCGCTCAGTTTGGAAAGTGGAGTACTTCTCATTGAGTTTCGTGTGACACCCAGTGAGAATAAAGAAGTTACTCACTCTTCTTTTCTACACTGTATGAACCTTGGCTGGCTGTGCGTCTGTACTCTGAACAGAAGAAATGATCAGGACCTCTTTGTCACCTTCAAACGCCGACCCAAGCAGATTCAATCACACTTGAACTGAGTCTACATCAGCGCGTTGATAATGTTTGGACGTTAAGATAACATTTTAAAAACTCTTTGATAACCTCACCCAGATCTCTGATGTCTGATTGAAATAAAAAAGAATCAGTTTAAGGAGCCAGATATAGAGAGTCTAGAATTAGAGCTGAAAAAGCTCATCTGTGAGGCTGATGAAGTGACAGTGAAGCAGCAGGCGAGGAGGGCATTAAGGTTGAAACCGGGTCATTTACAGCAGTCTGCTGTAGATTATCACCGCCATCCTTATTATCTCTCATTGCAGTTCAATTGCACATTAGCAAATGTTTCAGGCAATAATGTCATCACTCATTTTCAAATAATGATCATCAGTGTGTTGATTTGAAGGCAGGCGTTGAGCTGCTTTTGTTGCCTGGGTGTGATTGGGTGAGTTTCTGCTCTGAACTAAATTTAGACGTAGAAAATCTCTGTCGTCTTTGTTCAGGAGAGGAAATGATCTGCGGTACACTCACAACTAGCAGTAACACTGGACAGTAAATATATGACAACAGAATAAAGTTTGAGAAAATCTGAGAAACAAAAAATTGGAAACAAGATTCCTACCTGAACATCGTCGAAGTTGGCGTCTGTTTCCAAAAGACTGGGCTTTATGTACCAATCCACTACTTCCTGAGCTACAGGCAGCGCCTTTATTTCCTGTCTTACAACCTGATTAATCCAGATGTGTCTGACTTGTCACAATGATTAGTCACAGTTGCCTTATGATGAGGAAGTAGTGGGGCTGTGCATGAAGCCAATTCCTTACACAGAATCGCAGTTATGATGGTGGTTAATTATTGCTGATCAGTACCAAGATTAGGAAGAGCAAAGAGAGAGTTCCTAATGATCGCAATTACTGTGATTAGGGTTTGAACCTGCTCAGAGAGACCGCAAGAGAGTTTAAGTCCAATGCTTTAACCAATCAACCATCACAGCACTGATACTGCGTCTCTGAGTCAGATTATTTACTGTGAGGAAAAGGATGCCGATGGTCAGAAGACGAGTTAAGGATGGCGCCCTCTAGTGGACCTGTTGTTTGACATCTATTCAAATATAAAGGATAGCAGGAGCTGATTTTTGTTCATCAGAGGAGGATGGATTATCCACTTTCCAACAACAGATTGATATAATCCCTGAGTCTGCATACAGGGCATGATACCGAATTGGATGCTCCCTTTATTCAATCACATTAATCATTTCAATATAGACGATTAGGTTTTGATTTCTCTACGCTGTGAGCAGGGTTTGAACCTGCGCGGGGAAACCCCATTGGATTTCGAGTCCAACGCCTTAACCACTCGGCCATCACAGCTGTGATATCCATTAATCAATATACTATAAGAACAAGTACTTGCAAATCATTGATTAAGTGATGATTAAGATTGTTTATAGAGCTAAAAACTTAATATGATCGACAGAGGCTTCCATGGCAACAGACACTGATCAGACAATTTAACATTAAAGCTCATATAAGGAGTTTTGTAGTATTTATAGAATAGCTAGAAATTCATGTTGATGCTTTTTAATGACATCTAAAAGCCTTTCAGACCATCAGCAACAAGACTGACTGTATTACCTCCTAATCAAGTATTTGACATAAAGAACAGTGACGTTGAGATCAGTATAATCTGAAGTTCGCAACATCTCTCCTGCTTCTTTCAGGTTTCATAAAGAAGCTTTAACCTCATTTATATTTGAGCATCATCAAACTTTCAGACTGAGATCGCTGTGAGCAGGGATTGAACCTGCGCGGGGAAACCCCATTGGATTTCAAGTCCAACGCCTTAACCACTCGGCCATCACAGCACAAACAAAAGACATTTTCAGTTTGATATCACTCAGGATTTATCACGTCAAAAATCAACATCCACGACAACTCTTCCCACAGTCCTGATTAGATCTTTTCCTGAAGTCCAGAGATCTCTTGTAAATTCAAAAAGTGATTCTCTGCCGTTAAAGGATCATGGCTGGAGGAATGATTGGACAAAGTTTCTGGTTTTCTTTACCCTTGAGGAAAGACAGTTCACGTTACAAATAAATGAAACCACTCGCCATTAATTATACTGAGCAAACAAGATTATCCACAGCTGTCAAACCCACACACACACACTGAAGTGAGAGCTGGAGCTTCTTTCCTCTCAGCTGCCAAACCTAATTTCATTATTCTATTAAATAAACCTCATTAACAGCAGCTCAGTAAAGAAATAATGTGTCTGAGGTTTAAGAAACTTGAGCAGTGTGGGATTTAAAAACATACAATCTCCTTCTTCTTCTTATCATCTCTTCTTCGTCTTTTGTTTAATGCACTTTCTATCACGGGTGAGTTAACGGTTAACTGTGCTGCAACATGGCGAACTTTAATCAAAGACAAACACGGTGAACGGCCCGATCATCTGTAATCATGCAGGTCATTATAACATCTCCAGACTCTCATCAGTGCTTCACATCTCATCTCACAGCGCTCGCCCATAAAACCCGCCTCCTCCTAACAGCATCACACGCCTGATGGAACCGCAAGGTGCAAGGTTAAGACAGGATGGCGAGGTGTGTGCTCTTCATTATCCAAACAGCTCTTCGTTTGCATCGCTCTCGATCACTCGGACACTTTGACTCCTGTCTGTTTACAAACCTGCTCACTTCTCTCACTCAGAGACAAACTTAACCCCTGAATTCATTTTTTTTCAACGCGTTAGCAGATTTCAGTTTGTTGCAGGGTTATGTATAAAGCTCATAGGAAAATTTTTACCAGTCAACATCCAGAGTTGATTTGAAAAAAGAGAAAGTTTATTATAATTTAAAAGGATTTGAAATATTTAAAAAGCAAAGAATCAGAACTAAACTGAAGGAGCGCTGTGTGACAGTGAGAGGAATAAGTTTCTGGAACAATCTGAACAAAGAAACTAAAGAAGCTAAATCACAATTTATCTTCAAGAAAAGCCAGTATGTTGAGTAAAGACAGGGAAATATGTTGAACTAAGTCTCGGTCTGTTTGTTTTGTGAAAAAATGTGAATTAACGTGGTCTTTACTGTTTGTTTTTGAAAATAAGAAATAATGAACTGTAAAAGGCATGTTGGCCTGCAGCTCTTGTTTATTTCTGTGTTTAGTTGATTCATATCTTATGAAAGAGGGGCAGACTCTTCTTCTTTCTGCTCCTTTTCATTCACGTTTGAGATTTTTCCTTGTTTGTACTGAATGTTTTAAATATGAACTGAATTAAATAAAAAATATGAAAATGAAAATATCTGCCTTACAACAATCAGAATCAGAATCAGAAGGGGTTTTATTGCCATTATCAATGAACAGGATTCACAGACTAGGAATTTTTTACGGCGTGATGGTGCAACATTAAACGGAGAATAATATATAAAATACTAGAAGAGAAAATAATAAGAGCATGCAGGACATATATGAAGTATAAAAGTACAAAAGGCTATGTACAGTAAGTATAACAATAACAAATAATAAAGTATTTAGTTAGTTTTTCTCACATTTGTACATGAAAAACCTTCTTTATGCACTCTAGAAATAAAAGTGAACAATTTTTACAACATAAATTTACTTATTTAGTGGAGAAATATAAATCTATTTTTAACAAAGTGCAAATTTTTTTGGTATATTTTATCAAACACTGAAAAATGTCACTAAATTAAAACAGTAAATTATAAATAAATGAACACAGAACATATCTGAAGAATTTTGACTTACAGATAACGATAACCTTAAAATGAATAATAAGGCCTCATTTTTACCTTTTACCATTAACCTATGATCAGCAGGTAAACTAGCCTCTGTGTCCTGTATTCACCATGTTTGTGTATCTTTGTGTTTATTTTCTTTTCCACGAGCTGCTGGACCAAAGCTATTCAACGGTGGCAGGGCGCCTGATAAATCTAACTGGGAAAAATGGGGTCACTAGTTTCAGAGGGGTGGTGGGGGCAATGAGGATAAACAGGTGATCTATTACAGACTCTGAGCTGCAGGTGTTTCCTCAGGCCAAACCCCCAGATCATAAGACGCGGAAGATTTAGTGAGTTTGTAGGAGAAGATATCTGCAGTCTTCATCTGAAAAGTCACAATAAATGTGTTTATCTTCGTCTATTTCATCAGGGAACGTGAAAATATGCGGTGGATTGTAATCTGGACCATTTAATAAACTCAAACTGTCAAGGCACAAAACCTTTCATAGTTTCTTTTTTTTTTCAGAATGGAGAGACATGTTACCAACCCTCATCAGTCCGAGAAAACAGAGGGAGTTCACAGCTGAGGATGCAGACTCTTCAAGTGAGTCTCTTTTTTTCCATGTGCTGTAAAACTTCAGTAAAATCTGTGACATTTTAAAGCTCATGTGAGAAACTGTTCGTTAGTTTGTTGTCATCACTGCTAGTCGGCGCCATGATAACAAGTGTTTAAGGATGTGAGGAGTAAAACCAGGTTTAGTTTCACTTACCTGTAAATAATTCATACACCCTCTTTAATCTGTCATGGGATTTTTACACGCAGGAACGTCAGATGCTTGAGGCGAGTTAATCGTACATTTACAATGTTTCTTTTCTGTTCTATTTCACCCATTCTATTCTATTCTATTCTTTTATTTTCTATCCATTCTTTTTTTAATCTATTCTATTGTTACATTCTATTCTGTCACATTCTATTCTTTTATTTTCTATCCATTGTTTTTTTTTAATTTATTCTATTGTTCCATTCTATTCTACTCTTATCCATTCCATTCCATTCTATACTATTCTATTTTTCTTTATTCAAATATTTTATATTAAGTTCTATTCTATTCTAATAAATGTAGATATAGTTGTTTGTAGGCTGTGTCTGGTTAAATTAGCATAAAAACCACTTAACTTTAACACTGTCTAACCAGCACAGGCCTGTAAATGTTAACATGTAAGGGGAATTGAAGGTTGGCGTTATCTCTACATAGCAAACTAATTTGTAATTTCTACTAAAATTGCGTTAATTTTCCTCGTTTTCTCGGAGTGTGTTCTATCCTGGACTTGTTCATAGATCTGTCAATGTAAAGAACTGAGAAATGACGCCAGGGGACATGGAACAAATTGGCCATGACAGGGAAAACACACAAGGAAAAATTACACACAATTCAGGCGTAAAGAGACACAAGTGGGTGTAATAAGAGTGGCTTTGTTCACAGGGTGGGAAACACAAGAAGCAGGATCTGAAAGACAGAAACAATCTTGAAAACAAAATCAATGAGACCTCAGTAAACCTGACCGAGTGGTTCTAAGGTTCTAGATCCTGTTATTGAGTATTTGATGATCTTTTTAATGTGTCCTCAGGTCTGAGCAGTTTGGAGGTGAAAGAGAACCAGGATGATAAACAACCTGATGACTGTGACCCTCTACGGAAATATCATCCATCAACATTTTGCTCGACTCTCCCCGCACACAGACCCAGAGCTCTGAAGAGGACGCAACCTTTGGTGGACGGAAGAGACCGTCTGCTGACCTGTAAAAGAGCGGCCTGGGCCATCACTCAGAAGAACGCTCTGGTGCAGCTCAACGAGTTACGACCCGGTCTACGATATGAGATCGTGTCAAAGACCGGTCCGCTGCACGCTCCAGTGTTCTCTGTGGCTGTGGAGGTCAATGGTTTCTACTTTGAGGGCGTTGGGCCAACCAAAAAGCAGGCCAAGATGAGGGCTGCAGAAATGGCTCTTAGCTCCTTCATCCAGTTTCCAAACGCCTCCCAGGTTCACGCCACGATGGCGGACTTCACCAACACCCAAACAGACTTCACAGTGGATATCCCAGAAACTTTCTCCAAAGACTTTGAGCCATCACTGCAGGAGAACTTCAACCTCCTGCATTCCAATGCAGCAAAAAAGACACAGTTCTCCAGCATTTATAACCACAGACGGATCCTCAGACTCACCCTGGACTTGACCTCCTCAGCAAACCCAAAAAGACGAGTCCTCGGCACCTCACTTTTGGAGCATCTCAGTCCTGTGATACTTCTGAACGAGCTTCGACCAGGACTCAGGTACATGTGCCTGACGGAGAGGGTCCCCGGCAAGCCGATGAGGAATTTCATCATGGTGGTCCGGGTGGAGGGGATAGTGTTTGAAGGATGCGGTCACAGCAAGAGGCAGGCCAAGGCCCGGGCTGCTGCAGCGGTCCTGGAGACCATCTACAACTTTAGTCTGGGACTGGAACGGAAGATCACGGGTATGCAGGGAAGCAGAGCCAAGAATCAGCTACCTCAGGTGAGTATCCCGACCTTCTGTTACCAACTCTGAGAGCACAGATCAGGTCCAGAACTGGTGTTGGCCGCACCTGTCAGGGTATCGATAAAGTAACCATCAAATGACAGCCTGTTACAGCTGGGATGGAGGAGATTACCTTCTACCTGCTTTTGCTCTCCACATATCCTACAAACTAGACAAGCTGCTGACACTCAACTGGACAACAACACCCAGACAGAACATTTCCCCAAGTGATAATCCCAACCCCTGAGTCCAGGTTTTAGGTTTTTATGTAGAAATTGTAACCAGAGATGGGCAGGATGCTAACATTTTGATGCCTTGGATTCAAACTAAAGTTTTTTTTTCTGACGTTGTGATAAGACGACAAGTCGTTAAGTCGTTTTGATTCAGCTCTCATTTTCCTAAAAGCCTCACTGTCTGATCATTTAGCTTCATCCTCCTCGTCTTCGGTACGAACTGTCTGTCAGGCGGCGTGACGCTTTAATGAACATTATTACAGCACATTAGAGATGAAGGAGGAGCGGCGGCAGACCAAGGAGACTGAGGTGGAGCGAGAAGGCGGTGTGAAGAGCATAATAATCTGACGGATAATTGTTTAACACACTCATTACACACGACCTTGTGCCACTGTCATCCAGAAAATGTCGAGCAAGAGAGACACACCTGCTCTTACAAAACGAGAAGAGAGAGACATTTAAGCTACAGGCGGTTTCACACAGAGGTCATGTCCCGCTTCTATGTTCAGGAGTTTTAGGCGGTTAATGACATGAAGAGTGGATATTTTACACATTTATACCAGGAGCTATTTCTGACTCTGATCATGAACATCATGAAGACTTCAGAGACCGCTCATTGACCCTGTAAGTTTAAGCAACGAGGAACTATTCCAACTCCAGAACCATGAAGTTTTCTGGGAGGCCATGGTTTCCAGAGAGAATTTGGACAGTCTGGGTCTGGAGAAATGGCCAGTGTTTCTGGATCACATTGATGTATGGTTTCTAAATGGTTTTGAGCAAATTCAGCGACTTCCACTCCAGAGTCATGTCTATTTTTTAAGTTATGTTTTTGGGCATTTTGGCATTTCTTACTGGTTTCTTCTGTGCATGGTAGCTGTGTGAATTCAGACAATGAATTCTAGATGTGGTTCTCAGCCTATGCAGCGACTTCCACTACAGAGTCATGTCTGGGTCTTTTTTAAACTTATATATTTGGACATTTTTTCCTTTTGGTAAGATAGGACAGCTGGAGAAAGACAGGAAATATGGGGAGTAGCAAGTCGAGGAAGACACGCAGTAAAAGGTTGTGACCAGGAATCAAACCGGCTACTCCTGCAATAAGGACTACGGCCTTGAAGTCCAGGATACTTAGATTGATGGGCTATAAGCGAATCTTTGATTTTGATGTCCTGTACATAATGAAGTCTTTGTGGTTTTACACAGAGGAACACTATTCTGAAATTGTTGAAGTATTTGCTCACGCAGTTTCTCACAGAGTAGCAAACTTTAAACCTTGAACTTGTTGCTACTCAACTTCATTGGTTAGGAGATGTTCCTTCAGGTGTTTGTTTCAGTGTTACACAACTTTTTCAGTGTTTTGTTTTCCTGTCCCAATTTTTTGACACTTTCATTCAACATTTTACTCCGAACTCCGAACTTCTTTGAATTCGGGATCGTAGAAGAAACTTGAGAAATTTTGCAAGAAGGGGTTCCACTTCTCTGTAGGGGTCTGGGCATAGCAAAGTGTGTAAACATTATTATTCTGATTTTACACCACTAAGTAAATCTTGACAAAACAAACTACACTCCTTATTAAAGCTGCATAAAACATGAAATCTGAACAATTTTCTCTGATAGGTGTGATGATCATGTATGAGTGAATACTAACGTTTGGACGATCAGTGGAAGTCCAGTTTACTCACCCCCACTCAAAATTTATCTAACATGAATTATTTGAAGCTCAATTTGGACCCTCAAATATTTCATCTGCTTCCTTCACATGAGGCGGTCTTATGTTGTTTTAATTATTCAACAGACAAGGTGGAAAGAGCCCCAATGTACATGATCTTGTCAAGAGCGTACCAGACAGTCCTTTGATTAGGTCCCTACACAATTGTCTTGTTTTGGTGCAACTCCTGACGTGTTTTGGACCATTTAAGCCAAAATACTCTGCCTGTAACTACATGATGTCAAAGTCCTCGTCTTTCTTCTCCAGTTTTTTGCAGAGTCGATCTTCAACCTGGTGAAAGAGAAATACTCAGAGCTGACAGACAGTCATCGCTTTACCTCGAACGCCCGTCACAAGGTCCTGGCAGGAATCGTAATGACCAGAGGTGAGTTCTGGAGACACAACGCTCTGAACTCTTGATATGAGTGTCTCTCATAGATTGTTAAAGAAGTATCAGCCTCTTTTACATATGGACGAGTCGGACCTGAGTCAGCCTTCAATCAAGGTGACACAAGGTATATAGAAAGTCTAGTCTTGGACCATGACCGATCAATGATTCCAGAGAAGAGGGAGACTCTGCCTCCCATACTACTTTGAGAGACACTGAGTTCCAAAGATGAGTCTGTATTTTGGGAGTATGATTGGTCCCATGGTTTAGATCCAGGTGACACCAGTGGACGAGTCTTCTTCTTCCCAATCTACTTTCAGATGCCAGAAGGTTTCAGATTTGACAGATTCTTCCAGTCTTGACCTGGACAAAGGGTGAACTTACGTCAGCAGCTAACAGCAGCACTCTGTCCAGCTTCAGGACATCAGGAAGACAGAGAACTTTGAGGGGACTCTGAGGGGAGTTGCTGTCTCTTTGATTGGACGTGATCGTTGGACACTTGCTTGCTGTTAGCTCACTGTGTTTGCACGACAGTGATTATCTCCAGAGAAGTGTTGAAAGTTAGAAAGAAGGGAGGAGCACTACACTTGATATCATTTTTCTGAACTTTGATGTAATATCTTGAATTATAAGAGGACTTTTGAGTAAAAATCTCTTAACAGATGGGGGTGAAAGTATTTTCTCCCCTCAGTTCGGACGTCAAAGTGTCTGAGTCATTCTTTCCCAAAGTATCACTGCGATTCAAACATGAACGTCACCTCAGATTACCCTGCAGATCCAGAGGGGAGACAGTCATCCTCGGTGCCCTGTGAATCTTTGATGAGGCCAGATTGCAACACAAAAGCCTGTTTTTGAGACACCACAATGATTGTTCCGTCATACACTTTTCATTAGCTTGTCTCAGCCCGTTAACGCTCTGCTTGTCACCGGCGGAGGAGAAGAAATGCTTTGTTTTTCCAGTCCTGAGAGTCAGATGTTTTAACTGCGTCGTGTCGGATGTCTCATTTCATCGCAGCGGAGATCATTTGTTCAACATGTTGAGAAAATCCTGAGCTGTTACGATAATCTGTTTCACTCGTCTGTTTCTGTCAATCTTCTCCGTCTCTTTCCTGGATGTTTTTTAAGGGTTTGACCTCAGATCTGCTCAGGTCGTCTGTCTGGCCACGGGGACAAAGTGTTGGGACTCAAATAACCTGAGCGACCTCGGTGGGACTCTCAGAGACTGCCACGCTGAGGTCATCTGCAGGAGGGCGCTGGTTCGATTCCTGTATGCTCAGCTGGAGTTGCTGCTCTGGTATGAACCACAGATCATCTACAATATAGATGTCACTCATTAGTTTCTGTTTCCCAACAATGATAGATGCCATATTGGAATTGCTGACTCAACTTAAATTGAGTCTATAAACAGGCAAAGAGGTGGAGTTACAGTGGCTTAAATAAACAATGGTTGCTGATTGCGTTGCCTCTACTTGTCAATCAAATTAGCCCCGCCCCATAATCATACCAAACCCTTGAGCCTGGCCAACATCTCGTATGTTGCACAGGCAGAGCTGGTCATGTTTCCGTTAATTCATCAAGTGGTAATCAATAATTTAAGTAACTTTTAATGTTTTAAATCAGTTTTCTTTAAGTTCCTCGCTGCGATGTGTAGGTCATAAACGATTGGCTCTTTCGAAGCAGCTCTTGTACATGAACGATGCCGTTCTTTGTAGTTCTGTTCTTGCGAGGGCCAGATGATCTGGATCAAGTAGAAATTGTCTGAATTCCCATTTTAAGGAACGAGATTAGGAGATTGAGAATACAGAATCTTCGTGGTTTCCTAAAAAGCTCGTCTGTTTCTGTCTCTTTCCTCTGAAGTAAGCCAACACACTGTGAGGAACAATCCATCTTTGTACCAAATAAATTTGGTGGTGAAAGTGGCGGCAGCTTCTTCAGATTACAAGATGGCGTCCTCTTCCACATGTACGTCAGCTCATCGCCGTGTGGAGACGCTCGACTCAACTGTCCCTACGAGAGCTCAGCTACTCGTAAGAACACTTTAAGCTGACGGTTTAACAAAGACCCATGACTTATTTTTGTTTCTGAGCTCCCTCGGTCTTCTGTCTTTGTGTCAGTTCGCAGCCGCAGATTTCGTTGTCACCTCAGAGTGAAAGTGGACGGCGGCGAGGGGACGCTGCCTCTCACAGCATGGACAGCAAAACAGAAAATAAGTAGTGTCTCTTTCGGCAAACCTCTGGTCACCATGTCCTGCACCGACAAGATGGCAAAGTGAGTTTTTAACAGTTTTAAGGATCCAGAGAGTGAAAGTCAGCAGAATCCACACGTGTTCTAAACTTGTCTCATCAGATGGAGCGTTTCAGGCCTTCAAGGGGCCCTCTTGTCTCACCTGTTGGAGCCGGTGTACCTGCACAGCCTGACCGTGGGAACCCTCGGCCACACGGGTCACCTGAGCCGAGCCATGGCACGCCGCCTCGCACCCGTCAAACATCTACCGTTCCCCTACAGGAGACAGCAGCTGCTGCTCGGCTGTAGGTCCAAAAGTTTCCTTCTCGGTCTGCCTTGAAATCCAGATTCAAACTCAGTTTGAAGTATGGTCGCTGTTTAATTTCATTTCAGAAGTCTGTAGGCAGTCTTCGATGAGTTATGTCTTCATTTCAGCAACCAATCAGAGGCTGTATCTGTGATCAGATGACCTGTAGCGGTCAAATAGTCAAAACATAACAGGACTTTTCCTGGTCAGCTTGGCTCCGTTGTTCAAAAACTAGTCTGGGAACTGGAACCAAAGCTAGACCATCAACCCCTGAAGACGGGACCAAGCATACTTCATGGTTTCTGTGTTGACTCAGTAGTTGGGTATCTTGGTTGTCTCATGAGGTTTCTCTTGTGGCCCAGGTCTAAGCAGTAGTGATGTCCGACCGGCAGGGAAAGCACCAAACTGGAGCCTGAACTGGAGCTGCGGCGATGAAGGTTTGGAGGAGATCAGCACCTCCACAGGAAGGAGGAAGGACTCAGGGATGCCGTCACGGCTCTGCAGGCGCTTCATGTTCACCCGCTGGTGGAGGCTGCAGCAGCAGGTGAGTCAGAGACTCGCAGAGACCTGAAACTTTGTAGGGATGCAGGCTCAGGCAATGAGGGGAAGATCCATGAAAAATTGCTGAAGAAGCTCTTTTTTAGGAGACTGTCTTTGAGATAATGGAAGTGGACGTCTAATCAATTAGTAAAACGCCAAAGAAATGAGTCAAAGAGACATGTGAGTCCATTAAGTTTGATTGCTGGTTACAAATAAGCCAAGACAGGTCCAGGTCCAGGTCTAGATTCATCTGCACATAGAAGCAACTGGTCTGAACAAGAATAAAGAATAAAATAGTTTAAAGGCAGGGTTTTTAATTTCTGTTTTTAGTGCTGATGGAGCCGAAACAGAGCAGACGGCCTTGTTTTAAAATGTGATGACGGCAGACAGAGCTGTAATTATTTACCAAAGCAACTGGACCAGAGTGAGAAAGAAGTCTGAAGTATAACAAAGGCGAGACGGACCAGGAGAACTGCCGTGGTCTACTTTCTAATGCTACATTCATTTGTGTATTTGTTAAGTTGGTTGTTGGACTTTAAATGTCAAGTTTATGTTTGATTTCCTAGTTGAACGGAAAGATTACGAGCACAGACACACCTTCAGCAACATATTCCGCTTCCAAGATGGCTGCCGAGCGCTACCAAAGGGCGATGCAGCAGTTCACCGGCGCTCTGCAGAGTGGCGGGCTGGGAACTTGGCTCAGAAAACCCCCAGAAGTTTGCAACTTTAACGTCAGCGCATGAGAAACTGTTGAAAGCTTAAGGGTTGGTGTTAAGTTGATGATTGTTTTTACCGGTATGAATGTGGTCGAGATGTAAAGATCATGGTTGGGAATAAAAAAACTATTATGCAAATGTACTTGAGGCACACAGAAGAGTAGATGAAAAAGCGTGAAAGCTTGAGTTGACATTAGCTAATGTGCGATCACCATCACCGATCATCATCTATTGTTATCTCACAACGAGAGGCAACATGTGCCTCTGAGAACGGATGCAAACTCTACAGTGATTCTGGTGAAACTCAACAACTTCCTGTCAAGTCGTCTCTTCCATGTTTTTCCGAAGTCCAGCACGCCGCCAGGGTTACCCCCCATGTACCAGAAGGTCTCAGATCAACAGTAGACACACAAAAGCTTCACATCTAGAAAACACTCATTCTTGTCAACCATCCTAACAGGGGACACCGAACACTTATCGCAGCTTGTTGGGTCCCCTCAGAGCACTTTGTATTGACCTGTTTCAATCCTTGTTGACTTATTTTAGCCACAAAACTTGAATTCACACCTTCAAACTTCACCAAAAAATTTAGTTTTATCCTGAACAGCGAATAGTTTACCTTGAGAGGACCCACTATTTGTTTTCCACTGGATTTTGAATAACCACAGTACGACTGTGTGAACAGTGTCTCCTTTGTCGTGTTATTTTTACTTCATTCTCGATAAATCTGACACTTTAATCTATCTTATTCAATTTTATCCAACTTTACCACTGATTTAAAACCCCATTGTAACCTTCTCCTATCATTTGTTATTCTTGTGATTCTGAAATGACGGTATGCTGCCGCCTAGAGGGAGTAAATCTGCATTACAAGATATAGACCTTCATGTTTGCTTGAATGTTATTTGTCTAAAATCTAGTTTTGTTGAGTTTATCCTCACATTTTCTCCTCTAAAATGTATTTCTTTATTCACAACACTTTCAGTCTTTTATTGTCTGTACTATTGTGTTGGTTTTTTTTTTTTGTTGGTGTGTCTCCCAGCGTTGATTCTTAAATGTTTTTTTTGAGGTAAGGAATGTAAAAGTGTTCAATTGAATGGATATGAACTCTCTCCAAAGTTTATTAATGCAGAATGGATTTACTCTATATTGGTCATGACTATTTTATCACTGTGAATAAATGATATTTGTGTTACTTTTTGTCCTGTCTCTGAAGTTCATTAACAATATCTGTCAAAATTAAACATAAACTCTTTTTTTTTGTTGCCTTATAAAAAGAGCAAAACAATTTGACATCAACAACTTCTAATAATACAACAACACAAGACCCCCAAAAATGACACAAGTGGAAAACATTGGACCAGCAGGAATGGTTTATTTTGATTTTACAAGCAAATGCTTGTTCCTTGTTACACAGCTTGAATCCACATAACTGCTGTCGAGTTTATCCAACAGGTTTTCTTCTTTCCTCTTCAGAGGGTTGAGCTGTGGTGTTTGTTGTACATCAAACACTTTGTTCGCAAACAACACTGTTAAATTCAAAAGAGCCACATTTAACACGGCTTCACGACGGTGGATTTGAGACGATGTGACGTGGATCTGGATTCACGTGAAGTGTGATGAAAGATGTGGTTAAAACTGGTGAAGTGTGAAGATGGCAACAGAGTGGCTCAGTGTCGGTAGAAAATGCAGTCGAGTTTTGTGAGACTTTTTTTTTTCTTTTAACACTTTCTATGATGGAGAAAAAACAACTGGAAAAGAACTAGAGTTTCAAACATTATCACACAAATACAGTTTTTAAATAATCACATTAACTGAATGTTTTTGCTAGTTAAACCGGGGGCGACTCCTTCTGCAGATTCAGGTACAAACAAATCCAACTTCTCTTTTAAATGCCGTTTAAAACCCACATTACAGCTAGACTGCGTTAAATAAAAGAAAGCCTAACATACTTTGAGAACTTGGCACATAGTATTAATATATTTTATAAATAAGAGCTGTTAGTAAAAAAGCTATGCTGGATTGAAGCTGTTTGAGTTAAAATATATGAAACTAATAATTCTGCTCAAATGTCACTGTTCACCAGATATTAAAATTCAACAACCGACTACAGCCATGTCCTTTCACTTTTTGACTCCAGTTGAAGGCATTTTTTTCCATTAAGGTCTTTTCTGGAACTTAATAAAAATTTGAAGAGGATCTGATTATTTCCAAAAGTAAAATTAGTTTCGATTAAACCTTGACATGGTGAAAAAAAATTCAATTTTTCACCAAATATCAAAAAGTTTTGTTGGTTTTATGATATATGTTCAAGAGACTTTTTCGCAGATCCAGAACTTTTACATCAGCCCTCCAAATTTAAGAATTCTAATCTGAACTTGATAAAAATTTCATAGGGGGCGCCACTGAGTCATTTACCTGTTCCCGGTCACCATATAAACATGTTAAGCCCCACTAAAAAACTACTTCCTGTTTTATGAAAGTTAATGTTCTGCCATGGCAACCGTGTTAGACGTTTGTTTTGGGACATTACGGTGAATTTATCAGTTTGTACCACACAACACAAAACCTCCAAACTGGTCCAACCGAACAGCAGACGTTACATTCATCGCCCCCGGAATAACTAACAAAAATGACAGTTTTATGTGAAGGTGAAGCTTTTAAACAAATAAATCTAAACTTATATATTATGAAGCAATAAACTGGATTTACACAAGTTTAAAACAAATGAAATACAGGATCAGGTCATCAAGTTATAAAGGCTGATAAACACCGCTTCAGCTGTAGAACACCAGACCCCCAAACTGCCGACAATTCCTCCTTTAATTACAATTATATGATACAAATGTTACGGTTTCAAAAGAGGAGGAGGTTAACCCTTTACATTTGTTTTTGACAACTACTGAAAATACAACTTTGTTCAATCCAACGAATGTTGAAATCCAAATACTGAATATTTCAACTTTCCTCCGTTTGACATTGATGAACTTTCGGCTGTAAAATGTTTGCATACACACAAAAAACTGTGGGTATGATCAAAAACAAAGAACTGTATTTTTTGTTCTCACTGTTTAAGAGAAATGTTTAGAATTAGAGCCCGATGTAAAAGAAAAATAAAGAGATTTTGACAATTAAGTCAAAAATTTACAAGAAAGAAGTCATAGTTTTAGCTAAAGGTTAGCCAGGATGAAGCAAAATTTACAAATTTACGACTTTGCATTTGTAAATTTACAACTTTACAATTAAGTCATAAATTTGCAAGAATGCAGTAGTAGTTTTATTAAATGAAGGTTGTAAATTTACAAAAAAGAAGTCATAATTTTAGCTAAAGGTTAGCCAGGATGAGGCAAAATATACAATTTCATAACTTCATTTTTGTAAATTTACAACTTTACTTTTGTTAATTTACGACTTTTTGTTGGAATTAACGACTTCTGTTAATTTACAGTTTATTCTTTTTACTTGTTGCTTCATTGTAACTTATTCCTTGATAATTACGGAATTATTCTCATTATTTTACAGCCTTAATCCAGCAAATTTACACCTTTACGCTTGTTAATTTATGACTTTATGTTGAAACTTCTGTGGATTCAGTTTTTTCTTGTTACTTGTTGCTTCATTATAACTCATTTATTGAAAATTACGGAATTATTCTCATTATTTTACGGCCTTAATCCAGTAATTTTTATAAAATTTTCTCTTTTCACTTATTTTAGTAAAATTATCATCTTAATTATGACTTCCTTCTTGGATTTTTACAATTTAAAGTCTCATTTTTTTAAATTCACAATGCGGCTCTAATCCTCACGTCTGATATTTTCATGTAAATGTCGCTGCTGAATGAAAATTTGTGACACAAAAACCAGCAAAATGCTCAGCAAATCTAAAGCTAGTTTTATAACAATCAGTTAAAAATGAACTGTGCTTGTTTATCACGTCGCGGCTGCAACTTGTGAGGCTTGTGGAAAACACGCGTAGTACAACAAAGTACGACAGTTGTACTCCAGTCGAGGAACTAGTTCAGTATTACAACATTAAACACTTTTATAGACATCGATTTTTATCATCGCACGGACGCACACTCGCAGGATTTGTTCGTATAGGTAGTGAAATCATCTCACACAAACTAAAAGCCACACACACGTACACGCACGCGCACGCACACAAACGTCATTACGGCCTCTTCATTCACTTGAACGCAGCTTTGGCTGAGTGTTTAAGTGGCAGTGTCAAAGCGAAGCAGGTGACAGCGAACACATCAAGACGCTCCTTTGAGAGTTCACTAGTTTTTCAAAGTACCAGAACAGATATGACACCCACAGGATCCCCACGACGGCGTTCACACACTACAGACTAAAGGGCACTGCGCTGAACTAGAAAAAAAGTTTTTTTTTTTACAATCATGTCGAGTAAAGGAGCAGCTGCAGGGCCGGACAGAACAGACATGTTTTTTTTTTAACGCTGCTGAATGTTTTAGCGAGTTCTTGTTGAGTAAGATCATGTCAGCTGTTACTGTCTACGCAACACGGACGAAGAATTATTTACCTACAGGACAAGCCAACCCATTTTATTCCGCCAGTATAAGTGCTCTTGCGTAACTTGATGAGAACATGTCGTTTGTCTCCAGAGCTGATGATTGAAACGGTTCATAATCTGACGTCCGGCATCTTTCGAGTCTCTGTTGAGACTTGCACAAAAAAAAAAAAAAGACTCGAGTTGTAACAGACGAACTCTTTCTGGCTCCGAGGAAACCAGCAAGACAAGCGGATCTACTCCGGAGAGAAACCCTTCAGTACTTTAAAGAGACCTCTTTGGGTCTCGTGTGCGAGTGTTTGTCGTTCGACCTCGGTGTGTTGAGAGAAACTCAAAGAGACTGAGATGTTTGTAACAGCGAACTGTGTTTGTTAAAAAGTGCATGACTTATCGAACAGAGGGGAGAGACTCCGTCGAGCTCTGATAATATAAATGAAAGTGACACACGTGTGTTATAGCAGTGTTTCCCTCAACATGACTCCATACCTGTGACGGGGGAGAGGGGGGTTCTTACACCTGTGATCATTTACAAGAGTGGCTGAAGACATCTGTATGTGAATCGACATCTTGTTCATTTTGAAGGATAATTTCTGCCTCTTTAACGTAAAAATAATAAAGATATTTAAATTAAAACAGGAATAAAATTGTTGCACTTTATCAGTAAGAGTGCAGAGCTGAAGGAACTTCTGAGACGCTACAGGTGATCAGAAACAAGAGCAAAGAGCAACAGGAGGATGTCTTAATCATTAAGGGATATGGTAAGAAAAAACGGAAAGAAAATTATCTGTATTATACTTAAACGACCCGCGAGGTATGGTCTATATGTGGGAAACACTGTTGAAACTTTACGCGCATTAAAGCTGTCGAGCTCTGAGTCTCTTGTGCAAAAGAAAACATTATGGATCTGCTTTTCAAATCTTCCTCAGACAATTTAGATATTTAATAAATTTAATAATATTTGCATTTGATAGACCAAAACGGTTTTTGAGTTTATTTTGACCAAATCTTCAGGTACCGCAGGAGCAAAATTTCTGATTCGAAGTCTGTAAAACATCGAAAGAAGTTGGACTATCTAATAAAATAATGAATATGGTAGCATCACTGTTTGATGTGTTATCCGACTCTTTTGACTCAGGTAATGCGTTTCGTAAAAATAAAGGTGTTTTCTGTGAAAGATGCAGGAGGTGAAAAGACCAGGCCCATTTTCCTGCCCCTGAGTCTGGAGGAGGTCAGTCCGATAATCACCTCCAAACACGTCTCTCATTCCTCGTTTGTCACATAGCACTGGTTAAAAAATGACAGATAAACAGAAGCATGAAACTCAAGTCTTTAAAGCCACCTTTTTTTTTTTAAGGCTGCAGGATGTGTAGGATGCTCCAAAGACGGACTCTGGGTGGAGTTTCACTGTAAGGTGCCAGGAGAAGGAGGCGGTGGAGGTCATTTCTCCTGCAGCAGAGCCGGGATGTTGATGTTCCAGCCGATGGCCTGCCGGTCGAAGCCGCAGGTGAAAAGGTTGCAGGAGGTGTTGTCTTCACACCAAGCGGAGCAGCAAACCATCCGCCGGTGACCCTGAACGAAGAGTGATAAAAAAACAGAAAATGTCTGACACCGAGAAGGAAACCAGAGCAAAAAAACAAGAATCAAATATTTTTATAAAGGTGTGTTAGCAGCTCCTCCTCCTCCTCCTCCTCTGTTGACTCACCTGTCTGTTGCTCCGTGGGAGGCGAGCCAGTCGCACTCCGGACATGTCGAACAGCCGGACCTGCCGATTGTCGTGAGGAAGAGCGATGATTTTCTGGTTCACTGACACGCTGATCCTGAACAAAAGAAGAAGAAGAAGAAGATGAAGATGATGATGATCAGGTTTAAACTGCGTTACATGAAACTGGAGAGGTGAATTCAATACTTCTGATTCATTAAAAAGCAGCAGCAGTTTTTTCCTGGATACTTTAACAATTTTTAAAGGATTTTATCATCTACAGAATAAAAAAGAGGCATGACTCTGTAGTGAAAATCACCACATAGGCTCAAAACCCCTTCCTGAGATCATGATATATGTGTAGACCCTATACTGTTGATGAGGTTAGGTGCTGTTCTGAGCATTATTTGTGGCTACTCAACTACTCTCTTCCAGCAGCCGCTTGTCTGTGGCAAGACCTCTTGCCAGTCCATTACAGACTACAGCGGGGTGTCGCAGCTCAAGGAAGAACATTCTGATTCTGACATTCAGTCTGATTGTATTTCCATGAAGAAATGATCATAAATGTTCTTCCTTGAGCTGTGACACCCCGCTGTAGTCCGTAATGGACTGGCCTGAGGTCTCTCTAGAAACAAGCGGCTGCTGGAAGAGAGTAGGTGAGTTGTGTTTAGTCTCTTTGCTAAAGAAATGAGTCAAAGTTAAAAAGATGTTTGGTGGCTAGTACTATGTCTGTGACCCTATATGTCCTGTTGATGAAGTTAGGTGCTGTTCTGAGCATTATTTGTGGCTATAGAGTGGCGTTTTAGTTGAGTGTGTGGCGTTACTAAAGTTGGTATAACTAGAGAATCAAGCGGTCGACAACATTCATCTCTCGACGGGGTTGTCTAACTCGGTGTTATGGTGTGTTTGACCCTAAATTTATTTTACGCCGGAATATCCCTTTAACGTCGAACCAGACCTGTTGACAGCAGAGTCAGTGCGGATGGTTGCTATGGGAGACCGCATATTCTTCAGGTCCCACACTTTCACAGTCCGGTCGTCGCTCCCGGAAACCACGTTGTCTCCCACCGTGAAGACAGCAGACGTCACCGTGCTGCAGAGGAAGACCAGGAAGCATTTCAAAATAAAAGAACCTCAATGGCTGAGCCTGATGTGTGTGTGTGTGTGTGTGTGTGTGTGTGTGTGTGTGTGTGTGCAGACTGACTCAGTGTGTCCCTGGAACACGTTGACAGAGTGGATGGACGGGTCTCTGAAGTCCCACAGCCTGAAGGTGGTGTCTCTGGACGAAGTGACCACCAGGCGCTGGGTGGGGTGTGTGCAGCAGTGAGTCAGCTCCTGGTCATGACCTGATCACACGCACAGACAAAGTCATGTGACCATATCAGCTTCAGGGAGGTTCTGAGGTAATAAACAACATCGACATCATCTGACCTGTGAGCGAGTGAACCAGCTCTGAGGTCTCCACGTCGTACAGGTTGGCGGCTCGGTCCCAGGAGGCCGTCACTACCTGTTTGCCCCCCACCAGCCAGTCAGCGGCGATCACCACTCCCTGGTGGCTGCGTAAGGTCGTGGTCGCCACCCGGACGGAAGGACAGTCGTTTGAACCCTCGACCTCGCCGTCTGCCTCGTCTTTATCGGAAAAGTCCACGTCGTCTTCACAGGGGGTCTGCTGCAGAGAAAAGAGCGAGGGATGAAGTACGATCAGGAAAACGTACAGAGTTGATCAGGTACGCACACACGGAGGAGGCGGTGCTTACACTGATATCAGCGACGGGCTGAGGGGTCGGCAGCTGCACCATGTACCTCCAGATGTGAGCGGTCTGGTCTCCAGAGGCTGAGGAGGACAAGAGGTGCAACAATCAACACAACCCCAAACTAAAGCGGTGTTTAGAAAGACAGTCCTCCATCTGCATCTACAGCTACTCTCTGTGGTTAAAGGTCCAATAATGGAGGCGACGTCGCAGACGACCCTCAGAGTTTGAGCTGCATGGATAAGATGGAAAAGAAGGTTTCCCTCCTCTGCAGCTGCTGCAACAAAACCTCCGGGGACTTTGGGAAAGTTTCAGTTTTGGATCATTACCTGTTAGAGCCATCTGTTCGGTGGGGTGGAACTTGATGGAGTTGACTGTGGAGACAAAGAGAAACAGATGTTTTTACTCTAAACACAATAGACAGAGACGACTCTGCTGCTGCAGGACTTTAACTCTCAGAGGGACGTTTACAAAACATGTTTGATTCGTCTTCAAAAAAGTTTCTTTCTCTAAATGTAAGATTTAAAAAAAAACACATGACTGGTATTTTCATTGATTAAGGAAAAGTGAAAGTTTGTATATGTCTGTATTTATCTTTGTAATTTAATATCATATAGTTTTACATTGATAAGGAAGACAAGTAATATCTAATGGATACAGGTTGGGATTAAATAAGTATTACTTCTTCACACTGCTTTTTGGATATGTAAATTACAGTTTTTCACTTTTTTTCTTTCATATTTTTTTTTCATATTTGTCAACTTTGTATTATATTGTTAAGTATCTCCATGATGATAACAAAAGTCATTTATTTTGTTTTCATTTTATCATTATTATTATTTACATGTCATGAAACAGAAAAATAGACAAACAAACAAACCTATCGTATCATACCGTATTGTAAAGTTTCTGACAGAATCGTATTGTACAGCATTGTATCCAACCGTATCATATCAGACCGCATTGTATCGGACCATATCGTATCAAACTGCATCATGTTAGACTGCATCGTATCGTATAGTATTAGACAGTATCCGACAGTATCGTATCGGACCTTATCCTATCATATCATATGGTATCCATATCGTATTGTGTAGTTTCGGACAGTATTGTATCGGACAGTATTGTATCGTATCATATTATATTGCATCGTATCGGACCGCACTGTATTAGACCATAAAGTATCAGACAGTATCGTATCATATCATGTTGTATTGTTTAGTTGCAGACAGTATCGTATCGGACAAAATCGTATTGTATCGGACAGTAAGGTTTTGGACCACATCGTATTGTACAGTTTCGGACAGTATCGTATCGTATCGTATCATACCCTATCGTACCGGACAGTACTGTATCTTATCGTATTGGACAGTATCGTATCTAAATGCAGTCTGAGCTCTGATACTGTACTTGAAACAGGGTTGCACACTTAGTATGGCAGAAACAGATGATTCTAGATGGAGCTACACAGTTGCACAGAAACTGCACATTGAAAAATTTCCACATCAGACTTTATGGTATATAACCCCTGCATATCTATCCATTCAAAATAGCTCAGAAAACTAGGGATGCACGATATTTATCGGACCGATAGAATATCGGCTGATTTGGGGGAAAATTACGTCATTTTTTATCGGTCCGATAGGTGCATTTTTCCGATAGAAAGATCCGATATATTAATGAAATTACGAGTAACGTTTGCAGGCGGAGTAGCCGCCCGTCGCACCTTACCAGCAGGTCCAAAGCCTGACCCCTGTCACTACCTGACTGATAATAAAATGTCTTCACCAGCATGGTCGTTTTTCTCAGTGGCAGAAGATGACAACAGCTGCTATATGCAAAACCTGTTCAGCGAGGATTCCGAGAGGCGGAATGAAGACGTCAAGTTTTAACACAACGAATCTGATAGCTCATCTGAAAAGTCGCCATCGCGGCGGAGCAGTATTAAAGGACTATGAGACAGCCGCCGAAGCTGCTAGCGGTACTAAAGCTAAGACAACAACACTATGGAGGATCGATGTCCCCATTCAGTAGCCGTTTGAAAACTGCAAAAGCTTCTCAAGAGACAGCGAAAAGGCTAAAGCCATTAACGACAAAGTGATGGAGTTCATAGCGGTCGACGACCAGCCTTTTTCCGTCGTTGAGAACCCGGGTTTTCGTAAGTTCATAGCACACTTGGAGCCACGTTACACTCTCCCAAGCTGCCGCTTCTTCTCGGATGTGTCCCTTCCTGCACTCTATGATATTGTCGCCACATACATTCACAACCTGATCGACAAGAGCGGACTGCACGTGAGTTTTACCACAGACATATGGACGTCAGATGTTAGTCCGGTCAGCATGCTAAGCCTAACGTCTCATAATAGCTCCTTTACAGTTTACAGTTCTGTTGAACAGTTCAGGGGATCAAATGAAGTTCTGCTTTTTGCTCTGTTATTGTTATTTATAGCAAATGACCATATTTGAAGAGCCAAAAACTTTTGTTTGTTGTTCTAGATAGGCCAGAGCAACAAAAATATCAGCTTTCAATCACTGCATCCTGCACAAACTGCAGATTATATGAAGATTATAATAAATGTAAAAATATGAATTTATCGGTTACCGGTATCGGTATCGGCCATGAGGAGAAGAAAATTATCGGTTATCGGTTGAAATTTTTCATATCGTGCATCACTACAGAAAACAATGGAGAAGAGCTCTCCTGATGGTTGAAGTATGACTAAATTTAATTTCTTTTAGATGTGTAAATTAGTCAACCAACTCTACCTGATCCTTGATGGCCCATATACTTGAGGAGGCACTTCCCGGTTTCGATGCTCCACAGCATCGCAGAGTGATCTGTTGAGACATAATCAAGATAAAAAGGTGTGAACGAGCAAAACTACAACAAACATCTGCACACGACTCCTCAGAGGAAAGTCTGACATTTAAGGAGAAAACTGGAAAAAATAGTGAAGTACCTGCAGACGCAGTGCCGAGCACCACTGGCTGTGTCCTGGTGACACTGAGATCCCAGATGCCGTCTCTGTGGCCCACATACTCTCGGACCAGCTGGCACACTGCTCTGGACGTGGTCGCTTTGAAACTGGAAACAATCTGACAGCGAAATCACACTCATGTTAACGGAGGGGAGACTCACAGCCGTGAGGTGGACTGAACAGGGCTCCCACACTTTTCCCTCACGTTGTCATCTCCTGAGTTTTCTCGTTGTAAGCAGTCCGAGCTCGATTTAGACCCCTTTCCTCACCAAAGTAAGAATTCCGGAGATGGTCTGTTTTGAATTTTCTAGTCTTTGAGGGGTCGTGTAGGAACCCTGATCAGATTCTGGGGGGAAGCAGGTCGGCAGAACTGAGAAGCTGCTCGGCAAAGTCCTCGTTAGGCAAGAACCCAGGACCACCACCCATCAGGATGTTTCTGCTGCCTGTTTTCAAACTTTACGCTGAGTTGATGGGTAAACCTGATCACTCCCACACTGAAAATTATTTGATTCTTACCAAGACAAAAAAACTTTATTTCTTATTTTAAGTGTTTAACTTTACACTATAATGTTATATCAAGCGCAGCCATATCTTTAACCTTAAACCTTAATCTTAAATTTAGTACATTTCACTTATTTTAGGGCTGTTAAAGCTACATTTCAAGTTATCAGATATTAAAACCAGGATTTTATACTTACATTTAGTATATTTAACTTAATTTTGGGGGCTATAAAAGGTAAATTTTAAGTAATCTGATCTTAAAACCAGCATTTTTGTCTGACTTTAAGCTCTCCAAATACATTGTATACATGCTTATTTCTAGATTTAACAATCTCAATTTAAGAAATCTTGTCAAGTGAAATTATCTTGCTGCATGGACAGATGATTTCACTTGTTTTTAGTACCTTTTCCCACAGATTTCCCTCAGAAACTCAGTGTATTTGGTCTTTGGGGTCCAAAAAGACCCCCAAGATTTGCCGATCTGGTTCGGTAAAACTCAAAATACAGAGGTATCTTTGGAAGCTCATGGAGTGGTTTCGACCAAGAGGCTGGAGCGTTATTTAGTACTCTGTTACATCTGTACCACGTTATTCTTCACTATCTCAAACTATCCGCCGTCTTGTGGCGAAATGAGGCAAAAATAAGCTTTTCTGGGGGAACTTTTCAGACTCCGAAGACCAAACAGCCCTGAGTTGTGGTCGCTCCAGACCGTTGGCGAATACTTCAGGCTGACTAGTTTAAGCAGAAGACATCCTAAAGGGGGCGACCGGACTCCAAGACTTGAGTATGCCAGGACTAAGAAGCTTTGGGAGAGCATTACTCATATTAATCCTGAGTTTAATAAAAAAAGAAATGAAACCTTTACTGGTATTTGGGCGGTATTCAACCCAGATCTGGTATCAACAAGAACTGCAGTTAGATCCATCAAGTATTATATAACGTAAATAAAACAGAGTGGGGACAAAAGGAGGAGCTGGTCAGTTGGTATTAAAAGCTGTATCAGAGTTTGGTAGAGGTGTTTACATTAAAGATGGGGATGATACAAACTGGACTCTTGGTTGGTTTGGGACACAGACCGCTAAATAAGTTCCAACTGTAAGGAAGCAGGAGAGTCAAAAGAGAAGCATCACTTATCTGGAAGATATATCCCGTCGAGTACTTCCCTTTAAATGAACGACAGTCAGAATAACCAGACACCAAAGATGTCGTGAACCAGCGGGTGCTGGCGGTTAGCAAAAGCAGCACTGAGGAAGGTGACAAACAAAATCCTGGGAGGGGTCCATCTCTGGTTTTTGTTTCATTTAGATTCAACAAGACGAAAGAAAACAAAAAGTCTGAATAATGTGAAAAACAGTGATAAGCTGATGTGTTTGAATGATGACTTCAGTAAGGCTGGTTTAACTCGAACTCTGATTTAGTAGGTTACGCTTACAAGGCGTTCAACCTGAGGGACTTTAAGGAAATGCGAAGCGCTGACTAAGCATCCAGCGGTTAATGCTCTACAGCTGACAGCTTCAGTTTGCAACCTGCCAAACCCACATCAGCATTTTGCTCCAGAATCAAAATCAAATCTAAACCGAACTGTTAAAAGACGAGACGTTTAAAGAGGAGGGTATTTCATCTCCCCTTAGAGCCATCAGACTCTACGGCTTTGGAGCTGCAGGTTCTAGTCTATACAGAGCTGCTGGTCTGATCTACTATGGGAGTTGTCAGTCTACCAGAGTAATTATTAGTCTACCGCAGTAGATACTGGTCCACCACAGGAGCTGCCTCTCTACCCTAGCAGCTGCTGGTTTATCACAGGAGATTCTAGTCTACTAGAGGGGCTTCCGGGTTGGTCTACCACAGAGGATGATGGTCTACCCTACCCTTGCTGGACTATTCCAGAGGAGGGGTTGGTCTACGACAGGGGCTGCCAGTATACCCTAGCAGCTGCAGGTCTATAACAGAAACTGCTGGTTTAGTCTATGACAGGAGTTGCTGGTCTACCATAGGGGCTGCTGGTTTGGTCTTCTACAGGAGGTGTTGGTCTAAGACAGGAGATCTGTGGTCCACCACAGGAATTGCTGGTATTCAAAGGGGGCAGGTCTATCACGGAGGCTGCTGATTTTGTCTTCTACATGAGTTGCCAGTCTATTACAGGAGTTGCTGGTCTACCAAAGGGGCTGCCAGTATACCCTTGCAGCTGCTAGTCTATTAGACAATGCTGGTTTAGTCTTCTACAGGAGTTGCTGGTTTACTGACGGGATAGCTAGTCTTCCCAAGCAACTGCAGGAGATGCTGGTCTACCCTAGCAGCTGTTGGTCCATCACAAGTTACCGATCAACCTGGTTCGCCACATGGGCTGCAGGTTTGGTCTTGTACAAGAGTTGTTTGTCCTTGACAGGAGTTTTTGGTCTACTTTAGCAGCTGCTGGTAGACCACAGGAGGTGCTGGTTTCCTACGGGGGTTACTGGTCTACCCTACTGTGCTGTAATATTTTGCAATAGAGTCAGGTGACTTTCAAAAGAGTTATTTATCTACTTTCACAGTTAAATTCATGATCTTACGTCATTTAATCTTGATACAAATCTTGATTTTTAAAACAAAAAAGGACTTTTGGAGGAAGCATGTTGATCTAGTTCATGAATTCTTGTCCTTGTAGGCGGTACTAACGCACACTAAAACAGCAAAATGTGATGTGGAAGCAGTTTTCAGCAGGACACAAGCTCGTCCTTCATTTAAAAACTGATCCAGAGCAGATTACTAATGTTTCTGTCGCAGTAATTTATTAATCAAGGCATAAAAGCATCGTGTGATGTTAAAGATGTCTCCGTAGTGTACCAGTATGTGAAAGCCAAGAAGAAGCTAAACCAAAATCAAAGCTGGTGCAACTGAAAAGGCCAGTTAGTGAGATATAAAGTCGAGTTTTATCTCACACAGAAACTGATAGAAAAGCTCAGAGTCCTACATTTGAAAGACCAACTCTCTCGGGGAGGGAGTGTCCACTCCCTGGCTGGGCTGTTCATACATATTGGCACACAAGGGGGAGAAATCAACAAAGTTACCCATGAGTCTCCACCCCACAACTCCCAACTGGTTACGCTGAAGGTGCGGGGTCCACCTACTCTGGCGTGGCAAGAGTTTGAACGCGGCTGAGAGCAAAAAAAAAGTACAAAAAAAAAAAAAGAAGAAGAAGAAGAAGACAGCAGTTCCACTTTTTCAACATTTTCAACTGCTGGAGACACTTTATGTTTTCTACCTCCTGACACAACGGACAGTCTTCAGTTTGTGTTCCCTCACACAGTCCTGAAAGAAACACACAACACAAACAGAGCATGTGCAGCGGGGATTAGTGATTGCTGTTTTCACCTTGCTCGTTGAAGCCTTGTAGGTCGTCTTCAGTTTCTGTGACAGCTGGCTGGTGCTGTGACTCGCTGTCGGAGAGATGAGGAGGCGGTTAAAACGTTTTTTTTTTCCACTTTTGAAAACTGAAAATGTTGCTCTACAAAAACGTAATCTCACCTTTTGTTTTCAGAGCTCCTTTGGCTAAATCGGCCCCTTCGAACGTCTGTCCGTCCGCAGCCAAACGATCGTTCAGCGTCTCGATTTCTCTGCGCACTGAGAGTCAAAGAGGTCGCGTGTTAGATAGCTGAACTTTGCGCCGATTTTAACGAGTGGAAATGTCGTTTTATTCATCCACGATCGAGCAGCTCTAAGCCCAGGTGTGCACTCTTAGATTAGGGGTGAAAAGTGTCGTTCTTAACATTTGTCTGCAGAGCTCACAGTTTTAAAATAATGTCCTCCTCTGAGACGACTTACATTCCAGGTTCTCGATGTAGAGGTTTTCAAACTCCCTCTCGATCTGACTGAACAGGTCCAGAAGATTGCTCCTCAGAGACAGAGGCAGTTTGGAGTCCTGCAGGAAAAGAGAGAGAGAACAGAGAGTGTGAGACAAGTTTGAGGTTTATTATTAAGTGTTTGGGGAGGAAATACTAAGAAGAGGATTGTTTTTAGTGTGTATTCAGGGCAGGAACTAAAACCTTTTTATACAGAAGCTTGAGGCTGAATAACATCGATATGAAAAGACGGTTTAGTTTTGAGACTAAGCGGATGAGTCATAATTTACCTCCTGAGAACCGTCATCAAGTTTATCATGACTGAGTCGTCAAGTTTTTGCAGGAAGGGAACGAAAAAATAAACATTATGAGCCTCTAGTGAAAAAAAGCAGAACTGCACGAATGCAAAACGATCTTTTTATCGTCCTCGATTGAAAATGAAACCTGTTACTGCAAGAAACTTGAGGAAGGAAATAAGCGAGAACTCCTGCTGCAGGGAGAACAAAGAGGAAGTCAAAGAAAAGAAACCGTCCCTGTGAGGAAACGAGGAAAGAGGTCGACGTGAAGGTGCCTTACAAGAGGACAGACGGTATCACGAGAGGGTCAAAAATCTTCTGTTTCATCTGATTAAAACCAGAGAATCAAACACAACTGAGAGGGACCATCTCCTCCTCCTCCTCCCCTTCCTCAGAGCTTTGTCCAATCATAACGATGCTCCTCTCTTTGCACCTGAACGCTGAGTGCTCCACATAATGCACTCTCCCTCTGACGCTGAGTCACCGCTCTCAGCAGAGTTTTCTAAAGGAATCAGTCGAGTGTGTTCGCTCTGAAAGGCTGACGCTGGCAGCAGAGAGGTTTGTGGCACACTGCACACATCAGGATAATTACACCGAGAAGAAGAAGAAGAAGAAGAAGAGGAAGAAGAGGAAGAAGAAGAAAGGCTGCAGCCATGGGGGAAGGGACCTGAATGTAAAGAGGACGGACTGTATGTTACTGAAGATAGACGCTGTGGAGAAATAGCACTTAGGAAACATGTGACCGCACCGTAACAGAGGAACCTGATTATTTAGATATCCGTGCATTTATGGGGGACTTTAAAGGAAAGATCTGCGACTATTTAAATGCACCAAACCTCAAAAAGGTGCAAAATACATGTGTTATTTTAATGTCATGGCTGATCTGTGTGTTCTGATTCTACGTCAAGAAAACACTCTGAGGACTACCAGACACCCCGTCTAGATGCTAATCGAACCTACACATTTAAAACTAGCTCTAATGTCACAGAGACAAGTGTCTCACACACACACAGAGAGCTGGACACCTCAGACTTACCTCCATCCTCATCAGGGACTCCAGATTATCAGAGGACTGGGACCAAAAAGGGCCAGAGTGAAAAACAAAAAAGTCATGAGGAAGGGATTACACTGTTTGCACCACTTTGGGTTTAAACACGAGAAACTCCACGATTATTACAGCTGTGCAAGAAACTTATCAAAGATTAGAGGACTAGAGAGAGTTTGTCTAGACACAAACTTCACAGCAGAATTAATCCACGTCATTAAACTCCAGATTTTAACACCTGACTATGAGAACAATCAGCGTGTGGAAGTCCTGAGGGCTGGAAAAGAGCTTCAAGTCTAACCTGAGGATAACAGGTGTATCATGTTGAGGTAAATCAACTCTGAATTTCCACCATCCTGCTGCTTCATTAAAACAGAGGTTTGTTATAATTATCTTTGCGCCTCTGCGGTAAGTCTAAGACTAGGACCAGGATCACGCTCATATGAAGACCGTTTAGGTGCCTGAGTCCGTTTAAGTTGGGATGCAAAATATTTAAAAACTAATTTGAGAGGAAGGAAGTCACAAAAATCAATTCCTCGATAGAGTGATAGATTTGATTTCAATCAACCGTAACATTAAATATTAAGTTTGAGTTAAAATGAATTACATATTAAGGATTTAGCATAATTTAAAATGATTTAAAATAATTTAAAACCGTTTAAAAGCCAAATTCATTTTAGAATGGATTGAAATGATTTAAAACCTTTTACCCATTCATTTAATTTGTTTAACTCTTAAATTTAATAACTCTTTTTTTAAATTAGTACTAATGAGTTAATTTATTTGTGCCTACTTAATGACAGACTCATTTCATTTATTTCCTTTGAGGTTATCAACCTGCTTCTGCAACCGGTTACCATCTACAATAAAAGGAAATTAAAGCGAGTTGAGTTGTCCACAGTGTCCTTTGTTGATCTCCAGGCCTTGAGCACGTTGGGGCGGGCAATGATGCTGGAAAAAGGGGAAATTTAAATCGACAGACTTGGAGGTGAATTTTGGTTCCGATCTGTCAGAGCGTGGACTTCATACTCCACAGACGTTATATTTATCTGCGCCGAAATAACATTACGTCATTTGTGATGATGTGAGGAGAGGATCATAGCGGATCACGACGGGATGCTGAGCTTCAGTGAATAAGATAATGACGCAGCGACAGGTGTGGCAAAGACGTTTAATGGAATAGAGGGAGCTCGTCCCAATAAATCATGTCTGCAAATATTTCTAACACCTGCACAAAGTTTAGCAGAAACAAATTCATGAGAAAAATCTGTGAGTTTACATCCACCTTCATCCGAGATAGCAGAGCGAAGATTTCACCAGCTAATGGCGTATTTTGAGAAGTATCTTGAGGCCCCGCCCACCCTGTATGATGTGATCTCTACAATCATTCATAACATTGTTTGACCGCAGACATACAGACTTCTGACATTAGTGTAGTGAAAGTAATTAGACTGATGAAGACTTCGACATGAAACAAACTAAGTGTCTGTACTCTTCTCCATCTTAACCATCACGGCTCAAAAACTCCATCTTCATTAACACCCGAGTTAAAATAACCCTGCGGTATTTTAGTCATGCTCAAGCAGCAATATAAGCCTTTGTTGTGCATTAAAACCTAATTGGCTTAGGCTTACATCCAGAGTGTTTAAAGGTGCTAAGAGACACAGCAGGACAGAAAGCTAATTATAAAGGTGCTTGTTACCTTCAAATCTTCACTGATTAAATACTTTCTCTGCGACCTGTCCTCGTTTTAATTTCACTGTGTCATAACGGAACACTCACCTGTCCCTCCAGCATGTCCCTCTGCAGCCCGGAGCGGTCCTGCTCGGTGCTGTTGGTCCTGCGGATCGACAGGCTGTGGGACTTCCTCTTCTGCTTGGCCTGTCGGGCCGCCGCGCTGCTCCCGCTCTCCACCGGCATCCCTCCTTCTGATCCCGAAGTAACCACAGTCTGAAAGGATGAAATGAGAGGAGGGAGGGAAGGCGTGGTTCAGAGGGAGGCTGGGTGTGAGCGACACCAACAGTAACACTCATAATGAGACATTAGACGATTGTGCTGCATCTGGCTGTGGGTTTATTTGTCGGCTTTTATGTGCGAATGAAAGCTGAGCTCTCAGACTCGAGGCATTGGTAATTTTATCACATTTAAAGGTTTGAACATGAGAATTTTTGTCTGTTTTACTCAAATGTAGCTGTCAGGTTTCAATGAATGTGTTTTCAACTAACTTTATATTTGGCCCAAGGGTTATGAAAATTGTATCAAATTAAATGCCATATGGATATTTTTTCCCATCTGTTCAATTATATATTGTTAACTTGGACAAATACCCAGCACCATACGTGAACTCCCAACCCTCACTACTTTTACTAAACATCTCAAGTCATGGCTGTTGGAAAACCAGACCTGCCATCATAATCATGTCTAAAATTGTGTGTCATGTCTAATTAACTAATTGCTTTGGGGTACCACTCTTAATTTGTTCTCTCGTTCATGTATGCAAATGTGTTACTAAAGGGTATAAATAATATATTTATGTATACAAACCATGTGCAATTTTAGACAAACATCTGCGAGTGCAATCGTGTGCTATGGGCATCATGCAATTCAATGTACTTTCACACTTTAACTAGCTGTACTTTAAACACCTTTAGCACATGACACTCTAATCAGCACTTTAGAATTCTCTTTCAATCTTTTTGGTCCAATTTATCCCGCACAAGCTCAATCCGAGAAAGGTCTGGAGACTGAGGGGGCCAAACCATCTTTTGAAGAACACCTTCCTCTTCTTTGTTGTCTAGGTAACCCTGACAGAGCTTGGCAGAGTGCTTAGGGTCATTGTCTTGCTGCAAAACAAACTTATGAGCCACAAGTCTGAGTCCAGATGGAGCAGCATGGTGCTGGAGGATGGAGTGGTACTGTTCCTTATTATCTTTTGCTGACATGTATTTAGCAATGGTCTGTTAACATCAATGTAAATGGTGTAAAATGGTGCATTTCCATGAAAGCAACATCTGATCATGGAGTAAATACATCCCAAAATAGATAAAACTCATGCTGGATTTAAAAAAAAAAAAGCATCGTGAACAAAAACTTGAAGTTACTCCCAGCTGTTCGGCCTGTAACGGCCTTGCTTCCAAACTTTTGGCCTGTAGTGTACTTCCATCACATCAATATGATCAACAAATTACTAAAAATAACACCCGAGTACAGTCTGATAAATGATTAAAATGTCCTCTTGTGGTTTATTAGTTTCCAGAAACATCTAATGTATCAAACGAGATAAATAAATTTGTTAAATTTTAAGGACATTTTGATTTTTTTGGTTTTCAAAAAAAAAAAAAAAATTTTTTTCAGGCCAGAATTTGTGGTTTCAAGGATTAAACGGTTAAAAGGTCAGATCATTGCTAATTGTGAGTAATAATGAACCTTAATAAACCATTACTGCTTAGCTAGTGAAAATTAACCGGTGTTCTGACGAGTTTTGCTACTTTGTTGAAATACAGCACCTGTCGCGACTCGGTAGCATTAACTGTCAAAACCCCAGTCAAAAAAATCCCTTTACACTGCAACAGTAACCATAAAACTTTCATTTTCATTGGTTTGGGGATGGTTTAATACTCTGTAACACCACATTCGTTTAATTTAGTAAATCGTCAAACTGTTAAAACCCTTTAAAATAACCCACCCAGCTTTAAATTACTTACTACGCCACAATTAGTAAACACTTTTCTACTGTAAGGAAAAATAAGGCACGTTTCTACACAGTGTTATTCCAGATTTCAGGGAAATTCGTGGATGTGTAAGTTTACGGTTACGGAGACAAGCGCCAGTGGACTGTGGCACTGCGCATGCCCAGATATGAAACGAGCAGATCTGGATAGGTAGCACTATTCGTTAGAACACCGGCTACTCAAGCACCACCGTAAATCCGTCACTGGTCCTGTCACTGTGACCCGAGGATGTGAGGGCAATGAAAACACGGTCCAGCTCGCTGTCTGGCAGCACATTTACAGGAAAAATACAACAATTAGAAATAAGAAACGACAGCTCTTCACAATGTGCGTAAAGGCAAGCGCTGTCAAATATGAAGACAATGTTAGCCTTGTCCCAGCTCGACGTACTGTAGGCTAAGTAAAGCTAGCAGGCTAACGGTGAGATAACCTTTCCAAACATCGAATCCAACTCACCAGAAAGTCAAAAATTAAAAGGTTTTATTCCGAGTTAGTTCTGGGATTGTCGTCCTTTGTAACATTTTCCTTAAAGTCCGAGAGTGAAGCCCCTGGGTTTGTCCGGAATCCGGGTTGACAGTTGCACAGCTTCGTTACGCGACAGGAGACAACCGAGCTACTTCCGGTCCGGGAGTTTCACAATAAAAGCCAACTCTAGAAAGGGAAAGCTGTTATCAGTCCCATCGTCTTATCAAAATAAACAAACAGATTTTCTTAGATTTTAACACACCAAAGATGATTAAGCCAACTTCAATTACATTAGGTATTTTCTGTATTGCATCTTTGTCGCAGGGGTGTGTCTGGAGGTGTTCAGGGGTGGCAAAGGCCCCTAATAGGAGCTGCCCTAAACCCTGGACAAGAATTGAAAATTTGGAAAGGTCTTTTTTCTGTAATTATTTCACTTCTACATCTTCATACCTCCACAGATGCTAGTGCTGCGTTCAAGTTACCTTGGAAGTCAGAAGTCTGAGCTGAGAGTGAAGTCACACCCAGGTTACCAGCGTTTCAGTTATGAAGGCGGTGTCCAAAATGAATCACTCGATCCCTAACCCCCATATGGGGTTTCACGATATAGCTGACTATGTAGGGAGCTCAATCACCGGAGGTTTCGGACACTACATGGCGCACCGTTGTGACGTCACTGCTCAGACCGCCGTGTCTGAAGTTGCGGCCGTTGTTTTCAGCTCTCTTGAATTTTATGATGTTGTATAAATGTATTTGTTTTTCCAGGATGTTCGTGAAATAAAAAATAAAATTAAAAAACCAATAAATTAAGAACATATTTAAAAGGCCTTATATTTTCGTGCCGAATATTGTTTTTCAAAAACTGTACAGATCACTTGCGAGTGAAGATAAAATGGTTGAATAGAGCTTGGGTTCTGTCTCTTCTTGCTCTCTTTGAATCGCCGCTGGAGACGCAATGCATGACGGGATGCCCACCACCGGTGAGTGACCGTCGGATGGTCACTACATTTTGCAATGCTCTATGGGAAATTTTGAGTCGCCTATATGGAGCATTGGTATTGATCAGTTAGATTTTGGACACTCTTCAAAATTAACGAAAGTTATTTAGCGCTTGCCTTGTCCGATTATAAGGCAACCATTAAATAACTTTCGTAGATGTAGCCATCTTGTTTTAGGCCTCCAATTTTGCTTTCTTCGGACTTTGCAACTGAAACACTGGGAACTCGGGTGTGACGTCATTTTCAGCTCCGACATCTGACTTCCGAGGTAACTCGATCGCAGTAGGAGTTTTGATCTGTTCGTCGAAAACAAGCCTGGTGGTTCCTCTCCTCTTTAAAATAGGAGTATGAATTTGTTGAACCACAGGATAGTGGCGAACCTCCAAATCTGGAATGACAAATTGAGTGTGTATTTCTCATTCATAAAATCAATGTTTTTCCAGTTTTCACATTAATAAGAAGGGGAAATATCAAGCAATGAGACAAACTGACACTCTGGTTGAGTACAGGTGTGTATTTATTACTCTCGTCCTCTTTCATTCGTGGATATTTCTCAGAGGGAGACTTTTATAGGGATTATCATAATCATCAGTTTATCCAAAACCAACATTACAGACTTTAAGGCATGAAAGTTCATCTCGTTACTACGATTTGAGACTTGTGAAATGGTGTTTATATCAGTTAAATAACAGATTAACATCGACAGGTCCTTCGTTAATCTGGATCGAGGTCTGACAAAACGTCTGAGTCTCAGAGCTTCAGTTTTCACACAACTACACATCATTTCGACGAGTTTGAGCGTTTTTTCCATGGGGTTAAACTCCACCAAGGCGACGCTTAAATGTCAGAACAATACAAACAAACTACAGCTCCTCAGTTTAAAAAGATATTTCATGTTTTCTTTTGACCCTCACAGAAATGCCGATCATATTCTCGTGTCCATCAGTCCAGAAAAAGCGGTTTTATCTGTGATCTGTGGTGCCCGACTTCCTCTTCCCGGCCAGGAGGTGTTTGGGTTTGAGGTCAAACACGTGTCGGTCTGCCTCGCCCTTCTTGCCTTGGCGGTTCATGCCTTTCTGGGAGTTCTTCATCATCTTCTTTGTCTTCTTCACCATCTGAGAAACAAACAGAGAGGGTTAGGACATTAGTTTTCCTGAAGTTTTCTCACACCAACATGAAGTTAAGCGTCACTTACTTTTGCGTCCCGTAAACCGGACTGGTCTCGTGGCGGCCTGGAGGCGCTCTGGCTGCGGGTTTTGGAGGTGGGAGGAGCCGAAGCTTCACGTTTGCGCTTCCTAGTAACGCTCCTGGACCGCCGGGCTTGTTGGGCGTAGTGGCTCTGTGAAGAAAAGAGGAGAATAGTTATAAATGAGTGCAGGAGTGGAAAAAACTGCAGTTCCAAGAGCGTCCACTAGAGGGTGGCTGCAAAAGTAAAGGAGTCCACATACACACCCATGTTTACAGGCTAATTTTACAGCAGAATTAACATGTTTACAGCCAGGTTTTGGTTGTTTTGTTCTCTTTTTGTATTTATTGTTAAAGAGGTGAATTTTTATTACCATCTATAATCTATAACACTGTTTTTAGGGAGAGAAATCAACCAAAAGGAACTACATATCAAATTTATAACATCAAGTCCATCTCTAGTGCTGTAAACTCGGATCTAGATGAAAAAGAACTGACCTCGTCTTTGTCGGTCATGTCCAAACCGAGGTTCCCCATCTCCTTCTCCAGTTTCTTCCTTTCAACCTGAGGTATTAAAGGTTAAAGGTTAGATTTTAGACACTATAAACAAGTTATTCGGTCAAACTTATCAATAACAGCGGCCCGGCGTCTCTCACCTTGGCGGCGGTTCTGGGCATGCGAGGCCCGTGTATGTCCTTCTCCTTGGACTCTATGACCAGGAGCTGCTTCTTCTCCCTGATCTGTTTGGCCAGAACTCGGATCTCCTGCATCTCTTCGTCCTCGCTCTCGTCATCGGAGTCGTACTCGCCGGCCCGCTCCTTCAGCTCCTCCTCTTTCTCCAGATCCTCCAGTTTCTGTGAGGGACGCAAACAAAAACCTCCAGAGACTTAGAAAAAAGAAGAAGAAGAAGAAGAAGAAGAAGAATCAAACCAGACACTGACCTTCATGATGTCAGGATCGATGTAGTCTGCGATGTTGTGGCCCTCCCACACCTCCGGGATCCTGTCCTGCTTCTCGTCCTCGTTCATCAGGTCCCAGTATTCTTCACAAAACAGATAAAACTCCGTCAGAGCCGCACAAACATTTTCATCACTCTCAACTAATTCATCTGCAGGATAAAAACACGTCTTACTCTGCAGGTCCAGAACATAATCGTCTCCGAGCTCCATCTCCAGATCTCTCTCCTGCGAGAAAAACAACAAATCATCATTTTCTCCTCCTGATCTTAAGAACGAAACCACGTCCAGCTGAAGGGAAATCATGTCGAACACCTTAAATCTATAACTTCAGCAAAAACTCACCAGTTTACGTTTGGGTGCGTCCACCTCCATCGCCTTCTTGCGCATCAACGCTCCCTCTGGGATGAACGGCGGTCTCTCCTGGAAGGAAACCATCAACGTTAGTTTCAATAAAGTGCTGAATAATAAACACAGCTGGGCCCTGACTTTAGCCCGAGTCAGTGAAAGTACCGACCTTCTCGTCTCTCTTGGCGGGCATGGCGAGGTGGAGTCGGTTCAGAACGTCGTGGACCTTCTTTCCCTTCATCTTCGTCTCCACACGGTTGGCGAGGAGTCGGTCGCAGGCCTGAGAAACACGAGACGGTGAGCGACAACGTTAGACTGCGTAAGACTGATCACACACGCTTCACAGCTTCAAAAGACTGACTTGTTCAACTTTGATCAACTGTAAGCAGTAAAAACGCTTCAAACCTGAAAAATACTTGAAGAGTGAAATCTGTCATTTCAATTCGTGAGTGATATCAGCAAAATTAATCAAGCTAAAGATCGGAGAGTGAAGTGACGTCCCTTTCAGTAGTAGCAGATTTGATTTATGTCCTGCAGCACACTGACTCATTCAAACAACAGAGTCTCAGAGTCACCTCACCTCAGTTTTCACTTGCATGACGCCCTCCTCGGTCAGGGTGCTGGTCTCGATCACTGAGATCCCGTCAGCGGAGAGGTCTGCAAAGATTTTCTGACAAACACAGAGCAAAAGAAGTCAAAGTGAACACCAGTGCTCACTCTAACGCAGCTAAAACACGCCGTTTCATCCTGCAGGTTCAGACTTTAAAAGACCGGACTCAAGGTCGTCTAGATTTATTGAAACAGGTCCGGTTTGGACTGTAAATCACTTACTTGGTTCTCCTCAGACAGCTCGTTGATTTTCTTCACGTCACATTTGTTGGCAACGATAATCAGAGGCTGCAGGAAAGAGAGAGAGACAACACATCTTTACTCAAACTGTCTCTCCTTTGACTTTGATTTTCCAGGATTCAAATTTAAAAGAAAAGAAGAAAAATCCACGAGCGACTACAGCCTGAATCTGACCAAATCAGAAATCATTTAAGTCCAGGCTTTTATTACACCGAGAGGAGAGCGATCAAACACGGTCTGAGGTCTGACCTTGTTGGCGAACAGCGGCCGGATGTTGTTGAAGAGCTCCAGCTGCTCCTGCAGGGTGTGACCGCACTGCTCGGACACGTCCATGACGTAGAGGACGGCTGATCGCAGGTGAGCCAGAGCCGTGATGGCCTGCATCTCGATGGTGTTCCTCTCCTCCAGAGGGTGGTCCAGGATCCCCGGGGTGTCCACCACCTACAGACATGAATATATTTAATCCATTTTAATCCACAGCATCATGTACACGAGGGTGTTAGCGCTCAGACATGAGTGACAGCTGTGGTCATGTGACTCTGGTGTCGCTATTTTGGAGGTTGTGGGCTGAAAATTTGTGGCACTCTGCCTCCAAAGACAGCTGATAACTGAGACACGGTTCAGATTGGTGAGATCAAGACATGAACTGTGTCACTGTTATAACAGCAGAGGGCGCTCTTTGGCTTTGACTTGTTACATGATGTTGGAAGACAACTCTCGTCTGGTTTTGCACTTTTCCTCTGGTTCAGTCCATAATCTGTGACATCTCACCTGCCAGCGCAGGTATCTGTAGTCCATGTGACCCACAAACAGAGACTTGGTGGTGAAAGCGTAGGGCTGGACGTCCACGTCTGCTCTGGTCACCTGATCGGGACAAACGTGAGTCAGAGAGCAAGCAGAAACAGTTTAGTGTGGAGTTTAGATGCGGCCATCACTCAGGGTTTGATGAGCTTCATGGAGAGGGTCTCTTTACCTTGTTGATGAAACTGGACTTGCCCACATTGGGGTAACCGCACAGGAGCAGGGTCCTGGTGTTTGGGTCTATGGTTGGCAAACGGGACAGATGCTGACGCACTGGTGGAGAAAAAAAAAAAACACAAATGTAAAAAAAATGTTTTAAAACATGAAACCTGAATGATTTTCACTTTTCTCAAGTCACCAGGAGAACTCATCTGTCGGTACGTTTACACGACACTCAAGAAAACCGAAATATCGCCTTACTACGATTAAGACCGGACACTGAAGTGCATGTAAACACCTTAGTCCGACTATAATCAGAGATTGAGAACTCTGATTAAGACACCCAGATAACGCGATTGGAATCTGATTTTCTCTACCATGTAACCAGCGGAGTCGGAGTATGATCGGACAATGCATGAGCGCCACGCCCCCGTAACTTCAGAACAAAAACACCAGAGAAGAAGTTTTGATATCATTTAAAGAACTTTCGACTCAGAAGCAACTGCAACATGGCTGAAACGCAAAAGAATGTCCACTTCTAGAACGACGAGGAGAGTGGCGTTATCCTTTACATCCTGACAGAAATTGACATTTAAAAGTATATAGACGGTCACAAAACAAGGAAACAGCACCGCTGAAAAGACCCATATCGCCCCCTAGTTTTGGGGAGGAGGACACGTTCACGTCAATAATTTGATTTTCGGAGAGAGGTCCAATTGGGCAAAAACAAAACAAAACAAAAAAAAAACGAAGTATGAGCTTAGTCCGATTACGCTGTGCATGTAAACACACTGTGTGTTACCTTGTTCCAGATACTCCAGACTGGACTTCTGACGTTTGAGGATGGTGCACATCCGACCCAGAGCGGCTCTCTTCAGCTGTTTACACCGATACAGAGAGTCTCCGTACTTCATCAGCCTCACGTAGTCTTTGGCGACACTGACAGGGCAAATAAAGAAACGTTCAGAGTCGACACTTCGGTTCTTAAAACTAGAACAAGTCTGTTTCTATCACTTTAATAAATCGTTTAATGCTTTTTTATTTCAGTCCTTTTCTTACAGTTGATAATTCCTTTTACTTATCACATTTTTATTTACGTTTATAAAACAGCAAAACCATCCCGCAAGAATAAAGACAGAAATTTAGGAGGATAAAGTCAGAAAATTGTGACAATACAGTCAGAAATGTATGAGTTAGTTTGAAGCATTAATAAATAAAATATTAAAGAGAAACTCACTTATCGATCAAGTTCTTGGCAATGTTTATCTGCCCCAAAGCCAACTTGTAGTGATCTTTGTCGTATAACACGTTCATCAGATCAGCGTAGAACGGGTGGATGTCCTAAAGGAAAACAAAATTTAACATCAATATGAGGAAGGGTCACTTCACTCTGAATCCAAGACAAACTTCTGAGTTCTCAGACTTACGTCCAGTTTGGGGAAGTCGGTGAGGATCTGAGTGAGGCGGTCGTGGTAGTTCTGCTGAGTGAACTTCACCTTCCTCATGTAAAAATGGCGGATTCGGTGGATCTGGTAGTGTTTGTGTACAACTGTGGGCGTCTTCCTTTGTGTTTTGGATAAAGTGATGTCGATGAAATCCTGCAGAAAGGGGGCAAACGATGGTTACAGTCAGGGGGCAGTGAGGGGGATTTCACCCCAGATTTAAAAAGTCTAGATACTACCACAAGTTACTTTGCACGAACAGGGACCAAGAAAAGTTACTGAGTATGGTATTTAACTCTCAAAAACAGACCAGGTGCTTGAACTAAAATAACTTTTGGTATTTTTTTTTGTTACTTTTTTAACCCAAACTGTGACTATACTTTCTAAATTTTTTATTACATTTTGGCCTCTGATTTTGCCACTTATGTTGGGGGTATATAAAAATCCCAATGCTATGCGACAAAACAAGCTAAATGTCATGTATGCTTTCGTTCCAGCAATTCCTACCAGACTCCATTCACAAATCTACTAATTAAAAATAAACGGAGTCTTGCACTTCGTGGAAATCGTTAATAGCAACTTATACCGTTATGTTCATAAACGATCGGTGTCTTGGAGTAATTCGGCATACCGGTGACACAAGTACAAGTTAATGTTTCTCACTTCAGAGCAATTCCTGCCAGACTCCATTCACAAATCTACAAATTTAAAATAAAAGGAATCTTGCCATTCGTGCAAATCATTAATAGCAACTTATACCGTTATGTTGACAAACGATCGGTGTCTTGGAGTAATTCGGCATACCACTGACATAAGTACAAGGTAATGTTTCTCACTTAGGGGCAATTCCTGCCAGACTCCATTCACAAATCTACTAATTTAAAACAAAAGGAGTCTTGTCAGAAACAGCAAATCGTTAATAGCAACTTATACCATTATGTTCATAAACAATCGGTACCTTGGAGTAATTCGGCATAGAATTGACACAAATAGAAGTTAATTTTTCTCACTTAAGAGCTTATTTTATTGACTTTGCTAAATAACTCAATAACTAGCGCTGACACTGTATTTAAATGGACTGACGCTGCCGGAGAAACAGGTGACAAGCATTAGTGAAGCTTGTTATCAGAGGAGATCCTTGATATTAGGCTTGCATACCAAATCGGACAGTTACCTGCCTCATTTATAAAATACATGAATCCTTAATTGTGATTTTTTCCTATGCAGTTTGGTTTGGAGGAGATCTAGGCTGATTTTAACTATGACAGACAGCATAGCAGGGTGTTCAAACTGATCAGTTATCGATATGGTGTTTTTCTATTACTATTACCTATGTAATATTACGTTATAATACAGCACACTAAATAAAAATTACATAACACTCTGAGGTCTCTGGACACCAGCTCAGCACGTGTTTTCCTTCACGAGTATCTCCGTGTTTTTAACCCTCCTTCAGTCTCCCTGAGCTGAACATCGACACACAACCAAACAACAAACCTTTAACAAGATAAATACACAGAAATGCCCTTACCTTGGCGGTGGGAACCACCATAATCTTCTTGAAATTGTAAAGTGCCATTTTGTCGCCACACGTTGGGATCGACTGACGGCACGGGGAAAGGAAAGCTCCACGTTCCGCAAGAACCGGAAAAGCCGATTTCTGTAAGTTTTTTACACAGCGCCCCTTACGGTCAACTACAGGTGTAACAGACAAAGACATCTAAAAGTGAGGCTAGATTACTCAAGGCGGCGTCACCCGCGTCCCTACACGGCGGCCATCTTACTTCGGTACACCATTCTGGTACACTCGATGGTAGCTAACGGGAGGTGAGTAATCTAAAGGATCAAAAATCCTCTTAACTCGCTGAAATCTTGACAGATTTACTAACGATTTTGTTTATTACAGACCTTAATAACGTGGCTGTGATTCGGGATGCTTTGACATGTCGAAATGGCAGATTTTCTTTGAGAAAAAAAAGACTAAATCGTGAAGCACAGTTGTTTCACAGCTAATGGCGCGCAAGGGCTAACTGTGAGTCGATTTGCGCGAGTTGTCAAGGCTAAAAAGACCACAATCGAGATTTTAATTTCTTGTATGACAGCCTACTTTTTTATGTATTCATTTTGTCTAAGTGATGCTCTTTATGGATGTGCTTGTTTATCAGCTGTCTAACGTGGCTATCAGGTCAGTGAGACCAAGTACATATTACAAAGTTGACCCAGTAATTTAACATCAGTTAAAGAGGCAGAAATGCACTTTTGATTCAACATAACTGAAGTTGCACATGATTTCTAAGCTGTTTGGTTTGTTAAAAACATCTAAAATGGCAACATGAGGCAGAATATATTAAAAATAAATATTTATGTTTTTTTTTTGCTATGTGTTATTACAGTTATTCCCACAATAGAAATATTACTAATATAACATACATGAAATCATTAGTTATTTAATATATTAATAATTTAATATAACTGCCTTGTGTGTGTAGGCCTAAAGCTATTGCTCTACCTGTCTGTCCCATGTTTATATATGAAAATCCATGGTTAAAATTATTCTTGAGTATTCAGGAACGTAACTAAAACTCTGAGGTTTGTTACAAACCAAACTGTTTGAAAATCGGTTTCAAATTAATCAATCTATGGTCGATTATGATACAGAATATGATATTGGAGCGTGATCTTTGTAAAGTAAGGTGAAGGAGGAGTTTGTGTTGTGACAACACAATCGCACTGTGTGCAAAAATAAAAACCTATTCAACAAAATATTCACATCTACAGTGGATATAAAAAGTCTACACACCCCTGTTCAACTGCCAGGTTTTTTGTCATGTAAAAAAGTTACATTGAGATAAATAATTTCACAACTTCTTCCACCTTTAATGTGACCTATAACCTGCACAACACAATTGAAAAACAAACAGAAATCTTTCAGGGAGGTGAAGCAAAAATAAACAACTGAGATCATGTGATTGCATATAAGTGTGCACACCCTTTAATAACTGGGGATGTGGCTGTGTTCAGATTTAACCAATAACGTTCAAACTCAGGTTAAATTGGAGTCATCACACACCTGTCACCAATTAAAGTGCCTCTGATCAACCCCAAATAAAGTTCAGCTGTTCTAGTAGCTTTTCCTCACATTTTTGTCGCCACATTTTCCAGCACAAGCCATGGTCCGCAGAGAGCTTCCAAAGCATCAGAGGGATCTCATTATTCAAAGATATCAGTCAGGTGAGGGCTACAAAAGAACTTCCAAGGAATTAAATATACCATTGAACAGAGTGAAGACCATCATCATCAAGGGGAGAAAATATCGCACAACAGGGACATTACCAAGAACAGGACGTCCGTCCAAAATTGAAGAAAACTGGTCAGGGAGGCTACCAAGAGGCCGACAGCAACACTGAAGGAGCTGCAGGAGTTTCTGGTGAGTACTGGCTGTGTAGTACATGAGACGACAATCTCCTGCTGTCTTTATATGTCTGGGCTGTGGGGTAGGGTGGCAAGATGGAAGCCTTATCTTACAAAGAAAAACATCAAAGCCCGGCTTAATTTTGCAAAAAGACATCTGAAATCTCCCAAACACATGTGGGAAAATGTGTTTTGGTCTGATGAAACCAAAGTTGAACTTTTTGGGCATCATTGCAAAAGGTATATTTGGCGCAAAATCAACAATACTCATCACCAAAAGAACACCATACCCACAGTGAAGCATGGTCGTGGCAGCATCATGCTTTGGGGCTGTTTTCTTCAGCTGGACCTGGTGCCTTAGTCAGGGTGGATGGAATTATGAACAGTTCCAAATACCAGTCAGTGTTGGCACAAAACCTTCGGCCTTCTGTTAGAAAGATGAAGATTAAGAGGGACTTCATCTTTCAGCACGACAATGACCCAAAGCACACATTTAAATCGACAAAAGAACGGCTTCACCGGAATAAGATTGAGGCTTTGGAATGGCCGAGCCAGAGCCCAGACCTGAATCCCATCGAACATCTATTTTTTATTTTTCCCCTTAAAGGTTTCTGTTTGTTTTTCAATTGCATTGTACAGGTTATAGGTCACATTAAAGGTGGAAAAAGTTGTGAAAATATTTATCTTGCTGTCATTTTCTTACATCACGAAAACCTGGCAGTTGAACAGGGGTGTGTAGACTTTTTATATCCACTGTAGTTGGGGTTTGAGAAGAGGAGCACTCATCTGGTAGTTTGTTGGTTTGACCAGCAGGTGAAGCTGCTTCCACAATAAACTGAGACTCAACCAAACAAGTTCCTATTTTAGTGAACTTTTTTTAATTCGGACTCAGGAGAGGAAAATGATTGTCAAGAATACTGAATTTAAAAGAACTTACTGAACTCATAAACTGTCAGTAAATGACAGGAGGAGAAGAATCTGTGATCTGGTGGTGTAGGAGCCAGATTGGGGTTTTGCAGTTTATTGTTATGTATTTTTTGTGCCAACAGATGGTGCTATTGTGCCTGTCCATTTAATAGGTGGGTTGATTAAGGACAGGTGCGCACACCTGGGAAGCCGAACAGTTTTTTGACCGTGTCAAGTGGTCTTGTGTCTTGTCTTACATAAAATAATGAATGCGTAAAATAAATAAAAAACAACAGAAGATATGGACGGTGTGACATGTGACATTATTCCACCTACGGGCACGTGTCAACTCAAGCAACAAGGTGTTCGCCACTAGCCTGGCTGGACCATCCTGTTGCGTGAGTCACTTGACGTTCCTTCCCGAACATCAAGTGACTGACGCAACAGGATGGTCCAGCCAGGCTAGTTCGCTACAAGTAACTGCACTGGAAAGCTGTTATAGGTGGTTTACGTTTCGGTGAAAAACAGTCTCTGTGAAAGTGAAAGTATGTGAGCTCAAAAACAGATTCCATCTTGAGAAAAGAACAGAACAGAGAGAGGAGAGGACGAGGAGACAGGGTGCGTAATTACTTGTTTATTTTTATGTCAAACTCTTTATCTGTTTTATCTGTGAATGAAAAATGATTTACTGACTAATACACTTAAAAACTGCAAAACAAAGAAACCTGAGCAGACGAGGAGCTGGATCAGTTCTTGATACAGAAAACTGTCTATGTGCAGTTCTTCCTCCTCTTTGTTTAGACTAGTCTTTTTAGTAAAAACTAAAATGAGAGTCTTTTTAGTGTCTCATTTCAAATTTAATCCAGTGCCCTTAAATTTTTTATGAGAGTTCAGGGACCTCACAGCTGATTTTGTTTTGACAATGAATCAGATAAGGAGCAGAGAGAGGCCCTGCAGGGTGGGGAGACATCAGAAGTACTTGGATATTAAACCTGTATAACTCTTAAAGAGGGGTGTTAAGCTTTTTTCTGACTCTGTACTTCCTTTCTGATTCCTCTTTTATTTTGAAACTCTCTCTTCCTGTTTGTATCTCACCTGTTTGTCTACTTTGTCCTCAGGTTGTATAACTTGGTTTCATCTTCCATAAATTTACACATCATAAGATTGAGAAGAGGAATGTTTGTGTCGAGAAAAGGAAGAGAAGGGCAAATTCCGTCCAAACAAAGTCCGTCATGTCCGACTGTCTGTCTATGAAGAGTGACCGGTCTAAAGATGCTCCTCCAAACCTCAGTGAAGGACCAGGACCCTCCGAGGAGGGCAGAACAAAGTCTGTCATGTCCGACTGTCTGTCGATGAAGAGTGACCGGTCTAAAGATGCTCCTATACACTTCAGTAAAGGACCAGGACCCGCAGATTCACAGTAAGAGAAACACTTTTTAACCACCAACAATTGATGTTTCAAAAACAAATCTTTAAATCCTGACCCCTCTGTTTTCTCCTCTGCTCTCATAACGCAGATTTTCCTCTTTAATCTGCCAACCTGGATAAAGGGCTGGTAAAGAAAAAGTCACTGAGCACAGATTCACTTATTATTCCTCATGTTGACAAAAAATGAAGGTCGTATAAAACAGCATTTGAAAAGGATTCTGACCTCTGTATTTTCTGATTTGGTTCCTGTGTTTGGGACGTTTTGAGCCTGTAAGTCTTTGGACTGTGGTGTATAGACCCCAGAGAACAGTCACAAAATACCAATACAAAATAGTGGGTCACAAAATACCAGAAGAGGAATGAAGAAATAAATCCTGAGAAATAAAAACTCATTCAAGGCATCTGTCTGTTATTAGTAGGGCCCGACCAATATGGATTTTTTTGGGGGCCGATGCCGATACCGAGCAGTAGCCTACAGTACATATATATATATACTGTAGGCTACTGCTCTTCACGCCAACAGGAAGACCAACTGATCATCTCAGTAATATTCCACTTCTATCTATCTATCTATCTATCTATCTATCTATCTATCTATCTTTCTAACAACCACAGAAATGGAGTGCCGTATTCATGTTTTTGAAAAAGATGCTCCTGTATATTTATTTCAGCTGTGTTTGTGCAAAGACTGGTATTGTGACAGAAGAGGCAGTGCTGAGGTTTAACATTACTACTCTGCCTCCGATTGGCCCTGACCTGGCGTCAATTGGTTCTAAGTGACCAATCAGAGTGGAGGGGAGGTGCAGAGCGGCCCGCCCCCGGAGTGCCAAAATTCAACCGAGTCGAGCGCGCAGAGGGCCCTGAGACAGACAGCGCGCGTGTGTACAGACACCGTGATTACGCAGACAGTGAAGGCGAGCACGTGGGTAGGTGTTTTTATGCGCGCTGATATTTTTTTTATGCGTGCGAATTTTTGGCACTGAATTGACGCCAAATGGACCACTCTCCTCCGTGCGTCCCTAAGCTGCATGCTTCAGATCCGTCACTCTGCTGTGCTGTGAGGTAGTAAGTGGATGAAGATTGTCATGAGGTCGCTGCGCCATCTACAGGATAAGTCGGGGAACTTTTCAAATGGCGGAACATTTTTGAGGTGAAACCGAATCTTATTCTCCGCATTTTATTTCTGAAAATATCGGTGAAAATCTGCAACTTTTGGCCGATTACAGATTAGTCTCAGATCTGATTGGTCAAAAAAATGTTTTAAACTGTCAGAGAAAATCTCTCTACCTTCACAAAACACAGTTTAGTTTTTTCTACTGTCTCCACACTTTCAGGCAGCAGCAGCTGAATATTTTACAGGAGATAGTTTTGTGTTAGAGGACAGAGTGAGGTCAGAAACTCTGGTGAAACAAATGGTTCTTATTCAGTATCTTTCAAACATGAAACGATAATAAAGAAAAATGTTCTTTCTTTCCACAGAGAGGCACAGAGATTTGACTCTGTGGAGGAGCAGCTGTCCAGCGGTTCTTCATGTCAGGACGTCCTGATGGATCCAGTCTCTAGTATGAGTGAGTATTTTTACCCGTTTTTCTAAAACACTTTGAACTTTCAATATCTGGCCGTCATTTACAATTGACCGCCTGTTAAAAGAGTGCTTTAACATTTTAAGATAAAGAAAAACACAAAAATTGAATAAGATTTTTTGAGTTTTAATGAGAAAAAAAAGAAAATATTCATAAACAACAGATTTTTTTCATTTGAAATCAGAAATTTGAAGAGTATCAAACAAATTTACAATAAAAACTTTGGAGTGCTGTCTCTCCAAGTGCAAAAACAGGCTAAATAAATACAACTATGTCCAGGCGTTTCTTCTTCTTTTCTCCTCTCTGGCTGCAAACACACTCCTCTCTCACTCAGAGGTCTTTGTGGAACTGTCAGAAGCTGTTCCTTTCTGTCTGCAGACACAGACCCACACCACACCCCTCACACACTTCCAGGCAGTGCTCCTTATGACAAAGTTTGCAGCGTCATCTCCCCCGTGCTGCTTCTTCTCCAGCTGTCCATGGCTTGTTGGGACACGTAGGTGTTTGTCACCTGTAGCCTTCTTTGGGACTTGCTGGAGACAAACTGTTAGAAGATGTGCAGCAAGCTCCTCCTAAAAACATCAGGGACAGATTTTGGGTTGAACCTCAGTAGCTGGGGGGCTCCATCATCAGGTTCTACTTCAGAATTTCATCGAGGGTGATGTAGTGAGCAGCTTCGCTGTCTCACAGCATCACCAGAACCTCCAGCATCCTCATGGCCTTTCCTCCCTCTACAGTCCTGAGTGTGGCTTCTTCCTTTCTCTCTCTCTCCCAGGTGTGCCTCTTGAGGATGACTGCTCCTCATCGCAAGACAAGCACAAACAAAGAATGGCACACTCTGCAAACATCCTCAACTTTGAACACAATACTAAAAAAGTTGCCAAATAATACATTCGCCATATTTAGGAGTCACAGGTCAGCAAATAACATAAATAAACTAATAACGACACAGAGAGCGCTTCATCCATCCAGAGACCCACACAGAAAATCAATCAGTCAAACTTTACCTTTCTTCGTCTGAAGTTGCTCTGAAAGCTGCTCCATCAGTCCCAAAGCCGTCTGTAAATCTCAGTGGACGTTTTCTTACCCGGGAGGGTTGTATTTCAGTCATTTTCCTTTGAAATAATCGCTTTTTTGTCACTTTTCTCTTTCTTTTTGCTCCATTTCTCCGCTCTGTTGTGTGTCTATCTGCTTGAGAGGGGGAGAGGGGACGGAGAGACAGATTTTCTCACTTCCCTAAACAGCAGGAGTGAAATTACCACAATAACCATATATTGGCTGTGTGGCACAACTTCTCAGCTTTCAGAAAACGTTGGAGTTTTTCTGACAGCAAAAACTATCGCAAAGTTACGGTAATTTAAAGAGCGCCTGTGCAAAGGTGTCAGTGCCGACACATCTGGAGGAAAAGTCTGTGTGGATGAAAACTCAGCTGCCTGATTTTCACAAAGATGTTTTCGTGTTGAGCAGTTTGGTTCATTTTATTTTTCTTCTCTTTCAGAAGATGGTGGTCTGCAGGAGGTTTTAGATGAACATAAGATCAGTCTGAAGAGGAGATGTGAACGTGTGAATGAAGGAAGTGATGAAACAGGAAGTAGTCAAACCCTCCTCAACAGGATCTTCACTGAGCTCTACATCACAGAGGGACTGAGTGAAGAGGTGAACACCCAACATGAGGTGAGACAGCTGGAGACAGCCTCAAAGATGAAGACCTTCCATGACACGCCCGTCAAGTGTCATGAGATCTTTAAAACCCTACCTAACCAACAGAAGAGGCTCATCAGAGTGGTTCTGACCAACGGCGTGGCTGGTGTTGGAAAAACCTTCTCAGTGCAGAAGTTCACTCTGGACTGGGCAGAGGGTTTGGAGAACCAAGACCTCAATCTGGTGATCCTGCTTTCATTCAGGGAGCTGAACCTGATCAGAGATGAGCGCTTCAGTCTTCTGAGTCTGCTCCATGTTTTCCATCCAACACTAGAGAAGGTCACAGCAGAGACGCTGGCTGTCTGTAAACTTCTGTTCATCTTTGACGGTCTGGATGAAAGCAGACTGTCTCTGGATTTCACAGACTCTGAGGTGGTGTCTGACGTCACACAGAAGTCTTCACTGGACGTTCTGTTAACAAACCTCATCAAGGGGAACCTGCTCCTCTCAGCTCTCATCTGGATAACTTCTCGACCTGCAGCAGCCAATCAGATCCCTCCCTCATGTGTGGACAGGGTAACAGAAGTACGAGGCTTCACTGACGCCCAGAAGGACGAGTACTTCAGGAAGAGGTTCAGAGATGAAGATCTGTTCAGAGGAATCATCTCACACATCAAGTCCTCCAAGAGCCTCCACATCATGTGTCAGATCCCGGTCTTCTGCTGGATCACTGCTACAGTCCTGAAGGACATGATGAGCAGAGAGGAGAGTGGAGAGCTGCCTAAGACCCTGACGGACATGTACTCACACTTCCTGCTGGTCCAGACTAAGAGGAAGAAGCAGAAGTATGAAGAAGGACATGAGACAAGTCCTCAGGAGCTGACGAAGGCAGACAGGAAAGTCCTCCTGAAGCTGGGGAGGCTGGCCTTTGAACATCTGGAGCAAGGAAACATCATGTTCTACCAAGAAGACCTGGAGCGGTGTGGTCTGGATGTCTCAGAGGCCTCGGTGTACTCAGGAGTTTGTACAGAGATCTTCAGAAGAGAGAGTGTGATCTTCCAGAAAACTGTTTACTGTTTCGTTCATCTGAGCATTCAGGAGTTTCTGTCTGCAGTCTACATGATCTACAGTTTCACAAACAGGAACAAAAAAGCTCTGAAGACTTTCCTAAAAGGACACCAGTACACTGACCCAGAACCAAAGTCTATTCGTGAACAATTCACGAGTTTTTTTGAGGTCTCTTTGAGAAGTGGTCCATCTCTGGATGTCTTTCTGAAGAGTGTCATGGAGAAATCCCTTCTCAGTAAAAACGGTCACCTGGACCTGTTTGTTCGCTTCCTTCATGGACTCTCTCTGGAGTCAAACCAGAGACTCTTAGGAGGTCTGCTGGGTCACACAGACAACAGTCCAGAAATGATCCAAACAGTCATCAAGAACCTGAAGGAGATGAACAGTGATAAGATCTCTCCTGACAGAAGCATCAACGTCTTCCACTGTCTGATGGAGATGAACGATCTGTCAGTTCATCAGGAGATCCAAGAGTTTGTGAAGTCAAAGAACAGATCAGAGGAACTCTCAGAGATCCACTGCTCTGCTCTGGCCTACATGCTGCAGATGTCAGAGGAGGTTCTGGATGAGTTGGACTCAGATGATTATAACACATCATACCAGGGAAAACTGAGACTGATCCCAGCTGTGAGGAACTGCAGAAAGGCTAAGTACGTCCAGGTTTTATTCTCAGAATAGTGTAAATGATCCTTGCAGTTCTTCTAATGTCCATGTTTCTGATGATGTTCTTCTTTTAAATAGAAATCAACTCAAATATCAGGGAGGGGGTTTCTTTAGCAAAAACATGATCCTTGTGTCAAAAGTCCTGTTAGCCCAGGATGAGGTCTACCTGTGGATCCCTGAGAACTTGTCCTAATTGTGGAGGACCTCTTTGTTTTTAATCGTGTCTGTAATGAATAAAGTAGAACTTTAAGGACAAATCAGCGACCATATCTGAGGACACACAGAGGTCTTCTGATGATGGTATCAGTCCAGTCCAGATCAACATCTCAGTCAGTTGTGGTGAACTTGAGTTTGAAGAAGGTGTCTGCAGCTTCTTCCTGCTGGTTTTCAGGTTGGAAATGATGAATCTGTTGTAAATGAGGGTGTTCACAGCATTGATGGTGAAAATAGAACTGGATCATTTTCTACACAGTGGCAGAACTGTCTCTGTACCATCATGTTCATCATTCAATATTCATAATCAATACAACCATGAAAACTAACATAATTTTCCATCAATCACTGGAGATTATCTGGTGGACTCGAACATATGCATGATGAGAACTCATTTGTCTTGAACACCTGAACATTTTTTTTCTTCTAAACTTTGACTTCCTGTCTTCTCTCATGGCTGTGGTCCTGATATTAGTCGCTGTCTGGTTAAAAACAGGCCGTCTGTCAAACCAAAGATCATGTTTGTTTTTGGTGAAGAGAAACATCAAATTACCCTTTAATGAAATATTGTTGGATATTTATGTTGTCAGATTTAATAACTGTGGACTCTCAGAGACTCACTGTGTAGTTGTGGCCTCAGCTCTGAAGTCCAACCCCTCCCATTTGGGACATCTGGACCTGAGTTACAACAAACTGCAGGATTCAGGAGTGAAGCTTCTCTCTGCAGGACTGGAGAGTCCAAACTGCAGACTGGAGACTCTAAGGTGAGACATCATTTCCTTCTGATCTAACAATAAGATGTGACAGCTGCTGCCTTGACATCATTTCCTTCTGATCTAACAATAAGATGTGACAGTTACTGCCTCAGATTTATCTCTGTGGTTTTTCCATCAACTTTGGTCGAGCAGTTTGGAAAATCCGACATTTCAGAGTTGACTTTGAGTAGAACGATGGATGTAGAAAGGAAGCAGGAGAAAATCAGTCCCACAAATATTACACATGCTTGTAGAGGGCAGGAGCAGCACAGACTAAAGGCTGATATTGAACTGATCCACAGTTAATGTGATCACTAATGAATGAATGAAGTGTCAGAGAAATGATGAGCTGCAGATTGAAACCTGAAGAACAAAGTTAATCCAACTCTGGATGTTTCATTTGGAAACTCTTGAAAACTTGAATTTCTTCTTTGCTCAGTCGTGTTCAAATGTAAAAACCAGATCCAGATTTTTCTGCAGTTTTCACTTCAGTTTGTTGAACATTAACATCATCTAGTCCAGTTGGTCCATAAAAACCTCTCTGATCAATGATCTGTTGGTTTATTTACGAGTAGTTTGGCAGTTGTTGACAGCAGATGGACAGAGCCCTGAATAAACTCCTGACTATTTTCATCTTCATGAAGAATTCAGGACTACAAAAAAACCTTTGCGATTTCTCACGAGTTTCTCAGGATCTCACTTAAGTTTTCAGTATCTTTAAAATGTCCTCAACCCAAAAAGTTTAGAGAGGATTTTACAAAGTTCCTCAAGATCAACTCTGAAAAAGTTCTTCTTCATGTCCTTCAGGGGCTCAAGAACATTGAATCATTAAAAGCAGAAACAGTTTCTTCAGAGGTTACATGATTTTTTCTTTTTTCAGAATGCATGACTCCAGTTTGTCAGAGATTGGCTGCTCTTATCTGGCCTCAGCTCTGAAGTCCAACCCCTCCCATCTGAGACATCTGGACCTGAGTAGAAACAAGCCTCAGGATTCAGGAGTGAAGCTGCTGTGTGAATTTCTGCGGAATCCAAACTGTAAACTGGAGACTCTGAAGTAAGTTTAGTCTTTGTCTGTTTCTGGTGTAGATTTTAATGTTTATTCAATTTTTTTAACCCAATTCAAATGTTGATAGAATTCTTTAATATTTCCAGAACTTTCTTCTGACTCACATAAATTTATAGTTTTTTTAAATTGAATTATCAGTCAGATACAGGCGGAGGAAAACTGTGAGTTATTTTGTTGATTGAATGTTGATGATTTTTTATAAATGCTTCAGATGATCACTGCAGTGATGTTGACGGGTTTCCCTCCTGTGTATCTAAAGCATTCAAATATTTAAGGGTGCAGTGAACTCACTATCCATGCAGCTCAGGAACACAGGTGTGTTAAAGTCCCATCAGTCAGCAGCTTTAGTCAGAAAGTGAGAGGAAGAGTGGATCTGTCTGCTGTCTGACCTTGTTGATCCTGATGAAGGTGAGGGAGAAGAGTAAAGCAGTAAAGGTGATGTTGTTGCAGAAAGAGTCAGCTGACCTGTTAGCCTGGCTGGGCCATCCTGTTGCGTGAATCACTTGACGTTCCTTCCCACCACAGTCTGGACTTCGGCCCATAGAGAGCATGTATGTTCGATCAGAAAATAACTGGGCCAATCAGAGACCGTGTTTTCACTGTTACCCGGACAACAGGGAAAGGCAGCCCCTGATTGGTCCATGTACTACTGCAACCCATCACCGTAACCAACCATCTGTGATGATGTCAGATGCTAGGTTACGGTGATTGGTTACAGTAGTCTGTCTATCAAGGAAAGTACTCCCGCCCACTTTCAAGGCTTCCAATGGGCCGAAGTCCAGACTGTGGACTGTGGGAAGGAACGTCAAGTGATTCACGCAACAGGATGGCCCAGCCAGGCTACTGACCTGTCTCATCAGAGTCTCATCCATTCTCTGTTTGGCAGAGCGCTGATGTTACAGTCTGAGAGCACATTCAGGTTCAGCTTCACATGGGCTGGATCTGCTAAATACAAACTCTTGAGACCAGCCTGGTTGAGGGAGGTCGGCTCAGTGTCCTGGATGACTCTCACTGAGCTCCTCTTGGTTGAGAGTATTTCTGGTTTGTCTCTGACTTCCATGAACTCAGATCTGGATGATTGCTGACTGGTCCGGTCCAGTTCTGACAGTAGAGACAACACAGTCTGTTATTCTGGGTTGAGTGTTATTGTTGAAGATCAGTGTACAGTGAGGGATGAAGGCAGACAAAGATCCTCCTGTTTCCTCCATGTCACAGTTCAAGTTCATTTTGAAGACTTTTATTGATCCGAGCGCTGAAGAGGAACAGGAAACGTGGAGTAGAGAGGAGGGAGGACTTACAGCAAAGGATCATGGGAGTCCAACCAGCAACTGCTGCAACACCTGAACCTCTAATCCAAACCAGTGCTCCATCACATTTGATGTCTTGTCTGTTATTTTACATGGAGGGTCAGAGCAGACCAGATAATGAGCTCTGACAGACTGGATCTGGTCCAAAGGTCTCCTGTTGGAGTTCTCTACGCTCGACATTTTAAACCTGAACATGTGAAGTTTGATTATTAATAATTTTTATCTTCATTCTCTGTTCTTTTTTTCAGATTGACTAAGTGCCGTTTTACAGAGATCAGCTGTTCTTATCTGGCCTCAGCTCTGGAGTCCAACCCCTCCCATCTGAGAGAGCTGGACCTGAGTGAAAACAAGCTGAAGGACTCAGGAGTGGAGCTGCTGTGTGACTCTCTGCGGAGTCCAAAGTGTAAACTGGAGATTCTGTGGTCAGACTTTTTTCCTCCATTCAAACATTATCATGATTTGTTTGTGATGATGACACTAAACTGCTGGCTCAGGACTGAAATACTGACCCAGACTGAACACCTTCAGTCCAGAGTAGATTTTCAGTATCAGTGGATTATTTGATTGACTCCAGTTAGATCACTGCTGAGCTCCAGTGAATTAAAACCTGAACCCAAGAAGAAAACTCTTTGTAGAGTTCACAGTGAGAAGCACATTCAGACAGAAAACAGAAGCAGGGGGAGATTTGTCAGACGAGAACCATTCAAACTTTTGTTCAGGACAAGATCAGGG